TTTCACTTTCAATTCCGTCAATTTTTGTGGTATATACCTTTTCATTTCTTTTTTTTTTTTTAGATTTTTTAAATTTTTCCTTTTTCTTCCCAAAGCCCCCCAGTACATAGTTGTATATTTTGGTTGTGGGTTCTTCTAGTTGTGGCATGTGGGATGCCGCCTCAGCATGGCCTGATGAGTGGTGACATGTCTGTGCCCAGGATCCGAACCGGCGAAACCCTGGGCTGCCAAAGCGGAGCGTGCGAACTTAACCACTCGGCCACAGGGCTAGCCCCTACCTTTTCACTTCTAAATAGCTGTGCTTCTATACAGATCTATACATATCTAACACAGATCAATATAGAAACATAATTTTTTTTTGTTTTTTGATAGTTATTATTTAAATTATTATGCTTATGTAGTATAAGCAGCAGAGGCTGTGGAATATACTTTGATTACATTTCCTATCAAAGAATATGTTTTTCTAGAGGTATATGTTCTTTTTTTCTTGGTTCTCTATGGACCTACCTCTGTTTCGTATCTAGACTTTCTGACAGAACTCTTTACCTCCTAATATATTCAGACAAATTAGCTGATTTCTCGCTTCCATTTTCTGTCTTGGATTTGTTCCTCACGGATTCCTCTGTCCTGCTGCTTCATTTTGGACTGGTTGCACTCCATGCCAATTACATAGCTCCTTTTCTGAGATCTCCATCATCTGTATCAGCATCAGAAGAATAAGAACTGGGGATGATTTGCATGTGTGCATAAATATAGATAAACATCTTTATTAATTTTGACCTATGTATTTTAAAAGTTCTGAGCAAACGTGGATACTGTCGATTCCAGTCCAGCATCACAGAGTTCATTCTAGTTTTTCCCTTTCTGTGCTTACAACTCCCTTCTATGACAGTGAGAAACCTGGCTTCCAATATTCCTGGTATATTTATTTATTTGGTCAATTCCCCAGTACGTAACCAATCTCCATCTTCATTACCACACCTTCTCCCACGTGGACATCCTCCTCAGCCTGTTCTTGCTCTGATCGCCCATGTCAGTCCACCATCCCCCATCCCTAAGTCCCATGTGTGGATGCTCTTCTCCTTGCCCTGCTTAGGCTCTGATGCTCCATGTGTGGCTGCCCTCCCTCCCTCGCCACCTTTGCAAATGCCTAAGTTGCCCTGTGCTGCCTAATGGCTCAGAGCTCTGTCATTCAGGAAGGGAAGCAGAAGGGCCAGGATATGTCTCTTTGTTCTGTCTCCCATTCCCCAATGTCTTCTTTTTTTCAATCTTCCTATATAGACAGTAATACTGTCCACTCATTTGCTTAAGCTCAAGATCTAAATGCCCTTGACTCTTTGCCTTTCCTCTCCCTATTCATGGCTGTTCCCAGCTAACTCATGAGCAACTCCTGTTGATTCAGAATATGTCCTGCATCTTTTCATCTCACCCCATTTTCGCTGCACCTACTAGTCTCCTCACTGATGTTCCTCTTTCCACGATGTCTCACCTCCCACCGTCCTTTTACATAGAGCAGCCAGCATGATCTTTGAAAAGCACCAGGTGTGATCTCATTTAGAATCCTCCAGTGGCTTCCCATTGTGCTAAGAATAAAATCCAAATTCCTCCATGGTGTATAATACCTGTGTATGTGGTAATCAGTCCTGGCTGCACGCTAGCGTCACCAGAGGAACTTTTTAGAAGCACTAAGTCTGGGCTCCACCCGGGTCCCATTAAATCAGAATGTTTGGGGATGTGGCCCAGGCATCAGTATTTTTAAAAGTTCCCTGGTGGGGCCGGCCCTGTGGCTGAGTGGTTAAGTTCGCGCGCTCTGCTCCAGTGGCCCAGGATTTCCCCAGTTGGAATCCTGGGCACAGACATGGCACCACTCATCAGGCGATGTTGAGGCAGTGTCCCACATGCCACAACTAGAAGGACTCACAACTAAAAAACTATGTACCGGGAGGCTTTGGGAGAAAAAGGAAAAGTAAAATCTTTAAAAAAAAAAGTTCCCTGGTGAATCTAATGGTCAGTCAGGGTTGAGAATCATGCCTATCTCTAACCACCTTCTTATTGCCTTCTGTCCTCTCGTGACTGGTTCTGTTTAGCCTCTCAGAGTGATTATTATTATTATTATTATTATTGGCGAGGAAGATTAGCACTGAGCTAACATCTGTGCCAGTCTTCCTCTACTTTTTGTATGTGGGATGCCTCTGTAGCATGGCCAATGAGTGGGGTAGGTCCACACCTGGGATCTGAGCCCGCGAAACTGGGCTGCTGAAGTGGAGTGCGCAGAATTTTAACCACTGGGCCAGAGGATTCTTGATTACCTCATCTAAAGTAATGTCCCGTGTTACCAGTCATTCTCTGCCGTGTTACTCTCCTTGAGCACTTCTTCCTAGCACTGTTATTATCTGAGATCATATTATTTATGTCTTCTCTTTTTTTACATTAGAGTGTAATCTTCACGATAACTCCTGCTCTCTGCTACACCCATGGTGCCTAAACTAGTGCTTAACAAATCTTTGTCAAATGCTGCAGGTAGAGGGGAGAAGAACTGAGTAAAGGACCTGTTGTGTGGAGCCAAAAAGTGTGCAGTAGCCCGAGATACATTTGGACAGGCAAGGTGAAATGGAGCACATGATGGAGTCCTGACTGGGGGAGATTATCTGAGAAACTACAGAAAGAAAGCAGGAATTAGGAACTCTGATGTTTTCAAATCGTAGGGGACAGATTTTTATTCTGGTTTGGGACAGTCCCATGAAAACAGAAATGGCGCATTTCCCTAATGGAAGAACAACCCTTAGCATAGAGTCACTTTTGATGTCCACCATGGTTGCTATAAGTTTTTTTGAGACTTTCATTTCACCTAAATGTAGGTAAGACTTGCCCTCTGGACTAACCTCCCTCCAGTCCCTTCGTTTTAATAATGAACTAACTTAAGAAAGCATCTGCGATTTCCATCATTTCACACTACTCACTGATTATAGCTGCTTGTTGATAGACCCTTCACCACCTCTTTGCATCATGATGCATTCAGAAGCCTGATAGCATACCATATTTAACTACAATTATCTTGCTTTAAATATTAGGATTAATAGGAAAATCGCATTCTTGCTTGTATCGCAACCCCAGTTTGTAATGTGGAAATGAGCAAACAGACCCTTGAACTATTAGCATATCCCTTGCATTTACGGGCATTTGAATTTATGGAGTCCCAATAGTCTATGATTAAAACTCCGGAAATAGACGGTCTTCTGCTACTACCTAGTGCCAAGGACCATGAACATTCACTTGGACAAATTCAGCGTGGTCATTTTGTGCCCTTAGATAGGGGCTATACTACACCATACACACTACAGTTCTAGAGAAGACTTAGGAGGTAAAAAAAGTTTTCAAAAATGACAAGTTTAGGAAGCATAATTCTGTGATGAATGGCTGTGCAAAAAATACTCTTTACAAAACTAAGATAAATTCCTCTCTGAAAGTGGAGCAAAGTCTTTATTGTAACATCTCGGTTTTATAGGACATAGAGAGAAGAAAACCACTTGGAAGAGACTAAAGTATTATTTCTCAGCTTGCCTCCCTTTCCCCCATCTCAGGATGAAGTTGAAGCCATTCGTTCATGCAAAAACCATTTTCAGGTGTTTACAGGACCAAGCAAGTGCATACAGGTGGTAAAGACTCTTGAGAGCTGGGGGGGAAATGTTCAGCTTGGTGTTCTTACACCTGGCTCTCTTGTGCCCTTTGCCACCCTCGATTGGCAGCAGTGTTTCCTGTGCAAATATCTTTTTCTCAACCATGGGCCTTGATGCAACCTATAACAATTCCACAGCATAATACTCTATTCCTCCATGTAAAAAGTAGAAAAATCCTTTAAATTTTTGAATACTGAGAATTTAAAATTGGTGAAAATATTATTAAATCCATGTCCAGTGAAGGTAAATTCAACTTTCTTCTTGAAACATGTCCAAAATAGATTGTATGTCTATTTTCTGGATGATTTCATATAGCACAAATTACAAGAGAGTTCTAGAACCCTACTGGCAGATGTCTGAAGTTTTAATTATAGTTTGCATGCATTCACTATGTGTATATGGCTCCTTTATATGTTTGTACCACTTACCACAGGGTTTACTTAGGCAAGACGACCACATTAATGCCTAGGGGCATTGGGGAATGAAGACAATTCTTACAGTGAATTACCTATAGTAAGTGTTCAATAAATATTTAATAGAAAACATCTGTTTATGGACAGATTAAATTATTTACTCCTTCACAAGGTAAAGGGTGGGAAAACATTCATAGGTATATGTATTTATTGGAATTTTTAAAAGGAAATTAAAGCCTTTACTAAAAGCCTCATAAGGAAACACATACCATCTTCTTATGTTGGGGCAGTGCTTTTAGCACCACCAAGAATTGTTTACAATGTTGTTTTATTATTTGTTTCCTTTTTTTTAGGTACAAATATTGATATATATGAGATTTGCTATTCCAATTCAAAATTGTTCCAGAATAGTAGTTCTTAACCTTGAACTTAGAAAAGAGAGAGAGAATATATAAATTCTTTTAAAATGTCTACTTTAATAGTATAAAGTGACCTGTAGAATGTATATATGTGGATGAAAGTCCATATTCATTTATGCAAAAACACTTACTGAATGATGTGAGGTATGAAAATGTTAAGAGCTTGAGCTGCTTTCTCTCTTGTTTTTTTGTTCTATCCTTTCTCCGAGGGAGTAGAGATGAAGTGTGGGTCTAAGTAAATTTTAAATCCTTAAGCTTTATTTTCCTCACAGAATTATGCTTCCTAAACCTGTCATTTTTGAAAGCTCTAAAAGAGATCTAGACTTTTAGTGTGTAATAAGCCAAAATGTGCATGTTCTAGTATATTGTCTGCTAATTGTCTCTTGGATTCCATCCTAGTATTCCAAGAGAATATGAAGATGTATATTGCTAATATCTTTATATTATCCTAGATAACATAAAGGATTTTGTGTTCTCTTATACCTTGACAGGTTGGTACAGAGGATATACCCTCCAAAATAAATCTAAAAAGGTATGGCTTCTCATTAAATTTTTAATTTGAACTGTCTACTAAGTGTGTGTTGTGGTGTCGGCTCCCATTATCTGCTCCCTACTCTCTCGAGACCTAGTTTGCTTTCTCTTTGACAGCTGTTCTTAGATTTGAAAGCAAATTCTCCGACCTCAATGTTCAAGTAAAACAGTATGTCCATTGACCGTATTTCCCACCAGCCAACTCAGGGATAAAGGCGCAGAGGTGCAGTCACACTCAACGTGGTGCCTCTCCAGCCTTCCAGCTCGCGTCCCGCCAGCTCGGCAGCCTGGCAATACAGTGGCCCTGCTGTAGTTGGCTGTCTCTTTCAGGGAGGGACCTGTGGTGCTTCCTTTCCCTTTAGTGTGAATGCCAAAATCCCACAACTAAAGAGTCTCCCCACTTCCACTTGATTCTTTCCTTCATTGTAAAATGGATAGAACAGAGTAGCAGTTTTTAAACTGTGATTCTCACCACCCCAGTTGTACGTCATGAAATCAGTACAATTGTATCAATACAATGCAATATTTTTTTAAAAAACGAAACTGAAAAATAGAAAAGAAAATGGAATGCCACGGTAAGTATTGTTTTAGAAAACTTTTGTTTCAGGTACATATTTTTGTTTCAGGTACATAGCTTTTTTATGTATCTTTAATTCTATTTATGTATAGTTGTACAGGGTTGCTATCTCATCATGGGCACAGAGTTTGAAAAATACTGAGCCTAGCAGGTTCCTTTCCCAGTGCCAGAGCTGCTAACTGTCAGCTACAGAAATCCTGCTCCCAGGCTGATGCCTCTCAGTTTATTTTAGGTCAGGTCAGCGCTTTTCCTTTGACACCGACGTTGGGCAGCATAGCATGTCAGCACTTTGTTTGGAAAGAGCAAAGTTGATATTATTTCACAGTTAGCTCACACGCAAAATGGGGAATTAGGAAAGAGTGAGAGAAACATTTTAGGATTTATCAAGAGGTGAGTAAAAAAAAACCCCACGGTTCTTATTCTTCGAACAGAATATGAGCTAGAAGTAACCCGAGCACACAACTCTCAGAAGAGTTCAGGGCCCAGAAAAACGCCTTTCTACAAGGGATAGGCCATTAAAATCCAGGACTCTCCTGGTCAAACTTTCTGTGCTGTTGACTCTTGAGTCACACTCAATATTTGCACATGTACGTGTACACACACACACTTTGTTAACTTTGACAATTTAATAATCTACCAAAATAAAGGAGTGTTTGCTTTTAATGTGAGTGCCAACTCCCACAATTTTGGTCCCTTTATGCCTCCCCAAATCCTAATGCTGAATTTTTCTGCCCACAGTTAGATTCATGTGCCACATGTCTTCATTTCCAGCTTAATTATTTTCTTCTAATCTCTTGCTGACTTTCATTTCTCCAGGTCTTCTAATAGGGACCTAGGGCAGCAGATGTTCTGGCGTGAATGAGAGCATGACAGGACTGAAGTGGAGCCTTTCTTCCTTTGCAGATCCTTGTCAGATGAGACTACCTGGTTTCAGCCACTCCTGCTTCTAGATTTGGGTTTAACCCTATCAGTGTTTATTTTATGCATAATTATGAAAGTAGTACTTAATTTCAAAGCATGATTGGAGTTAACAAGTTTGAAGTTCCAAATTTATTAAAGAGCGACAATACTTATGTCACTTAATTCCCAAACCTTTTTTTAAATAAGTTAATTTTAAAACATGAGCAAAAATCCACTCTCAGATAAGATCATATGAACTTAAAGAACGGACAGAATTCTTGATTTTTAACTGGTGAATGTGAATCATGTTGAAACAAGATCCCAGACCGCAGGTCTTCCCTTTCAGGGTCTGTAGTACGTAAGGATCCTTTTCGAGCGTGCAAGATCTTGGTTTCTGAGACATCCCATGATTTCCTGATACATCACAGTCCGTCTAGCTGAGTGCCCTGTCTGCTTTGAAGAGAGGGTAGTTGGGGTGCCCCGCTAGGATATAATTGACAGGTTCTGGGTGTGTTTTTTTTGTTTTTGTTTTTGTTTTCTGGGTGTGTTTTTTAATTTTTTAAATTCATTTTCTTAAAAGCTTTATTTAAACTTTAAATCTCACCCTTTAAAAGAATTATTTCAGTAAGAGCTTCTCCTAGTTCTTGATAATTAAACTGTAATTCAATGAAATGATAGTACAAACAGGTGCCGTGCATTTACTTGTTGATTTTTAAATTGAAATATCTTTCTTGTGAAGAGATCCAGGAAGAACAGAGAAAATTCAGTCATTTGTCATGAATTATGCTCAACTTTTGACACCCCTTCATTAACGGATCAGCCTATTTGAAATACTCTCTTAATGCTCTTTCTTTCCTTTGCCAGTCTGTAGGAGAACAGCTATTTGAAAGGCCTGTTATTTTAATGGAAATTTTTTGTGTTGTTTATAAGCAGACCTAGTCATTTAGAGTGGTGATAAAGTGAGCTAGTGGTTTTACAAACTGAAGAAGCCAAGAGCTTTGCAGAAACTGATTATTGATCCTGGCAGGATTGTGGGAGTGTGCATAACAGCAATATCTAGAAAATCATTAGTTTATTTTTAATTTTTATTTTTTAAAAACCTTTTATTTTTCTGTTACAATGGAAAGCTTTCTGTTTTTTGAGGAAGATTAGCCATAGGCTAACATGTGCTGCCAATCCTCTTCTTTTTTTGCTAAGGAAGACTGGTCCTGAGCTAACATCTGTGCCCATCTTTCGCTACTTTATATGTGGGACGCCTGCCACAGCGCGGCTTGACAAGTGGTGCTAGGTCTGCACCCTGGATCGGAACCGGCAAACCCCAGGCCGCCAAAGTGGAACATGCGAACTTAACCACTACGCCACCGGGCTGGCCCCTAGTTTATTTTTTTTCTCAGTGAGTAGGTTACACTGAGGAAGGAAAAGCAAAATTGAGAGAGCAGCTGTAAATCAGAAATATATTGCCCAGGTTTATCCTGGCTTTTTTTGTGTCGTGATGGCATAGGAAAAGTCCCACAAGCTTCAGCAATTAAATGGCTGTCAGTGGACGCTTGCTCTGATGGCAATATACACATAACAGTGGTAAGACAGCAAAATAAATATTCTCATAATATGAAAATCATCATGTCCGTACACCAATGTAGATTATCTGCTTATGATCTGATCTTGTACATAACATACACATCACTATTTTAACTATTTTTAAATGTACAGTTGAGCGGTGTTAAGTGCATTCACAGTATTGTGCGATCATCACCACCATTCATCTCCAGAACTTTTTCATTACCCCAAACTGAAACCTGTCCCCATTAAACACTAACTCCCCATTTCTCCCTCCGCCTTGCCCCTGGCAGCCACCATCCCACTTTCTCTTACTATGAATTTGACTACTCTAGATGCCTCATGTAGGTGGAATCCTACAATATTTGTACTTGCGTGTCTGGCCTGTTTCACTTAGCACCATGTTCTCAAGGTGAGTTCTGGACAGCCAAGTCTGTTCTCCACACAGGTGGTTGTCAACAAAACATTTACGCCAGCTTAGGAGACAGAAGAAACACCCAATGTTGAAAGTGGGCCCAAAAGGAATTATATGCACATTAAATTTTTGTTTTTGTTTTTGTTTTGTTTTTTTAAAGATTTTATTTTTCCTTTTTCTCCCCGAAGCCCTCCCAGTACATAGTTGTATATTTTTAGTTGTGGGTCCCTCCAGCCGTGGCATGTGGGACACTGCCCCAGCATGGCCCGATGAGCGGTGCCATGTCTGTGCCCAGGATCCGAACCGGCGAAACCCTGGGCCCCCGAAGCAGAGCGCGCAAACTTAACCACTTGGCCACAGGTCCTGCCCAATTTTTGTTTGTTTTTGACTGTTTTGTTTGATCAGTTTTCCAAGATCTCTGTGAGTCCTGTGCCTACAAGGACCGAGATCAGTATTCCCTTGCCTCTGTGTGCTCTGGGTCTTATCAATAACAGGATCAGGGCAGCGCTTTCTCTGTCACGTGCCCCACGCCTGCCCCTTTTACAGGGTGGATGGGAAGGGATGTTCTTTTTTTTTGGTTCTTCCTGCCTGGCGGGAGAGGATGAACATTTTGCTTCTGACTCGAGCAGTGGCAGGATCCACCCTGTCATCACCAATTCTGGGAGCAGTGCAGTCTCAATATTCTTGCTGTTTCCTGTTTTATTGGCAAAGGATTAAAAGGGAGAAAGAAGAGTATTGTTGAGATAAACCTAGCACACGAAACTAGGCACAAGACCGACCTCGATTGAAATTCCCTAGTTTTCTGTCTCTGAATGGATTAAGGATGACTGGGTACACGCGCATCTTTGACCCAGTCCCCCAGGTAGGGGGATGTCTGACTGCGTCAGCCAGCCCCGACGTGGAATGTCCACAGGCTTGCGCTAACTTCTACAGGCGGGGCCTAGGAGCAGTTGAGCCAATGGTGCCTGTTAAACAGGTTCTTCTCCTCCCTCCCCTGGTCTGGCATGCAAAGTACCATAAAATAAAGAACAGCAATGCCTTTTCCAGATGGCAGTTTCTCTGTTTAGTGATGAGGATAGCACACAGTTAAACAGCAGAAGCTTTTGGCATTTAAGAAAACTCACATCCACGACTCGCTTCCTATTGGTTAGATCTGATCTTCAGTTCTTCAGTTTCTAGTCTTTCTTTTATGTCTTTAGGACCTTAGTTTGCCCGTGGGCAGGGTCACCATACTGATGTAGAATTGCCTCTGAGGGATATAGGATGGAGAGCAATTTGAGACCCGCAAGTGCTAAAAATAACCAGATGACTAGTCCTAATTGATTTTGGGTGCATTTGGTTTAAGCGAAAGTGTCGAGAGGAATTACTTTAGAAAATCAGTGTAATTTCATGGGCCACTAAGGACATAGCCCTCCATCTCACTAATTACCTGAAACCCTTTCCAGGCATCCTCTCAGGGCAGGTAGGATCCGCGGGGCTTTTAGGATCTCACTGTTGAACTCCTGACTGTTACTGCAGCTCTGGGCTACCCTGGGCACATTTGCTTATTCATTTACGAAGCATTTATCTTAGGCTTTCTGAACCCAGATCTTAATTTATACCTTGAGTGTTCAGCCGTGCTTTCATAGACGGCCAGTCCAGGTAACGGGTGTCCTGGAAGCCTGTAGACCTGAGCTGGTGTCCAGGTGTCCTTTCTCCCCACATTTGTTATTTGTGCCATTTGTGCTCTTTGCTTTGGGCTGAGATTTTTATGGCCACGTAACCAAAGTTCTTCTCTCTGTAGGGTATTTTCCCTGAAACGTATATCCATTTGAAAGAGGCGACTGTGGAAGACCGAGGGTAAGTTCCATTCTACGAAGACTCCTGAAAAATGATAAAGCTGTAACATTACCATTAAGGAGTGCCGTTGTACTGTTGTCCCTGGCATTCTTCCCCACAATAGTAAAGACAGATCACGAATGAACGGAGGGCCTTTATCTTCCTCGTGCACTCATAACCTGCTCACCAACACGTGTGCGTGTGTGTGTGTGTGTGCTTGTCCATGAACCTTTGGCGTGATTTGCTGATAAGACGTGAGAGCCCCCTATTTGGGGATCCCGGGAGACGGGTGAGCAAGCTAATCAGCAGGACAAGTCAGTCAGCCTCCATGTACCCCAGGCTTGTTTCCATTGCAAATCAGGGACAAATCGGGCCGAACAAACAAATTTGGCTCCACATTAGTCATGACCTTGATTAGAAATTATAAAGTAATGTGTGCAAATGTGCTCTGCAGATGAAATGTATTAAGTTTGGGGTATTCTTATTTCTTATCCACCTTATCATTTCCCATGGAAAGTGCTGCCGCCATGGCAGCTAGGAAGAGTGACACTCAGCCTGAAGTTGCTGAGCCGACAGGCAGGCGAGTTAAGGAGAGAATAAGGAGAGGCAGGAGCAGGACTGCAATCGGGGCTGAGAGAGAGTAGCGTGGGTCACAGAGTCATGCAGACTCAAAGCTGCAAAGAACGTTCTCAGTTGTTAAGTTTTGCCCCGATTCCAGAGATGAGAGGTGGAGACAGGCCCAAATTCATATGACTTCAGTAGCAGAACCACGACTGAAAACCAGGTGTCCTGTCCTGGAGAGTCCTCTTTCCGGTGCACCGTCCCTGGGCAGCCTCCAGTGTCACCAGCCACAGCCATGGTGGTGGAAAGGCAGCGTGGGAGGAGTATTCCCACTAATTAGGGTTGCTAGAGAAAAGGCAGGACACCCAGGTAAATTTGAAATTCAGATAAAAAGTAATTTTTTACAGTGTTTCTCCCACACATTTCATGGGACATAATAAAAGATTTTTTAATCCATCTGAAATTCAAATTTAGCTGGGCGTCCTGTATTTTAAGTCTGGCAATCCTACCACTAACCTCCATTTCCTTGCTTGCTCTTTCCTCTTCTCTTTTTGCTAATCATAAAAATACCAGAGAGGATTTATTTGAATAAATGTCAGCCCTACCTTGTTATATGTCTCCTGTGAGTAAGTAATGAGTTTGGTGTATGTACATTTTCTACGTAGTGAGGCAGCAGATGAGGAAAAAACTGAGGACCGTTCCAGAAGAGGACACAGCCTCAGCCCCACCAGCAGGTCCTGTGTGAGATTATGAACCCCAGGACCCTTGTGCCATGGTCACTTCCTCACCCACCCTCCCTCATAAAATGGCTGCTTGGAAGAACCAGCTAAATACAGGATTTTGGCTTCCGTCCATCCCTGGGAGCCACTTAAGCCAGCATGGCTCCGTTAATTGAGGCTCCCGTAGGGATCCAAAATGGGGGGATAGAGGCTGTGCTTCAGGCCCATGCCATTGCAGAAACTGAGTTCATTTTGACAACCGTGGTGTTCTAAGCTCCTTCTCTTTTCTCAGATGCTTAGATGTGATAAAATTTCCTACACATACCTAACCCTAACAGACATGGTTTTGTTTCAAGCTCAACCAGCCCCATTCCCATCTTTGAGCTTTGAGAATATGACCGCTGTCAAGAAAAGCAGCGATGATCGACCTGGAGTAACATGAGCATCTCTCTGGTCTCCTTAGGCAGCACGAAACTGTGATTCCTGGTGAGCTCCCCCTGGTGCAGGAGCTCACGTCGACCCTGCGAGAATGGGTTGTCATCTGGCACAAGCTCTATGTGGTAAGTTTTCCCCTGAGGCTTGGAGCTGGTGGCATTATTCCTGAGCCCTCAGTCTGTTCTGCTGCAAGACAGCTTATTAGCTCTCTGCTAATAAGCTCTGTGGAGTGGGCACATCTCACCTGGACCACACAATGGCTGATAGCCAGCAGATTCTTGTTTGCTGGAGTAGGGTCGTTAATGATATGGGGCAGTGCAGAAGTGGACATAATGATTAGGTCAGTCCTTTTTCAACTGACACATATGCTGATTGTAAAGTAAGAATGATAATAACAACTGCTTACACTTACATAGTCCTTGCTAAGTGCCAGGAAATATTAATCCTCACCACACTCCTACAGAGTAGGTGCAATTATTAATTATTACAGATTTATCAGTGAGGAATCTGCAGGACATGCTCTTATCCTGTACGTGTATCCCAGTGGATAGAAATCCGTGACTGTTTCAGTGCTCAGCTGCATGAGGGCTCCCATGAGGGCAGCATTCTTTACCTTGGCCAGTGAAACTTACAGACTCTGGCACTGAGTAGTATTACGCCATGGTCTAAAGAGTCTTCTTTTTGGGGCCAGCTCAAAGTACTGTTTCTCACAACAATGATTTGACCTCAAAATGCTAATAAGTATGCCAGTTCAGTGGGAAATTACACAGGAATCAGCACATTGTTTCCATGATAAACCATAATCACAAGCAGTGATGTCTTGATTGCAATCAAGACAGGGTAAATGTGGCATTTACTATTATCAGACTGAGAACACGTAGGGCCACTGTCTTTCAAGAGACCAAGAATGCTCAAAGTCCATTGGCTGCAAGCCTGCACATGTGTCCACTTTAGGAAGCTCTTCCCGTGACATTAGAGCGCACAAACACTGTTTTCCTGGAGACCTCGTGGATACGCGTCATGAGGTCCCGCCTCTGTAAGCGTCTTCCAGGCTTCCATGGCTGTCCAGCAATTCCTATGATGAGCGTATGTCCTCTTGTTGGATGTGCGAATGAGTTCAGTGAGGGAATAGACTAGACTCGATGGCCTAGGAGCCATTCTCTTCCCTTCATGTGGTTTTTGTTCAGTCATGTGCTGATTCTTCATTTTAACTCTCAAAAGCCAATCTTAATAAATTATTGAGAACACCTCACTGTAGACCCTAAGTACTAAGAGTAGTAATCAGAAGCTCATTCCAGCATAACTTCTACAACTTAATGGAAGATATTTCATTTCCATTCAGGGCTGTTGCTTCCCACAATGGATCACAGCAGTAGAAATCACCATCCCCTTCAGTGGAAAAGCACTTGAATTTTGTCTGCCTGTCCATTCTTCAAGGCCTCATTTAAGGCCTTTTTTCTTCATAATGTGGCTTCTAAATACACCCATCCATAATGTTTCCTTCTGGACCATAAGAGCACTTACTGCTGAACCCATCATCTGGTCCTTGGGGCACACTGCCTTGTAATGCAAGTGATCTTTTGGTCTCTTTATGTTTAATTGAGGAGAGTGCTAACCTGTAGGTTCTTAAATCACAGCCTCCGAGGGTAGAGATGTTGTTTAAGCCCTTTGGCCTACATCAATCATCTTGTACTTCTGTTGAAAGCACTCTCTGGTTCTGGTTAATTGATTGTTAGTGGTGAATGCAGCAAATTTGATGGGTGAGCAATTGCATATACATGGGTTATTTTCTTAACATATTTGTGCTGGAAATTAGTGAGTGGTGAAACGTATCAGATAATAAGTCCTGGGAAATGAGACTTTTTGAGTTGCACTATACAAGAATGGAGCGTATGAATGACGTAGACTTTTCTTCTTGCTAAAATGCAATTGTTGTGCTCAGTTCTTTATCTGTGTCCTCTACATGTCCGCAGGTAATAGTGCCAAGTCTGCTATTGAGCAGAAATGAGAAATAACTGAACCAGGGAGGAAGAAATATGATTCGTGTATTTGGGTTTCCAAAATCCCTTAGTAGTTAAATGGTGATAAGCTTGGGTTGAGGATTTCCTCTGTGAGAATTTACTAGTTAATCGCAGAATTGGGTTCTAAGTAGAAAAAAATAAAACATCCATCCCTTCTCAGAGGGCAGCACTTTTCCCATCTTAATTTCAACATCCAGTAAGACAACTCTTGTTATTTGTGAATATTTAAAAATGTCTTATGGGTGCTGTTGGTTGACTGAAAGACGTTCATTGTGGGAATCTTCATTGACGGGGCTGAGCAATTTGCTTCTGCTTTTGATGCATGCTCACCTATGAAGAAATAATCCACTTAAAAAGAGCTTGTTATTAATCATGACTTTCTCTGTTTTTTTCCTGTCCCTTCCCAAAGCATTGACAGTTCACTTCAGGCATGCTTTCTGGGCTTCTTTCTCAAAAATTAGTGTGTCTACGTAGCAAGCCTCAAATGTTATGCTTCATTAGGAAAAAAGTAAAAGGAACCCAAATCTATAGTTTTCACCCACCACACATGCACTTTTATTGATTTTTTGTTTTCTGAGTCTGTGTGTAAGTTCCTTCAGTCTATGTAAAGATAAATACAGATTTCTACTAATATACATCAATACTTGTATTATTTCTCTCAGGCATTTCCTTCCACAGATTATGAGACCAGGCATTCTGTTTGATGTCTTTAAAGACAGCTGTGGTGTCATAGAACCTCCACATTTCTCTAAAACACATTTCCCAGTTCTCTTCCGAGTCTTAGTTCACAAGAAATTTATGTAGTAAGTCCAGAGTCTCATGTGTGGGGAATTTTTCTATTCAATTATCTTTCCTGATGGATGTTGGCCCTATGTTTTTGGGAGGAAGCAGGCTGTAGGGGACAGACACTGGACTGGAAGTAGGAAGCTTGGTTTCTTGTATAGGCCCTGCCCAAACTGGTCCTGTGGTCTTGGGCAAGCCACTTGAGGTCTTCAAGTGTCTGATGGATTTTGACCCTCTGTAGAATGGTATAAAATCTGCCTTGTGGGCCCAGCCCGGTGGCACAGCAGTTAAGTTCGCACGTCCTGCTTCAGCAGCCCAGGGTTCGCTAGTTCGGATCCCGGGTGTGGACCTACGCACCGGTTATCAAGCCATGCTGTGGTAGGCGTCCTACGTATAAAGTAGAAGAAGATGGACATGAACGTTAGCTCAGGGCCAGTCTTCCTTGGCAAAAGGAGGAGGATTGGCGGCGGATGTTAGCTCAGGGCTAATCTTCCTCAAAAAAAAAAATCTTTCTTGTATATTCCATAGAGTTGTGAGAGTGTGACAAGAGATGGTGGCTATGAAATCATTGTGTGGGCAGACCCTCAAGGACTCTGCCAATGTGAGCATTGATTCTTGATGCTGTCTTAGCTGGAAACAGTAGCTGCTCTGGACGTCCTCCCTCTGGGCAGCCTTGCTCGGGGTCCCTCTGACCCGATTCGGAGACTCTGAAGCTCCCTTCTGTGTTCCCCCTTATCCAAGGCCACTCCCTTTGTCTTGTGTTATCATCTTAGGCAGAGTGGCCTTGAGCTCTCAGTAAGCAGGCCAAGTGTTTCCCACCGTAGATAGTGAGCCTCCTTGGTTTAGGTTCAGGTCCAGGAGGCATGGATCCATTCCAGAGAGGAAAGGGGAAGCATGCCAGCACAGAGTGCAAATTCACAACAGATTCTGATGAGCTTTGCCTGCTCTGCTCTTCCTCAATTGGAACCCGTTTACTGGGTGTGTTTTCAATGGTTGATCAGGAAGAGAGGAAATTTGTGAATGAGGAGATGGTCGCCTGGTGAAATGGCAAGCCTGTGGACACTGGGGTCAGACAGATGGCCAGTTCTTAGATTCTAGCTTGCACCCTTACTTGCTGTGTACTTTCATATTCACAGAAAATAACTAACATAGTAGTAGTTTCTGTAAACAAACCCAAACAGAAGGAACACGGTTCTGAAGGTGGGAGTTTTTGTTCAGTTCATGCCACTAGCTGATTCTACAGCCTGAGATGAGTCCTTTGGCCTCTTAAGTTTTATTATCCTCACCTCAACTGGTAATTATATATTATATATGCCTTGCAAATGTGCTGTAAAAAAATCCGAGGGGTAATCTGTGTAAAACTCTGGGACAGTGCCTGGCACACCGTCTTCAAAATGTGACAGCCTCTGAGCACCCGGTGAAGCACTGCTTCATCAAAGAGCTGATTAATGATGAAAAGCCTTGGGAGAACTAGATGCACTGTGGAAGTTTGCCCTGAAGTCGTTTAAGGTGCACTTGCCACCTACCCGCGGTTGTTCACTCATCCTCCAGCTTGGGGTGAGGGGGTGGGCTCCCTTCCAGCCCTAGAGTTACTTAACTGTGCTAGGTGGAGAGGTTTTCAGTATTCTGTCCATTATTCTCTGCTGGCTCTCAGGGTCTTATGATTTTCTCCTGCCTGGGAAAGTAGATCCAGTGAGCTGAACTTTGGCTGCTTTTCTTTCTAGCAGCACATCTCCAGCTTCCATGCAGGTTCCCCCAGCTAGAAGGGTGGATGCCTACGCGTTAATTTAGACATAATCGGATTGATGTAATGTCTAAGTTTGCCTTTTCAATAATAACCTAATTATACTTTTTGAATATGCACAAATCTGCATCCCACATTACAATACCAAGTTTTCTCAGCTAAAAATCAGGTCTTGAAAACTGACAAGATAGAGGATATTTGTGGGGATGTTGGGACAAGAATTTTTGAGAGGCACTGTCTTGTAATTTCTGAGATGTTGGGTTATCGTAAACACACTCTGTAACATCTCTGCCTGACATTTAGCTCAGCGCTGTTCTCGCCTTCCAGTTGGAGAAATGGGTCAGTGAGTTCTGGTCAGCCAGGCTGATTCGTCCATATAAGTTTGAGAGACTGAATCTAATCCTATCTCCTTATGGAAAAGAGATACAAGGAGAGCCTGGTGGTAGAAGATGGTTAATATATATTGTTGAATCGAGTGAATTTAATTGCTAAAATGTAGTTCATGGAAATGACCAATCTCCTCTCATTTAAAACTTGCCAGCAAAATAAAACCTTGTGCTAGTCTATAGTTCTATAAAAATCTGGAGTAGAAAAAGTGCCTGTAACTGAGGTGGGGGTGGGGGAACTTGCAGGACACCGTGAATCGCCCTTTCTTCCCATCGTTGCATATCCAGGCAGATTAAAGCACTCAAGTCTAATCTTTTTGAACTGCTGGTTATTACTGGCTGCTGGAGCATATGCTCTGGAGTGTAATTAAGCTGGTCTCATGGTTTGAAACCGGCATCTGATCGCTTATTACCAAGGACAGAAAATTCCCATGGAGAACTTCATCCTGTTGTCAGGCATTTCATCTGTGTGTTGCACGCCCTGCTTCAGCGTGGCTGTCGTGAGAGGCAAGATGAGACGTGGCAGTGACTGGACGGGACAGGCTGCTGCTTTGCATGTTTTTCCAGTTTTGTTTTTCTCTGACTCTGTTGCGTGGCTTTCAGGATTTCTCACACTACTTCTAGAGGCAAAAATTGTCTTTTACTGGAATATTTTCTTTAAAAATCAAGCTTTTGCTAGTCAGGTGAAGTCTTTTTCTGACAGAGAGAAAAGGCACTAGAATGGATAGGAAGAATGGGAGGGGCCGTGCGGATTCCCTTCTTCCTGGCGTTCGTGGTCAGTGCAGCACGAGGACACAGAAAGACCAAGACCAAGGAGTTACAGATACTTGGAAAAGACATGAGATGAATTGCAAAGAGCTCTATACATGCAGGTGAAATTTGATACAGAGCCACCCAAGCGTGTTAGTACATCAGGAGTGAGATGGTCAGAGTCAGATAGAGTTAATCAGGAAGTTGATGGAGGAGTGATTGAGTTAAATGGCTCAGCCTAGACTGGAAGACGCTCGTCCTTGGGAATGATCTTGGTGCCGGTCCCTTTATTTTACAGATGGGCACAGCCCAGAGGGAACAATTTGCCCAGAGTCGCTTAGCAAGTTAGTGAGAATTAGAGAAAGACATCAAGTCCCCATACCTCCAGTGAAGTACTTTTGCCTCTCAAGTGTAGAATCTGCGCAGAAGAGGAAACGTTGGTGAGCAGAGGAAATAGTGATTCTTTTGCAGAGGGTGAGGTGGAGGACCAGAGAAAAGTCTTTAGACTGTGCTCTGCATTCTTTGGGAAAGTGAAGAATAGAACCCAGATTTTCAGAACCCAGTGAGGTGATGCCGTTGGCTCAATGGCCCCCAGAATTTCTAAGTTACTCAATGGGTGGCCTCTGTATCCCTAACCAGCCTTGAAGACTAAGCTGTTTTTTTTTCGTGACTTTGTTTTGTCTCTAGAAATTCTTTTAAGAAAAAGCAGACACCCAGAATAGAAATGTAAAAAGTGAGACCTCAAAGATCTCCAGGTGGCAAAGAGGGAGAAATTCTAACCAGACACAGGAAGACCTTTGCTGTCTGATGGCATATTTAGATTTCTCCTTTCGTGTAGCTATTCCTCAAGTTGAAGCCAGAGTGTTATTTTAAGTTTGAGCTGTCAACATTTGTTGTTCAGTTGCTCCTGTGTCCTAGGATTGTGCTCACTTTTGTGGAGAGGATCAAAGAAACTATTAAACAAATTCCTGCCCTCCTAAATTATGTGACAAGGGGTGCTGGTGTAAAACAGGCTGAGATTAGCAAGGGCCGGAGGTAGGAGAGAAGGCACTCGGCAGCAGGCCGGCTTGGGCTGTGCAGGATTCAGAAAAGAGGGCAGGAATGAGGGTGTGACAGGGAGAAAACATGGACACTCAGAGGTCCTTGGCTCCTGGTGTTACGGGGACTGCTCGATTTTCTCCTCACCTGTCCTTCTATGCTTCCCCAAGAATCCATAAAGTGTCAGGGCCAGCTATTGCACAGAACGTCCTTCTTAGAACAATCTCAGGAATGTGGCAACAAAATCCATTTCTTTCAAGTAAATGGGGAAATTGCTTCCTTTGGTGTGTTCCAGCTTGTCTATTCAGAATTAATTTGGCACAGTGAATCAGAGAAGAATGGCTGTCTTCATCCTTCTTTTCAGGGAGAACTTGGCAAACAAGGCTGATACGGACAGGCAATAATTAAATTGCCGTGGATAGTGTCTGATATAATTGAGACCCAGAACTTGTGAACATTGCCACAATCAGAGCACTGTCTCTCACAGAGGATCCCCTGAGTCTCTGAGCCTTTCTTTATCGTATTATGAGACCTAATATCTTCGTTAAAATGAGGAAGCATTAAAACAAAAAACTAACTAGGAGAAGATAAATACCTTGCAAGAAAGAGAAAAAGATTCCCTTTCTGCCTAATGGCTTTGAAAGGCAAAATTTTATGGGCTTAGTTTCTCACTCCTTTCTCCAGTTTGAAAGACAATGAGACGGAAACATTAGAATTGAATGAAAAAAGTAGGATTTGTACCTTTGTTATTAAAAATGGGACTTTTAAAAGTCCCATTTTTATGCTTTTCTAAAGACTGGCTGATGAGAAAGACGCAACTCAGAAAATGCTAAAAGCGTGAGACGGAGGCAGTTTCAAAACTTTCAGCAGGCTTCGGTTCTGTGTTCTTCAGATCAGCGGTGTTAACAGAGCACCTTGCAGTCAAAATAAGTCTTCTTCTCTTTCCTTTGTGTCCTCTCAGAACTTCACACTTCTTTTACTGGGCTCATGTCCCACTCTCCCAGTCTCACTGCTGCCTCCCACCGCCCCACTTCTGGGCTGAGGGCTCTTCCCTCCGCATCTGCTCCTTGTTCCAGAGAACCTGGGACATTCTCAACCTGATTCTACTGGGTGCCTTGCCCAGGAAGTGTCCCTGGGACTGTTGTAGAAGAATGTCCCTAAAGAACATGCTGCTCGGCCGTCAACAGCTGCTTTCTGTGGTGTTTTGCTTTTGTTGAGTTTTTTTTCATAGCAGATAGTAATATTTCCTATAATTTTAGAAGTATATGGTTATATAAACTTGTCGTGACTTTTTACCTAAATAAAAAAGAAATGGTTTCATAGCTTATATGGGGTGGCTGGAATTGTACAGGTTTTTATTCAAAAAACATATTTCAAAAGTGATACACAGAACAGTTTTTTCCTGACCGCTCTACCTAAAGTGACCTCCTTCCCCGACATACACCATATCATATTGTCCTGTTTATTTTCCCTCTTACACGTCTCATTATTTCACAATAATATTATAATGTTTATAATATTATTATATAATATATTATATATTATATTATTATATACAATATTATATACAATAATATTATAATATTTCACATTATTTTGTGTGTGTGTATGTAAATATTATATATATTATATATGTAAACAATATTGTCTATGATATTGATATATATTGTTTACATATATATATACATACATATGTGTAGTTCATGTATTTTTTTTCTCCCTCTAGAATGGAGCAGGAACTTTATTTCCAGCACATAGTAGATGCTCTTGACAGTTTTTCTAAAAACATATATTTAATGAATCAATCTCATGTAGATAGAACCAAGGTCATAATGGCTCACACATCAGGGATTTAACTCTTAAAATGATTGGAGCACAAATATAGTTGGTCATTAGTTTAGTTCAGTTACAGGAAGTTCTTACTGAAATCCAGAATAATGGTTTAATTTTTCTAGGTCCAACATTCTGAATAGTCTAAGAATTTTCTGGGGAAACAGATTTTAAAACAATGTTTTACATTTTACTTTCCAATATCCCTCATTTCTGAAATTACAGTTATTTCTCTGTCCGTAGTTCACTCCTGCATTTTATAGAGTGCCTACTCTGTACCAGCTCCTAGGGATACAAATATGAACAAGCTCCTTGTCCTACAGCTGCTTACTGTCTAGGGGGAGAGTCAGATGGGCCAAGATGGTCCCGGGTTCTGAATGCTGTGATAGGAGTTAATTTCAGGAGCTGTAGGAGGGACAAACCCAGAGTTAGGGTTTCAAGGAAGAGACTTCTAAGTTGAGACTGAAGAAGTCAGACTAAGCAGTTGGCAGAGGGGGTGGGAGTGGGGTGTGAGTGAGAGGGAGATAAAGATGGGAGTAAGTTTGGGGGAAGAGGACAAGAGTGGTTCTGGGTGGAGGAAGTAACATATTGAGAGGGTCTGGAGCACCTGGGAGAAATGGACATAGTTTTACACTGAAGGAGCATAGATTTTTGAGGTAGAGATTGGCGTACAATGCAGCTAGGAATGTGGGCATGAGCCAAGATAGGAAGGGGCTTACAATGTGATCTACTCTATCTGGACTGTGGAAATCACTGGAGGGTTTTCAACAAAGGAGGGACATGGGCAGAACTTTAGGGTGCATGGATGATTTGATGTCCTTATGAGTTAGGACCAACCATCCAACCAAACACTTGCTTATCTGTTTCTGAAGTTGCAGTAGAGGAGGGAGTGGGAGTGGATCAGACAGAGCCATCCCTAGTAATATTTTAAAAAATCCCCTCAAAATGCACAGCTTACCGTATGGCAAAATTAATTGGTTATAGAACCTTAAAAGACTGACGTCCAGGGGACGGCCCTGTGGCCCAGTGGTTAAGTTCACGTGCTACACTTCGGCTGCCCAGGGTTTCACTGGTTCGGATCCTGGGCACAGACATGGCACCACTTGTCAGGCCACGCTGAGGCGGCATCCCGTATGCCACGACTAGAAGGACCCACAACTAAAATACACAACTATGTACTGGGAGGATTTGGGGAGAAAAAGCATAAAGAAAAAAAAAAAAAAGAAAAATGAAGTCAAAAAATGTTCCCGTTCTCCATCACACTTCTTTTGGGTTCTTTCCTCCACCTCATTTTTCCATCGTAGAACAGCAAGGTCACGCTCTTCCGCCAGCTGCAGCAGATGACGTACAACCTGATCGAGTGGCGGTCCCAGATCCTGTCTGGAACACTCCCCAAGGACGAACTGGCAGAGCTCAAGAAGAAGGTCACAGCCAAAATCGATCATGGAAACAGGTAAACCAGGGATGACTTTCCACTGAGAACCTGGAAAAAGACGGGCAGCTTTGTGCTCACCATGAACTTTTGATCTTGGAGTTGCCAAAGAATAATGCTTGCTGCTCTCTTTTTGCCTTGGGAAACAGTTAATTTTGTTGAAAAACAATTTGGCAGCACCCTCCACAGGCCAGACCGTGTGCTGGATCTCTGGTCTCCAGGAGATGACAGATGAACAGGGAAGGTGGGCTTGGCTGGGACTGACTTCATTGCCGAATAAACTGAAGGCACTGAGCATCCAAGGCCGACCTTTTTGGAGACCTGGAAAGCTCTCTATTTTTATTCCAACAATGGGTTTTAAGCCAATATCAGACTCCTTCTCTCTCTTTCCCTAACTGGGGCCATTTTTCACAGTGCATGAAAACCAGATTTGCCAGAATAGTAAAACAATGTTTTTAGCCTGTTGATTATATCTCCAGTAACTTCTAAGTTCATTGCTTCATCAACCTGCTGACTAGCTGAGGCAGATATGTAGGTTCCAGGTACTACTGCCTTTTAGAAAAAGAGACGTTTAGTCAATTCCTCAAAATTTATGGTGACCTGGGATTCATGGCTCCTGACCAGTTCTTTTTAAAAGACCGTTGGTTCCTCAGTTTTGGTTAATGACCCATTTGACATATAGTCTCATTTTCTACATTTCTTCAACTTGAACATATGTGGTTTATTTTTTCTTCCCCTTTTCCCTACTTCTCCAACTTCAGGACTCTTGGATATACTTCAGAGAACTCTACAATACAGCTCATTATCCTACTCATTTAAGTGTTATGGACTCTGACCGCTGTATTCAGAAATAGCTGGAGTAAACAGCCTACAAGATTCAGATTCCACAATTATTTATGAAATCTCCCCTATGTGCAGTTCACGTGTATTACTTAATTATAACCTTATGAGGTAGCTGTTATTCCCATTTTATGGTTAAAGAAACAGACTAAGTGAGCTTAAGTGATTTACTTTCACGTCACATAAGCGGGAATGCTTAAATTTGAACTCAAGACTTTCGATTCCCTGTCGAATGCTCCCTTCTTAGGGTTAAGAATTAACAGTTCCCTCCCCCGTCACTTGTCCCTTCATAGGAGTGCTGGAAGACTCTTAAAAAACAGCTAGGGTGGGATAAGGCAGATCCCCCCTTGCACATATGCTGCCTCTGTATTGTTGGGTCTTGTCACAGTATGGCGTTGGCCTGGAGGACCCTGATCTCTGGCACAGGATGTTAACATCCCACAAACAGCGGAACATGCCTGCCTTCCCATTCCAGCCCTTGGAAGCAGCTCAAGAAATTAAACCGCTCCATCAGTGCATCAGTGATCCAGTCCCTGAGCAGCCAACAAGGCCCCATCACTCATGAGTCTGGGTGGCCTGTGCATCTGGCTGCCATGGAAAGGAACCTGCCAGATTAAATCAGTGGATAGAGATGCTATAAAACAGGGAGAAGGGAAATTAGGCATTTTTGCTTTCTTCTCAAAGACTTGGCACGTTTCACTGTTATCCCTGCGTTTTCTTGGAGAAATTATTTGGAGATCCCTACTCCCAAATTGGTGCCTGGTGCCTGGAATGTACACTGCGCATTCAGATAGCAGTATCCTCTTTCATCGTGGTCCCCAACTTCTTGGAACTAAGGAAATTTTTTCTACTTCTGTGTGCACATTGGGCATAAAAGACTTGGTGGAGGTCGTGCCATAAAGAGACCATATAGCTGTTGCTATTCCCACACAACACTCAGAGATACATCTTAACACAGCCCAGTGTTTCTTGTGCCACTTGTTACAATAAGAGCTAACATTTGTTGAGAGTGTGTCATATGCTAGATATTGCATGCTTTACATGCATTATCTCATGAAATTCTCACAGCAACCCTGAAGGGTAGGGAATGGTTACAGATGAGGAAATCAGGACTTTGAAAAATTAATTACCCAGATTCACCTTGCTAGCAAGTATTAAAACCAAAATTCAAATCCTGTCTGACTGATGTCAGAGCCCATGCTCCGAGATGGGTTATGAGATACAACAGCCAGGACTTACTTCATGGATCTCCTTTAAGACAGTTTTGAATTAAGTACTGTCCCCCAAATCTGTACTTTTAAGGAAATCAAGGCAAGCCCCCAAATATTTGTGCATTGGTCTTTCATCGTTCCTATGCCAAACAGCAGACGTTAGAGGAAAAGTCTGTGGTCAGAGGAATCTGGTCAGAGTCACTGCCAATTTTTCCTTTCCTGTTGAGGTTCTGTGGACCAGATTACTTTGCATATCATGATCCGAGTTTGGTTAACATCATGTTTTCTAACATTGTTGTTACATGGAAAGGAGGCAGAAATTGAAAGGAGAAAACCCAATGAGCTGTTCTTCCAACCTTCGTAGCTATGAATCCTCTGGGTTCTTTCATGAGGGCTCTTTAGTGGAGTCTGTTCCTAATAAGGAGGACTAGCTGACCATTTCTTTCTTTCTAGAATGCTTGGGTTAGATCTAGTAGTGCGAGATGACAACGGGAACATCTTGGACCCAGATGAAACCAGCACCGTTGCCCTTTTCAAAGCCCATGAAATGGCCTCAAAAAGGATTGAGGAAAAGATCCAAGAAGAAAAGGTACACTTCCTCAAGTGTGCAGCTTTTGGCTACTGAGGTTCCATTTTTGCTTTTGTTTTTAATGAGAGAAAGGTAGTCATTGACAACAGAGGTAGAAATGTTGTTTAGAAAATCATTCATCTCCTCATTTGCAAAGCAGAACATAACAAAAAGAATGAGGTTGCTATATATGTTCTGATAGGGAAATATTGCAAAGATATATCTTAGAAAAAGCAACATGCAGAACAGTGTGTATAAAGCACGATTATTTGTGTTCCAGGAAGGATTATACATACATCTGTGCTTGCATATGCGTAGACTAACTCTGCAGTGATAGACAAGGAATTGATAATTAATCGATGCCTCTTGGACGGAGAGCTGGGTGGGGGGGAGCCTTTTTATTGTGTTACCTTCTGTATCTGGTAAATGTATTTCAATTTCCAAAATGAATAAAATAATATTTAAAAATAAAGTGTTTGAAAGATTTTAAAAGTAGTAATTGGACATTAAATAAAAATTTTAAAAGTACAGAAAAAGAGAACCAGAAAAAAGTCACCCATAGTATCACTGCCCAGACCCAACCATATTGACATTTTGGTGTATATTCTTCTAGTCTTTCTGTTCCAATGAGTAAAGGTTTCCGTTTATTTTCTTTAGTTTGTCGTTTTTATTTCCTTAGCACAAGTTGTGATAACATTTAATTATGTGTCTGGAAGCAGTGGCTAACCGTGCCCGAGGGTGAAGTCCTTCTGGTGGAATCTCTTGTTTGCAGTGAGAATTATTCCCCAAAAGAAGGATAATGAATCTTGACCTTTGTGGTTCATCCAGAAGCCACTGTGAGAGATGAGAACATCTTGAAGCTACTAAACCCATGACTTATCAACTTTAGACAGCATTTATTGAATTCCTGGGGTCCAAGGCCCTGAATAGGACAGTGTTGATCATCTAACTAATAGTGATTATATTTTGCTCACTCGATCATTTGTCCACTCACACACACTTTCTCCTCAGTAAGTGTTCTCCTTTAGGGTGGTAATTATATTTGTCCCCATTTGCAGGCCAGTGTCTTTGTCAGTATCTCCCATTTGCTAAAACCAAGACACTTTTCCCTCTTTTCCTCTGTGTTCAGTCAATACTGCAGAACCTGGACTTGCGGGGCCAGTCCATCTTCAGCGCTGTCCACACCTACGGCCTCTATGTGAACTTCAAGAACTTCGTCTGCAACATTGGGGAGGATGCAGAGCTGTTCATGGCCCTCTATGACCCGGACCAGTCCACTTTCATCAGGTAGTGGAGAGCCAGGTCCTCTGCTGTCGACCTTGTGAAAATCCCAAGCCTCCACTGCCCCCTAACTGGGGAGTTCTTTGCTAGATTAAGAGGGGAAAGCGGAGAAGATGGGGAGGATTTCTCGGCAGTAGAAAATAAAATCCTTTGGGCTGCTAAGGCTTTCTGTATGGCAGCTGAAACAGTGCAGTAACGGTTTGTGTAGTCCTCGGTCTTAGAAATCACATGAAACTCATCAGACCATGGAAATAGGAACAAAGAATTGAAAAGACCATAGGGGGCGGGGAGGGAGCGATCAATAGGTGGAACACAGAGGATTTTCGTGCAGTGAAAGTATTCTGTATGGTACTTACTGTAATGGTAGGTACATGCCATTTACCTCTGTCCAAACCCACAGAATGGACAACACTGAGTGAACCCTCATGTAAACCATGAACTCTGGTGGTAATGACGTGTCAGTTCATTGGTTGTTTCAAAAATACCACTCTGCTGGGGGATGTCGCTAGTCGGGGAGGCCGTGCTTGTATGGGGGCTGGAGGTATATGGGAAAGCTCTGTACCTTCCACTCAGCTTTGTTGTGAACCTAAAACTGCTCTAATAAAATAAAGGCTATAAAAATTTTTTTTTAAAAAGGCTATAGGGAATGATGATGGACTTTGTTCAGTCCTATAGTCATGCTGCTGCTGAGCAGCTAAGAAAGCAGACATTGTTGAGAAGGTGGTTGAAAGTAATTACTGACAAACTGTTTATTTCTAAAATAGAACTTTTGAGTGTGGTGATGTGGATTTCAGTGGATGGATTTGGAATGATTTCTATAATTTTATAATTAAAATTATATTCTTGATTCATCAAAGCTGAAACTTTTATGCAAAGAATTTGAGATGGAAGACAGACCCCAGGCGGAATCTGCCGTGTCTGTGCCCGTGTTGAGCAGTGTTTGTCCTGGGTCTGGACGGGGTGTGCCTCATGGAGCCGGGCTGCAGCAGGCACACTTCTGGAGAGACCAGAGAGTGAGCAGTTGTGCGGTCTCAGTTCCTGCCTGTGCTGCATTCACGCCTGCCTGATGAAGTTAACCGAGCTGCTCTGGAGCTTCCTTTTGCCCTCTGAAATCCATACTGAGGGCAGCTCCATCCCGTTAGTCCCTCATTAAGAATAATTGTTTTTCCTCCACCAGTGAGAACTACCTAATTCGTTGGGGCAGTAATGGGATGCCCAAGGAAATAGAGAAGCTTAATAACCTTCAAGCGGTCTTTACTGTAAGTCTTACCTTATGTTTAATAATTTTCTTTGTTTATGGTATTAGCAGATACACATAATAAGTCTGGGGAAAACATAAAAAATGAAAAAGATGAAAATAAAAATCATCACAATCCCCGTGGCAGCAGTAACCCACTCATTTGTTCAACAAATAGTTGTCAAGCACCTATTAGATGCCAGGCACTGAACCAGGCACTTGAGATGCATCAGTGAACACATCAGAGAAACATCCCTATTCTCAAGGAGCTTTTGTCCGAATGGGGAAGACAGTAGTAAACAATAATCAAAGGAATGAATAAATTGTACATGATGTTAGAAGTCATAAGAGCTTTGGGGGGATTGGGAGTTTCTGAGCTGGGGAAGTGTTGCTGTTTTGAATAGGTGGTCAGAGCAGACCTCTGTGAGAAGGAGCCCTTTGAGCAAGAACTGGAATTTGATGAGGGGATGAGCTACGCAGAAAAAGGGGAAGAGCATTCTGGACTGAAGTTAGCTCGGCCAAAGATGGGGTCTAGACTTTTTTATTTGCGTACATTTTAATGGACTTGCCCCCTCCTCCTCTTCTCCAGGGTAGGAGGAGTGCTGCTGTGTGTGGATCAGGAGCGAGGCAGTTATTGGCCTATAGCTTCGGGCTTGGCGACACTGTCTCTCGGGCTGGGAACTTTCTTGGGGCTCTCTCACTTTTTTCTGACATCAGTGCTTGAAACGCCCCAGAGCTGCTGCCACCTGCTCTGAGAAGCCTGGGTGTGGAGCTTTCCCAGCTCCCAGTAGGCCTAATGGAGATGCTTTCTTCCTTGTCTCCCTTTTTTCCTTAATCCCACACCCGTATTTTATCTCCTTATCCCCTTACCAGAGGATCAGAATCTCAAGTAAAGCAACAAAGGAAGTGATAGGAAGGAGCAGTTCCAGTACAGGCTTAGCGTTCATTCATTCACTTATTTATTTCTCCTTATTATTATTCATTGCTTCTGTTAACATCCCACTGCTGGGACAAGCATGATCTGATTACTGTCGCTGCGCTGAGCCATCTGTATCTTCTCCATCTGGTAAATGTAGAAAGACAGAGCTTAGAACTCTTTCCGAAATCTCCTCCAGCACATGGAGTATCACCTCAGTTATGAGATAAGCGAGTTTTTCCCTCAAATCAGAAGGCATTTATCAGTCAATATGTACGTTAAAAAAAAAATTTTAAAGGTATTATTGAATCTTTGGTTCATCTCTAATCAATGTCATTCTGGAATAGCTGCAATTCATCTCCCGTCCTCCACTCCCCCTACCAATTAGGATCTACTTATATGTAAATTTCATGTCCAGCTCTTTCAATTAAATAAAATGTGGTGACCGTTTCCTTAGTCATTAAACATTCTATAAAAACTTTCATTTATAAATGATTGCATATTATTAAATAATATTAGTGTGCCATATTTTATATAACCAGTCACCTAGAGTCTTTATCTTTCTTTTTTAATTTTTTTTTTTTTTTTTTAAGGATGATTAGCCCTGAGCTAACTGCTGCCAATCCTCCTCTTTTTGTTGAGGAAGACTGGCCCTGAGCTAACATCCGTGCCCATCTTCCTCTACTTTATATGTGGGATGCCTACCACAGCATGGCTTTTGCCAAGCGGTGCCATGTCCGCGCCTGGGATCCAAACTGGTGAACTCCATGCCGCAGAAGCGGAACGTGCACACTTAACCTCTGCACCACCGGGCTGGCCCCAAGAGTCTTTATCTTTCTATTAACAGAAGCCTCACAAAACCCAGAGTAGAAATTCAAGGTTGATATTATCATTGGTATATATTCCTATCTTGGAGACCTGAGTTAACTAAATTACAGAGGATGGATTTGGAATGATTATTTAGAAAGTAATTCTTGATTCAGTAAAAAGGCCTTGGACAGCTGTTTCATGAAAAGAATTTGAGATGCGATTAAATTAGTGCTGATGTTAAAGTGAATGAGATACGTGAGTTCATTCATGGGTTTACTCACCCATTCTTAAGAATACAAACAAGTGTAGAACATGAGCCACAAAAAACCAGAGACATTTCATCTGCATATCTCCTATTAATCAAGATACACCCAGAGCCCTCGATGGATACGCTCATAAAACAGATGAATAATTACAGAAAGCAGGACGTGTACATTTCTGTGTGATAGTTGCCTCACAGGATTATCTGGAAGATGCAATGAAATATCACCAGCGTGTGTGGATACCCAATAAATGTCAGTGTCATGGAAGTTTTAATTTCGTTTGACAGTGAAATACATCATATGCTCAGATATGTCCTGGCAGGACATAAAGTAGCAACAACAAGTATCCTGATTTTTAAACACCCTGCTTAATTGATAAACGAGAGACTTTAGATTGAATATGATGTGATTTATAAATTTGAAGTAGGAACTGGGGAATGAAAAACGTCCTTTTTTGAATCTGGTCAGTTTTCTCTGATGCCGTGCTAGTTCTTGGGTGAGCAGGGAGAAGAGGGGAGTTACTCTGCTATTTCAACTTCAGGAAATGTGCTCTGAGTGGTGTTCTGTTGTAGAGTGAAAAGAAAAGAGAAATGAAGGTGACAGGGTGACAGAGCGTGACCTCCTTCTGCGTGCTCTCTGCCCCTTTAGGACCTCAGCAGCACAGATCTTATCCGGCCCCGCATCAGCCTCGTGTGCCAGATTGTCCGGGTGGGCCACATGGAGCTGAAGGAGGGCAAAAAGCACACCTGTGGCCTCCGAAGACCTTTTGGAGTAGCAGGTACAGAAAGACCCAGAGACAAATGTAAAATGGTGCAGCCACTGTGGAAAAGAATGTGTCGGGTCCTCAAAAATTAAACATAGAACTTAGGATCCAGCAATCCCGTTCTGGGTGTGTACCCAAAAGAAGTAAAAGCAAAGATATTCGTACACCTGTGTTCATGGCAGCACTATTTACGATAGCTAAACCTGGGTGTCTGTTAACAGATGGGTGGATAAACAAAATGTGGTCCATCCGTACAATGAAATATCATTCAGCCTTAAACAAGAAGGAAATTCTGACACATGCTACAACATGCATCAGCCACGAGGATATTATATTAAGTGAAATAAGCCAGTCACAGAAAGATAAAGGCTGTACGATTCCTAGAGCATCAAATTCACAGAGACAGAAGGTAGAAAGGTGGTGGCTGCCAGGGACTGAGAGGGAGAGGAGAGTGGGGAGTTAGTGTTTAATGGGGACAGAGTTTCAGTTTGGAAAGATGAAAACATTCTGGAGGTGGAGGTTGGCGATGGCTGCACAACGGTATGAATGTACTTAATGCCACAGAACTGTACATGTGAAAACAGTTAAAATGGTAAATTTTACATTATGTATATTTTACTGCAATAAAAAAAATTTAAAAGAAAGATAGAAAGAGAGGGGGGAGGAAGGCAGAGAGGGAAGAAGGATGGAAGGAAAGAAGGGAAGGAGGCAGACCCAGAGACAGTGGGAGATGAGCGTTTGCTGCCTGGGGCCGCCAGTTAGCTTTTCTCAGGTTCTGTGTCCTCGCCCAGCCCCCACCTGCTTTGTTTCTGCCTCAGTGCCCAGCACCCTGTCTTGTACACAGCAGGCGCTCAGTAAGCCTTCCACTGGAATCCTCCCTGCCTGGGGCCGCGTATTGGTTTCAGTCAAATAAAATTCTCCCTGCAAAGTGGTTTGCTTATCCAGGAAACTTCCTCTTCAAAGGCAACATTGTGTTTATAACTGCTTTCAGAGAGGGTCCTTGGCTTAATTCAAACCCCACAACCTTCTAAGAGGCGCTGCATTTTCCTCTGTTGTTTGTTAAATTGAGGAACTATATTTTTGGTCTTACATTGATATTATGGGCACTAAGTGGTTTTGAAAGCCACCCATGAAATGTCATAATTCTGCTCCTGGAACGAGGCCCAGAAACTCCCTGTTATCAGGGTCGACCTTGTGGGTTCTGTGGGTAATGAGGCCGCCTCCGTGTCCCGTGAGACTGTGTACTGTGCCTCCCTTCAACACCCCGCGCTCCACCTGCCGCTCAAGGTCTGCCTGGCTCCGTCCCGAGGGGCCAGCGTGACTTCCTGATAGGGAATTACAACGGAATCTCAGAAAACGCAAGAGCCCTGGCCCAGGACTGTTTAGCCATCTATATGGCAATCTATTCATTGTCCCATAAAAGATATAAGGAATACGCAAGGTCATTGCTGTTCAAAAGGGGCCAAAGAGATTCAAGCATGAAGTTTGAGGGTTTTGTTGCTTTTCTATTTCAGGTGTGTGTGTGTGTGTGTGTGTGTGTGTGTGTGTGTGTGTGTGCATGTATGTGTGTTTCTGTGTTCAGGGCATTGAGCGTGGTGGGAAAGGGGAGGAAACTAATTTACTCTAGGCTTTGATGCCGAGCATTAGTAGAGCTTAGGGGTAACTAGATGATGGCACCTGCAAATGCACTGCCAATTTTGGGGGGTCAAATACAAATTTTGCAGTATTTTTTTGTACAGTGTTTGCAGGAGTCCATTAAGGGCTGACAGCAAATTGATGTCATGCCCTGCTTTCTACACTTCCTCTCACCAACATTGTTATCTCCCAGGCCTTATGTGCTGTGTTGTTGGGGTTACTTTGAGAAGGCATTTCCTTCCTTATCCTTAGTTTTTCGTATGAGAATTGTCTCCTATTTCAGTATTTCTTTTAATCTCCAAACAGGTTATTTGGGGACTGGATTGTTAGTGTGTATTTTATGGCGAGATTGTAATTTATTAATCAAAGGATCACCTCCTGCCATGGGCTCTGCCTCATTTTGGCAGCTGTAGAGTGGCCCCCTCATTACTTCTCTAGGCAGTAGGGCATAGTTAGGTTAAATGATTTGGCCCTGTGGTCACTATTGGGTTCATACCCTGGCTTCCACGTAAAAGTTCTGACCTAGGGCAAATTACCTATCTTTCCTGTGCTCAGTTTCCTCATCTCTTAAAGTAGAGCTAATAATAATATCTGTATAAATAAGATAACATATGCAATAGGCTTAGGACAGGGCTTTTTAAATTGCTCTTCTTGTACATAAAGGAGCAAATCACAATATGAGCTTCTAGTCTGTGCTGCTGGTGCCCTGGCCTCCTCGTTCACGTGGAAACCAGGTGAGATAATGTCAAATCAAAGAGACAGTTGGCCACTTCAGGTCTTGAGTTTCTCTCCCAAGTCTTTCCTTCTGTTGACACTCCTGCCAAAAATATGTGTTCTCTGTGTCTTTGAATGCAGGCTTACTGAAAAGTAATCCTGTCTCAAGTTTCTCAAGAATTTAGCAGCTCGGTCCTATAGAATTTTTTGAAAGGGTCTGCAGGGTTGATCTGAGAAAATCTGAGCCCTGCATGAGCTCCTCATGAATTGCTCTTCTGCTGGGCTGGGGACACTGGGGCTCATCGTTGGCAAAGAAATGAAAGAAGTGGCCCTGCTTGGTGTCTTTCTTCCTCCGGTGTTCTATGTTTGTGGGTCCTGTAATTTTCCATTGTAACTCGCTGAGGCCTGAAGCAATTAGTTTCTTTAATTAAGTTTCTCTCTTTCCTAGTGATGGACATTACTGATATCGTCCATGGGAAGGTAGATGACGAAGAGAAGCAGCATTTTATTCCCTTTCAGCAGTAAGTACTTTGGCATTTACCCCGGGTGACTTGGGACCTGGGTTAGCCCTTTGAATGTCTGTTAACATGGAACCAGCTGCCAGGAACCGTTTGCCCAGTTAGAGAAGGGAAGCTTCTTAGGCTGGAAGATGGTCAGATAGAAGCTGACAGAAGATGTTATTCAAAGTCCTTTATATTGGACTCCAATTTAAGAGGTGTCCGAACTTTCATGCCTCTCCGGAAATGACTGAAGGAATATAAGGGGAAAATCTGTATCTGCGCTGGAAGCCAGAGAATGGTGCCATTTAAGTGTCAGAAATGCCAACGTTTCTCTGTACTTTGTTGTAGGGAACAGGTATCATGGAGGACAAAGAATCACATAAGACGGACAGGGCTTCTCAAGCTGTAACATGCATATGCGTCACCTGGGATCTTGTTAGAGTGCAAAATGTGATCCGGTGTGTCTGGAGTCTGCATCTAACAAGCTTCCGGGAGATGCTGAAGCTCCTGGTCTAGAGGCCACGCATTGAGAAGCAAGGGTTTAGGAGGTGCGAGAGTGAAGGGCTGACTAGTCTTTGTGTTCCTGCAAGCGGAGGGAAAGCCAGCCCGGGAGTGCGTGGGAGGATTCCTCGTAGAGCTCCACTAAGGCCCGCATACTGAATTGGAGCTGGAGCCCTTGGCGGGCCACTGGGGAGCTGCTGGCAAGCAAATCTCAATCCCCATCACTTGAAGAAGTATGCATGTGAACGTCAAGACTGGCTCTGGCAGTCATGCTCCGCTTACCCTGTGCAAGTGAGGCCAGGGATGTTGCTGGAACTGACTCCTAAGAGGGCAGTAGTGTCGGCGAGAGAAGGTGATTGTCTCAGCCAGCTTGTGGCCGCCACAGCAGATCAGTATGACAAACTGGGCATTCCGGAAACCAGACCAAGGATATTTGAGTTAATATATGATTTTATTAATAACAAATAATAAGATTATATTATTTAAAAAATTATTTAAAGTATATTAATAATAAATCAGAGGAGAAAGATAAACCATGCAAAAAAAATGTTTGAGAAAATTAGCTAACCATTGTAAGTTAGAACCTCCTCTCATAACTTACACCACTATAGATTCCAGATGCAACACAAGTGTTAAGAGCCAAAATCTTCAAATACTACAAGAAAATGGAAGTTTTACATAATAGTGCCATGGAAAGCCTTTCTGGGTCAGACACCAAAGATTCGACTAAAAAAGAAAATTGATAGGTTTAACTGCACAAAAATTTTAAACAACTTATAAGTAGAAAAAATTTAGTAAAATATTTGCAATGCTTATGAAAAAGGGTAAGTATTCTTAATAAAGAAATAATAGAAGTTCATAAGGGCATAAAAAGGAAATATACACACACACAAAGAGTTGGCCTATAAATTCATTGAGAATCAATGAAATGCAAATTAAACAATGAAGTTTAGTTTTTGGCTTGACCAAGTTTTAAAAATATATACCTTATTCAGTCCTTCGTGTGTATAAAGAAACATACATTACCTATAGGAATATAAATTGTTACAATGCATTCAAAGCCTTAAAATTTTAATATTTCAAAGAATATACTCCATAATTAACAGTGATTATTTCTGTTAGTGTAACTATAGGTGATTTTGCCCCTCTTTTTGTTTAACTTTGTTTTCTATTTTTTATACAATAAATATGTATTATATATAATTTTATTTAAAATATAAAAATCCTTGTCTTTCAATTTAAAGTCCAACACCTTTGGACCAGTTTCTAAACATAACAGTTTTCCCCCTCATCCAAAGGTTGTTATTAGAAATTTTCTAAGGATGTGTTTATGTAGATCCTAACAACCATATCCTGACCCACCAAGAATATGACTAGATCAGTATTTTATGTAACATGCTAATATGAACTAGAAAGTAACTTTCAAATTTATGAATGCTGTTCCCAATATAAATATATACATATATTTAAAAATACATTAAATTTAATAAATATATTAAAGCATATTATAATTCTATACTAATATAATGTACTTATAATATAATTGTATTTATATTTTAATATAATTAATATATTAATGTATTACTACATTGAATCGAATATGTTTCTCATATACATATTAATAAATATTAAATACATAAATATATAGAATAAATATGAATATATATTTAAATAAATAATATAAATGTATTATATTTATGATAAATGTAAATAACTTTCATATCCATGAATGTTGTTCCTATTATACATACATATATTATAGATTATTATTATATATGTATTATGTGTATATGTGTATAATATATATGTATATACGTTATAGGAACAGCATTCATGAATGTGGAAGTTATATGAAATGGGATATGATATATATGTATATGTAAATAATAGGGGCAGCATTTACGGATATAGAGTTATTCTGCTCCGTATATAATATTTAATTAGATCCAGAATAGGAGCAGTGGTGTGGATATGGACGTTATCTCAAATGCGTTTCTGTGTATGTGTCCCCGCTCTGAGGCGGCCTCTTCCTTTGACTGTGTGTTCTCTGCTTGCTCTCTGAGCCGGCTCGCGCCCGGCAGCGTGTGGAAGCAATGAGCCCTGGGATTGTCTCCACCGGATCATAATACATGCTTTGAGTGTCTGAGGAGCCCAGCCCTAATTTGATTACCACTCACTGTGCAGCCAACAGCCACTGTGAAGTGTTCACAATGCAAATCGCAGCCTCTGGCATTTAAGTCCTAAGATTTGTGGCAAATGCTTTCATAACTTACCTCAAAAGATTTATAATGTATTGTTTTAGGAGAGTTTCATACGTGTTAGGAGAGTTTCATACGTGTATTCTGCTAGTCCATCTAAGAGAGTCATTTGCACATGGCAGCTCAGATCCTAGCGATCCCACTTTTCAGTAGCATGTTGCTGTATGTTTGCCCCTATTGTCAGGGTGCAGATCTGGACCCTACTTAGCAGGCCAGAGAACAAAACCTCCGCAGAGAAGACTGGAGACTATTGTGCTGCACCAGGCTGATGGGCAGTAACTGATGGCGCTTGTGCTGTCAATAGAATGGGGCTGTGTTTGGTCCTTTGATCACCCTGTAGGAGCCTCAGCCTGATGTGATCGTTCAAGTGACGCTTGCTGGCTGGTGCCCGTGCCGTTGCCTCCCTAAATATAGCTGGTCATCACATGAAAATCCAAGAGCACCTTCCAAAAGCCGCTGCATACATACAGCTCTTGTACACTGAGCTTTGGCAACAGATGGGGGCCTTCTCTGCATGTGATCCAGGCCCATCTCCTTATAGACAAGGAAACTGAGGCCCAGCGGGAGACTCTCGGAGCGCTCACTGTCAAGGAGAACTGGAACTGGAGGCCACATCTCCTGCCCCTTCCCGGTCCTTCACTTCCGTTATAGCAGCCTCTCCCACCTCGTAAAGAGCATCAGCATTGCCTCTGATTTTAGTTGTTAACATTTGGCATCAGTTTTGTTTGTTCTTGGGTTTTTTTTTCATCTTTGCCCCAAGTCATTTCCAAGATAGGCACCCAATGGAAAAATAAAGGAAAGATGGGAAGAGTCCCCTAGTTAGGTGTGTTCAGTGTTTATATTTCCAAATTATTCCCATAAGACCCACCACTCTCTGAGGCTGTGCTACAGAGACTTCCTCTTTTTTCCTTACCTCTGTTTCTGACTTTCCCAGAATTGCGATGGAAACCTATATCCGGCAGAGACAGCTAATCATGTCGCCCCTGATAACATCCAATGTGATTGGGGAGAATGAGCCGCTCACATCAGTCTTGAATAAAGTGATAGCAGCGAAGGAAGTGAATCACAAAGGACAAGGTACACAGCCCTGTGCGCTAAGCTGGGAGGGGCCTTTGGCGGGGTGGCGGTGCAGTCACAGCTGAGTCCTTGGACTCCTGCCCTTTCCTTATCTTCCTCTGATACAAAACAGACCCTGCTGGGCCTACCCACCTCAGCTTCCTACTGAAGACGTTTAATACTGAAAATCGCCCAGAATGCGCCCGGCACTGAGCTGGATCACAGCTGTATTTTGTAAATCCTGTGGAACAAATTTTTAATTCCATGAGCCTTTCCTCAGTTTTGTCTCTACAATCTCAGTGCTGACTCTAGGTAAATGCACAAAGAAAAAGAGATTTGGGGATAATTGTGTTCCATCCAATAGGATATGTTTATCCTATTACATTTCCTAAAATTGAGAGGAAGGAGACCAAAGTAATACAAATGAATATGTATTAATATAAAATAATGGGCCATCTAGCAAAACATTTTTAGTTGTTTTTGGTACCTCCATATCATTCTGTTGACATAGTTTTAAGTAAGAAAAATTTTACTTATTGAAACTGAATTTTAAATTCAATTAATAGGGAAAAATAGTTAAAACTTTAAAGTTCAAATACCAAGATGGTGAAGATTTTTGGATAGCACTAAAGATTGAGTTACTTTTTTTCACCAACTTTGTAACTGCCTTCCAAAGTGGAGGCAATCAGGAAACACGTTATTTTCAGTGTATTTCGAGTTTCCCGTGTACTCACATTACCCTGAGTAGGAAAGACACGTGAGGAGTCATTGAAGAATCTGGAAACAAATAACTAAAGATATTTCGGTTGTTGTGGAACTCCTAGCCTAAGGATATAATTTATTAAAGTGGAAAATCCTTACACTGGATTGTTCTGTGTGTATAATTTCTTTTTTTTTTTTAACAAAAGTCAAAAAATATTTCCTCTCTTGCTGCTCAACAAAACAAGTGCTTTTCAAATGTTTTTATGCTCATCACAAATATTCCTTGTGGTTGCATAATATTCCATGGCTTGGATTTAAGAAAATTAAATCTCCCTGGGTAAACACTTAAGTGTTTTCTACTTTGTCACAACTATAAATTTAAATAACTCTGCTGTGACTACCATTATACATGAGCTTTTTCCACGTTTAAGACTACTTCCTCAAGAAAATTCCCAGAAGTTGGATTTCTGAATCAAAGGATGGGAACAAGCTTAAACCCGGAGAGACACATATTGCCAGATTGCTTTCCATAGATTTCTACCTGAGGGCGCTAATCACCGTCTTACCAGCTTTGCAAACTGATATTTAAAAAGCTTTACCTATTTGAAAGGTAGAAAGTGGACTTCCATAGTTCTCTTGCATTTAAAAAACTACTCAAGGGTGAATTATCTAGACTTCATATGTATTTATGAGTTTTCTAAAGTGTTCCTTTTCAGTTTTTATGAGCTCTCTATATAATGAATATGTCGTCTTATTTAGGACACATTTTTTAATTTTTGGTTTTTCCAAATATTTGTAAACTTCTTGTATGTCCTTGTGAATTCTCTTTTTGTGTCCTATTTATTTGTGAGATCTTAATGTTTTTCCTTTAATAAGTATAAATTCATAACTTATGTCACCATTTTGCAGTATGTCTTACTTTTTATGAAGTCAAAACTTTCAGTTTATGTGTAGATAATTCTTTTGTGATTTCTTCATTTATTCTCTACTTAGAAAAATGATTCAATCGCAAAGATTTAATAACTATACACTTGTTTTTTCTTTTAATTTCCTTTTTTCTATTTACTTATTATATTAGAAATTTATTTTAATGAAAATGTGAGGTGATAAATTAGACTGATCTGTTCTAAGTAGCAAGAAAATTATCCCGGCACATTTATGAAATTATAGTTTCTTTTTTCATGATTTGTAATGACTCTTTTGCTATATCTAAAATTGCTATATATTATAGTACTTAATCTCATTGTTTCCATTGATTTATATATCTTTTCTGTCACTAATATCACACATTACTATAGCTTTACAGCATTTTGATGTCTGATAGGGGCTATCTTTACCCTTTTTTTCCCCCAAAGTAAACATCTGTTCATATCTTTGTCAAATTCTCCATGAAGTCCTGCTGTGATTTTGATGGGAGTGTCATTAAAATTTTAAGTTAACTGAGGGAGAATTTACATCTTTATAATGAGGTATATCAATACATGTATATTTTTTTCTCAACATTTGTTTATGTGTTTATTATATAGATCATACAGAGAACTAAAAGTTTATCTTTTCTTTCTTTAAAGGACTTTGGGTGTCCTTGAAGCTATTGCCAGGTGATCTCACGCAAGTTCAGAAGACTTTTTCACACTTGGTGGATAGATCGACAGCAATCGCCCGAAAAATGGGCTTTCCTGAAATAATACTTCCAGGTAAACACCCTGCTTGATTCCCCCATTCTGCTTGCTCCAGGACCTCCTTCCGTGCAGCACAGTCGAAGCAACAGGGATCTGTAAGATTCAGTATCTGCATTCTGTGGTGCCTGGACAGTGGGACATACAGACAGGGTTGCACTCCCCAGTGCGCAAGCCCAGGGTCCTGCTTTCACCGTGACTCAGAATTTTCTGTTCTCTCTCTCTTCCTTCGTGTTCCATATAAGCCCCTCTGACATCCTTCCCCAGACCACCCATTAAGTAGAGCTAATGAGAGCACAGGTTCTCTGCGCGTTTTCTCCTGGCATCACCAGTGTCGTGGGCTACTGGCAGGAAACCCCAGTGAAATGTCTGCTCAGCTCGGTCTCTGCTGAGTTCCCTGCTCCATTTGTTTAAGCTCCAGCTGTCTTCTTGGCTCTCCCTGTACTTGTGACAAGAAAGTAAACATTCTGCAGGTTCTTACTTTAGTTTCATCTTTTTTGCCACCGTGTGTTGGTGATCTGCATTCTCTTGAACTCACTGATTTAACCCATTTAATTTCTTAATCTTTACAGTAGTAAAAGGAAATCATTTCCTCAAGGAACTTTATATAATATAATATATAATATTATATAAATAATAAAATATGAATATATATTACATAGATAGGTAGATTTTACACATTCATATAAAATCTTTGGCCTATTGAAAAAATTCTAGAAAACCAAACTGTTATTTATTGCTTAAAAATTTAGGTTCTTTTAAAGTAATATGAGATCTTATTCTTCCTTTGGGAGATTGAGGAGCAATAATAATTTATTGCTGGACACATTGTCTGCACATAGTGGGTATTAAAAGAATATTTGTAGGATGAATGAATAAAAGAGCTATGAAATGGAAATTACCTTTTTCTTCTTATTTCTTCCCTTCCAGAGCCGTTCACCCTAATACATATTCATCAACATTCTGGGAAAATGTTTTTCTTCTTGTTTAAAAAAATAAGTCTCGGTGTTATATGTCAATTAAAAAAATATATTGGTAATATTCCCATAACCGAAGGCACTCTTATTGCTACAGCAAGACGGAATACTGAAAAATAATACAGAGAAATTTATTTTATCTTTGAAATCTGGCTGGAAAGACCCTTTGTGATCCATAGGATTGGTTTGTACATGGCCAGGGCCGTGATGGACTTTAAAAATCATCTATGAGGCTGGCCCCGTGGTCGAGCGGATGGGTTCACACGCTTCCCTTTGGTGGGCCAGGGTCTCACTGGTTCAGATTCTGGGCGTGGACCTAGCACTGCTCATCAAGCCATGCTGAGGCGGCGTCCCACATGCCATGACTAGAAGGACCCACAACTAAAATATACAGTCATGCACCAGGGGGCTTTGGGGAGAAGAAGGAAAAATAAAATGTTAAAAAAAATCATCTAGGATGATGATTCCCAAATGCTAGTCTTAGATCCGCTAATCAGGATCACCTGGGAAACATTACAATACAGATTCCCAGATTCTTCCAGAGACTCTGAGTGTGTAAGACCAGGGCTTCCCAGGTGATTCTGGTGGTCGACCAGGTTTGAGAGATAGAGGCCTAGACCAAGTGCCTTACCGTGTAGTTCCTTCTCATGGCCATTTGAGCAGGCCCAGATACGTCTTAAACTCTGCCCTCCACCCCAGGTTCCTCCCTGGCTAAGGCGCTCTTGCTTTCTGCCTCATCTGCACAGCCACATTCTTGAAAGTGGTTATGTACTCTCTATCTCTGTGTTTGCACCCGCCAGTCACCCTCTATCCTGTCCAGAATGGCTGTCATTAGAGTCACCAAAGACTGCAGTGTCCCTAAGTCCAACGGCTACTTTTTAGCCTAATGATCCTCTCTGGTCCCTCGGCAGCATGTGACACTGTTGATCACTCCCTGCTTGAAATAGTCCCGCCTCATTGTCCGTGACCCCACACTCTTCTCTTTTTCTCCATTCCCCTGCGGCCTCTCCCAGGACTCCTTTGCCACCTTATCTCCTCCCTCACCTTTAAATGCTGGAGTGCCTCACTATGTGGCCCTTATGCCCTTAGCTAGCTAGAGCTGCCGTCACAGAATACAACAGACTGGCTGGCTGAACAACAGAAGTTAATTTTCTCACAGTCTGGAGGCTGGAAGGCCAAGGTCAAGGGGCTGCAGGGTTGGTTTCCTGAGGCCTCTCTCCTTGGCTTCTCGCTGTGTCCTCACGTGTCACCCCCTCGGTCTGCATGTTGCCTGTGTCCCGATCTCTCCTTACAAGCACACCAGTTCTATTGGATTGGGGCTCACCCTATGACCTCATTTTACCTTAATCATGTCTGTAAAGGGCCCGTCTCCAAATACAGCCACATTCTGCGGAGCTGGGGGTGAGGGCTTCAACACAGGAATTCAGCGGGGACACAGTTCAGTCCAGAGCAGGTCCCCTTTCCTCCTCAGCAATAGCCATTCTTTTGGCTTCTCTTTGTTAGTTGCCTCCAAATCCATATCCCCCACCCCAAGATGCCTCCTTTGAACTCATTCCCATGGGTCCAACTACTTCCTGCCTCGGCAGTTTAGTGGGTGCTGTTCCCACCCCTGCCTGGATCTCTCTCCCCTCTTTACTTGGTTAATTCTTACTCAGAACCCCGTTTGGAACTCCTAACTGTGCATCTAGACAGGCTCTTCTGTTGTGTTTTATCTAAGAGGTGGCATCCCTTCCGTCGAGGTGCACAGACAAGAAGCCTCAAAGTCACCTTGACACCTCCCTTTCCTTTACACCTTACACCTGCCAGTCTTACCTTTGGAAGGACTCTCAAATCCATCCCCTTCTCTCCCTCTCCATTGCCGCTGCCCGAGTGGTCGCCTCGGTCATCAGTTCCCTGGACACCCGCCATGGCTTCCCAGCTGGTTTCCCTGTTGCTGCTCCTTCCTGCCTCGTACCCTTTCTCCACGCTGTGGCGGGAATGAGCTTGATGAGAGCCCACCTGGTCTCCTCCCACTCCTTCCCTGCGGAAAGCGTTTCCGTGACCTCTGCTTACACTCTGGAGGAAGATACAGGTGCTCTTAAACTTGTTTTTTTTAAGATTGGCACCTGAGCTAGCATCTGTTGCCAGTCTTTTTTTTATTTTTTATTTTTCTTCTTTTCCTTCTCCCCACAGCCCCCCGGTACATAGTTATAGATTCTAGTTGCGAGAGCCTCTGGTTGTGGCGTGTGGGATGCTGCCTCAGCATGGTCTGATGAGTGGTACCGTGTCTGCACCCAGGATCCAAACTGGCAAAACCCTGGGCCGCCGAAGCAGAGTGCGTGAACTTAACCCTCAGCCACAGGCCAGCCCCGGAAGATATAGATTTTTAACGTGGCCTGCAAGCCTCAGGGAGACTTGACTTTTGTCTGTCTCTGTAGCCTGGTCTCACACCAGATCCCCCATCACTGTAAAGACTTCAGTCCTCTGTCTACTACCTTTGGGCCTTTGCACATGCTGCTCTCTCTTCTTACTCTCACCCCTCCAATATCAGCTCAAAGGAAACATTCTCACCCCTCCAGACAAGGTTGGGACTTAGTGTTACGCTTTCACAGAGCCTGGCCTTTTCCTTCATTTTTGATGATGTGTTTCATCATGTGATTGTCTGATAATGCTTCTCTCCCCAACCAGACTGTAAGCTATGTGAGAGTGAGGTTGGTGCATGCCTCACCACTGTCTCCCAAATACCTAGCGCAGTGCTTGGTACAGAGTAGGTACTCAATCAGCTTGTTATTTTATTTATTTATTTATTTATTTTTACTTTTTATTTTTTTGAGGAATATCAGCCCTGAGCTAACATCTGCCCCCAATCCTCCTCTTTTTGCTGAGGAAGACTGGCCCTGAGCCAACGTCCGTGCCCATCTTCCTCTACTTTATATGTTGGATGCCTACCACAGCATGGCTTGCCAAGCAGTGCCATGTCTGCACCAGGGATCCGAACTGGCGAACCCTGGGCCACCAAAGTGGAACGTGCACACTTAACCACTGCACCTCCCGGCCTGCCCCTCATTCAGCTTTTTAAATGAGTAAATGAATATTATCTCATCTGATTGTACCATAATTTATTCAACCAACTGTCTGTGGTTGGAAATTGAGGAGGTTTCCAAGTTTTTGCTTTCATAAACCACACCACAATGAATATTTTTAGAGATAAGTCATTTCTCACTTTATTATTTTTTTTTTTTTAGGAAGATTAGCCCTGAGCTAACATCTGGTGCCAATCCTCCTCTTTTTGCTGAGGAAGACTGGCCCTGAGCTAACATCTGTGCCCACCTTTCTCTACTTTGTATGTAGGATGCCTACCACAGCATGGTTTGACAAGTGGTGCGCAGGTCCACGCCGGGCATCTGAACCAGCAAACCCCGGCCCGCCAAAGCGGAATGTGCAAACTTAGCCGTGCACCACCGGGCCGGCCCCTCATCGCTTGCATTTTTAATACTTGGGGACAAATATTAGCAGTGAAATTGGTGTGTCAATTAAGGCTTTTTGACACAAATTGTTAACTTCTCCACTGATGAAGATTAAGATTTCAAACTGCGATATACGAATAAGCCCCTTTTCCTTCACACCTCATCAACTATGAGCAGTATCTTAATTGTTTTTCTAAGTGGATAAGTGATGGAAATAAGTTTTCTACGTGTGTATCCTGATTTTCTTAGAGTGCTGTCAGGTTTTATTTTTTACATTTGGAGGCAATTTAATATACTACAGATTTTTGATTCATTTTTACAATACGGAGTCTTCCCATCCAGGAACTTGGTATGCCTTTCATTCATTACAGGTTTTGTTTATGTATTTCAATGATATTTAAAAATTTTCTTCACTATGGGGGCTACACACTTTGAAGTTAATTAATTTTTAAAATTTTGTGCTGGTTAACCAAAAATATGGTAAGCAGGAATTATTCTGATGGCGGTAAAAACAATTAAGCTGATTTAAATAAACACAAAGTATTTTGCAGACTTTCATGAAGTGTCTACCTCATCAAGTTCTTATATGGATTGAATACATTATTGCATATGAGACACTTTGAGTAGTGCCCAGCACATAGTGAGCACTGAGTAAACATTAGCCTTCATTATTTTTCAGATGTGTTAAAATATCACACTCTCCAAGGCATTATTGAAAAAAAAATCTGCCACTGAAACCTAGTAAAATATATTTTGTACTTATTATTAGACAGCAATTATTTTAAAGATTTTATTTTTTCCTTTTTCTTCCCAAAGCCCCCTGGTACATAGTTGTATATCTTAGTTGCAGGTCCTTCTAGTTGTGGCATGTGGGACGCCGCCTCAGCATGGCTTGATGAGCAGTGCCATGTCCGCGCCCAGGATTCGAACTGGCGAAACCCTGGGCCACCACAGTGGAGCGCTTGAACTTAACCACTCAGTCACAGGGCCAGCCCCTAGACAGCAATTATTAATAAATAGAATAAAGGATTACTATTGGAAAGAGTTCGTTAGGGGCTGGCCCGGTGATCCAGCGGTTAAGTTCACACGTTCCGCTTCTCAGCGGCCCAGGGTTTGCCAGTTAGGATCCCAGGTGTGGTCATGGCACCACTTGGCAAGCCATCCTGTGACAGGCATCCCACATATAAAGTAGAGGAAGGTGGGCACAGATGTTAGCTCAGGGCCAGTCTTCCTCAGCAAAAAGAGGGGGATTGGCAGCAGATGTTAGCTCAGGGCTAATCTTCCTCAAAAAATAAGTAAATAAGTAAAAGGTTTAAAAAAAGAGAGTTCATTAAAGAAAACTACACTTCAAAGACACGTTGGTATGTATGGAAAGGTAGAATGAGCTAAGCTAAAGGGAACAACATATTTAAAAACTTCTGCTATATGAATAGTTGATTATAAAGTCAGAGCATTTCATATTTTACTTAGAATTTACATGTTATTACATCCTGAAAATTAAAAATTACTTTTCTCAGCACACTCACAGGATGGGTTGTCATGTTGCAGGAGATGTTCGGAATGATATTTATGTCACCCTCATCCATGGGGAGTTTGACAAAGGGAAAAAGAAGACGCCGAAGAACGTGGAGGTGACCATGTCTGTGTATGACGAGGAGGGCAAGCTCTTGGAGGTACGCGGCATTGCCCAGAAGTGCTGCTGCTGTCACACCCTTCTCTACAATAATGAGGGGCTCTGGGCCTGATGTTAGTTCTTCACATTAGGATGCGTTTGGTTTTTTATTTATTTTTTAATTTTTTTTGAGAGATTGGCACCTGAGCTAACAACTGTTGCCAATCTTTTTTTTTTTTTTTTCCCTGCTTTATCTCCCCCAATCCCCCTGGCACATAGTTGTATATCTTAGTTGCAGGTCCTTCTACTTGTAGCATGTGGGATGCCTCCTCAGCATGGCCTGACAAGTGGTGCCATGTCCGCGCCCAGGATCTGAACCTGCAAAACCCTGGGCCACTACAGTGGAGTGCGTGAACTTAACTGTTTGCCCACGGGGCTGGCCCCAGGATGCATTTTGGTTTTTCATGAGGAAAAAATATGAAATCTGTTAAATTTGTGGTTAGCAATTACCAGTTTTACTAATAAACCCAGTTGGACCCTTATTTTCATTATTTCTCCTGTGCTAAGAAATATCTCAAGCCACTAGTGACTTTATGTGTAAGCATCTGATGCAGAGGTTCTTTATCATTTTCAAATTATTAGCCACTTTCAAGCCCATTCAGTTCCTCTGGGGCTCGAGCGAAGTGGCCCTCGTGCCCAGAAAGCATTGAAAGGCACATTTCCTCCACCTGGGTGAGCAGAACCAAAGGAGCTGCCCGCTGGAGAGCTGTTAAACCGGAAGGGCTCTTGGTTGGAGGTCAACGGCTGTGCTCTTGAGTTGTAATAATCGGGAAACAGCAGCTCCAAACTGATGAGCTGTTTTCTCAGGGACACGCAGGAGTCAGTGATGGAGCTAGGACTGGATCCCCGTATGCTGCTTCCGGCCCAGAGTTCCTCCAACTGCAATGAGTGCTGACTGTGGCATTGAAGAGAAGGCTGGGCAGGGGGTGTTCCAGGAGGCTCCCATTGTGTCAGACTCACTGATTCCACAGCAGGCGACCGTGGCCACAGCTCGGCTGAGACAGGAGGGAGAAATCATTTTCCTCCCACAGCGGTGTGTCTGCACACGCGCCGTGGCTCCCAGTCACCCACACTAGGCCTCTGTTCCCTGAGAGAGCAAAGAAGACGAGACTGTAAGGCTGAGGCTGCAAGCGAGGAAAAAGGTTACAGCAAAGAGGAGAGTTGGGACGGTGCCGGGTCCCTGAGCGACCGCCACGTTTATACGCTAGACCTTCAAAGAAAGTGGTGGAAACTCAATCCTACTCTTCTGTTCAGCCCCCCACTGTAACCGGCTTATATGTGCCAGCGTAAGGCACGCTGGGCGTGTGGAGGGCCGAGGGCTCGCGCAGGGTGCGTGGAGACCTTTTGATTTTTCTAGATAAAATTATCACCCCCTGATTTTTTCTTTCCCTCCGAAGAAAGCCGTTCATCCAGGTGCCGGCTACGAAGGCGTCTCAGAGTACAAGTCCGTCGTCTATTACCAGGTCAAGCAGCCCTGCTGGTACGAGACAGTCAAGGTGAGGATGCCCAGCCGGGGGCCTCTGTGCTCTGGCAGACCTCGTGTAGGCTCCTTTCCTCTTTTTACCCACAGATCATCCTACTTTGTCCTGAAGTTTTAGGTGGGTTGTCTGTGGTGTGCAATAAGAAATTAATTGATAGTTATAATTCTGTATAAGTGCACTTATCTTTGATAAACTCAGAATTCGTAAATAACATTCTCATTCATGAATGTGTAGAAATTTGAATGGAGAAACTTACGATTGTCATGATGCAGTGGGCTGCCAAGATGGTCCAAACCCAAGTGGAAGTGTCCACACTCCTGAGCAGTTGCTTAATGTTGTTTTCTTCTTGGCCTCTCGCCAAGTTTTCTGGGCCTCTTTTCAATTTAAATATGTGTATTACAGATTCCAAAGTCAGCTCCGTCCTCTCGCTCGAGCCTCGCAGCGCTGCTCCTCAGTCAGCTGTTGCCCTGCCCCTTTCCCCTTAGCTGACTGAGACTCGGAGAAAGGAAGTGACTTCCCAGGATCCTCAGCTGCTCAGTGTCAGAGCCTAAACTGGAGCCCGCTTCTTCTGAATCCCGGGCCCCATCAGCTCTTTCCAATTGTCAAAGTCTTATGAGTCTCCATAGAAAACTCAAAGAAAAAAAGTGGCACTAGTATCTCCATTCAGAAGTAACTATTTTCCATGATTTTGTATGCTTCCTATGTTTGGAATTATCTGTTTATACAAATTGATATTGTGCTTTTTAAAACTACTTATCTCGAGGCATTATAAGTTCTTCAGAAATGTAATTTTAGATACTTGCATAATATTCCATTAGTCATGCCATAATTTAACTATTTGCGACAAATTCTCTGCTCTTTTCATAGCCCCATGCGTCTGTATTCCTAGTCACTGCTCTATATATAAGCAGCAGAAACCGTCCCTGTCCCCAGAATTTTATCTTTTCCCTCTATTATAGACCCTAATTATTATCATATCAGGATCCGCCTTGCAGTCTGGAAGGTCCTATGTAGAACTGAAAGTCTTGATCTTTTCCCTCTGGAGTATTTCTTGTTTCATACTTGAGAAAATGTAGTATCTCCATTCTCAGAATCTATGATAAACAGCAAAGATGATCTTCTCCTGAGATGCTTTCGATTTGAAAATAACTAAATCTCCTTTGATTGAAACCTTATACCATATTTCACTTCTGTAGAAATTAGTGCTGTGATAAGACACTAAAAATGAGCCTAATTCTGTAAAATGTGCTATGGGTACAAAGTACTGCATGTATGTATGTGTGTATGTATGTACGTGTGTATATATACAATTCCTTATTATTATGCAGGTGTCCATTGCTATAGAAGAGGTTACTCGCTGCCACATAAGATTTACCTTCCGCCACAGGTCATCTCAGGAATGTGAGTATTAGGAGGTCTGTGACCTCTTTCCGTAAGACACCTATTCATTCTTGCTTGACAATGTGGAGAACAAGATACTTGGCATCTTTATTTCAGAATTCAGTGCTGCTAAGGAAATCTGAAACATGAGGTTTTCTGGGCTTCCAAGATCTATGTTATTGTTCTGCATCACAATTTCCCCAAAATGTGTTCTGTGGATACTGAAGTTCTGTACTATGCTAATAGATGCTCTGTGACAAAAAGGGAGAGGAAGTGCTGTCTATCTCTCCCTCTTAGACATTCACAATGTATGTTGCTGTGTTGCCGAGAAGTCCTACAGCAAGAAAACTGTTTAATCTGTTGTCTCCCAAAATTAGTATTTTTCTCATGAAAGAGCTATTTGAAGTCTTAGTTCACAGTTCATGATATCACTGCTCTGAAGTTTGAATAGGGAAGAAAATTGATTATTTTCAGATTGATCACAAAATTTCTGAAAATGTCTTGTTCTCATTCAGTACTCCATAAAAATGCAATCCTTCATTCCAAACTGAATTTATTGAACACCATCTACACATGAGACTGCAGGCTAGGCCCTGGTATATGCCAGCAAATAGCATACAGTGGCGGCACTGAAGAGGTTCTGTGGTCTAGTTAGTAAAATGAGTAAAATACCAGGCAGTTAACTTCAGAACAGTGTGGTATGTGCTACAGCAGCAAACGCAGTTATAAGGGAGCATGCAGCGCAGTCCCATAAGATTTCCTGCATCCTAGCTGAGACTCGAAGGTGAGTAGACGTTAGCCCAGCGAAGGGTGACAGTGGAGAAATGTGTTTGAAAATCCAAGTAAGCTCAGTGGGGCTGAAGTGGGAGCAGTGGGAGTAATCATAATATTAGATTGAACCCTATGAAATTGCCATTTTGTAGGTCAATATCAAATAGTCAGCTATCAGCAATTTCATATGGTTCTGCATGATATTAAGCCAGAATTCATCAAGCCTTTGGTTTGTACCAAACGCTATGTGAAGCTCTATTTATACACTATCTTATTTAGTATCCACAATAATCTGAAAAGGTACATACTACTTTTATCCATATTTATACATAAAGAAACTGAGGCACAGAGAGGTTGGATGCTTGCCAAGGTCACAGGACTGGTAAGTGTTAGAGCCTGGATTGACACCTCTGCAGTCTGATTCCAGGCAAGCTGGAGCCAGATCATGAAGGACAAAGTTTATTTTGAACCACGTTATGGAGGAACCATTAAAGAGTGTTTTACGGGTGACGGTGGTGGTTGTTGTTTGGTATATGTTTATAAAAGCTTTATTCATAATACCCGGAAATTGCACATAGCCTAAATGGCCACCCACAAGAGGATGGATAAACAATTGTGGTATAATTATCCAGTGGATTACTGCTCAGCCAATCTGGGGACACACAGGTCATAGCAGAACTTAGAGTTGTGCCTGTGGGGAGACCAGGCCATGAGTTACCCCAGCCATGGACATCTCAGTAGTCCTCTGAGGTCTCAGAAGACCTCTGCTTCCTTGGGAGGCTGGACCCTCCTCCCCAAATGCCACCGGGCACCCGTACCCACTTCTCCTGACTCCCAGGCTACTATTGCAGAAGGAAGAGGAGAGTAGAAACCTTAGATGGCATCATAAACCTTGGAGTGTAGTAAATTCTTCACTGAGTCTATCTTAAAACAACAGAAATGAGGTATCTCATGAAAAGGTTTTGGAGCAAGACGATGTACCTGATTGGATTTGATTTCGGGAATCTCACTCTGGCTGCAAGGTGGAAAAAGACTGGAGACAGAAAGACCGGTTAGGGAGATCTTACAGAAATATGGGGAAGAGGTGAGGTGGCTGAACTGAGGTAGGAACAGAAGGGATGGAGAGAAATGGCATAGGTTCCAGAGGTGTTCAGCACATCGAGTTGACATGGGGGTGGATTCAGTGTCAGCAGCCACAATTCTGATTTGGAAGATTGAGTGGATGCTGGTCTCATTCATTTGCAAATATGGGAAGAGGTGCCAGACGAATTCAGTTAGGGAAATATTTCCTTTGAGGAGGCTGTCATGTGCGTTGTGTGGTTGGCTTATTGTAGCTCTCTGAACTGTGTTCATTGTAGCATGATTGAAAATCAAACCCCAGAGCAGAATGTGAAATCAGCTCTCCTAGCCATCACTTCCTGATATCTTTCTGCACTGCTCAGACATGTATTTCTGTCTTTTCAGCCAGAGATAAATCAGAGCGAGCATTTGGGGTGGCCTTCGTAAAACTGATGAACCCGGATGGCACCACTCTGCAGGATGGACGGCATGATCTGGTGGTTTATAAGGTGGTGCTAACAAATTGAGGCTCAGAAAATTGCTGGGGAAATGTTTACTACCTCTGAAATTGGTTCTTAAGGCACCTTTCAGATTAATGTGTATAAACATCAGAAACTTTCCTGAAGCTGTATGTGTTTGCCCCTTAAAGTCTAGAAACCCAGAGGGTTCACACCAGCTACATCGTCTCCCATCCCCTTTCTGGAAACAATGAGTTGCATTATTTTTTAGTCTCCTAAAGAGTATCTCTCTCTCCTGCAAATGGTGTTCCGTGATGGTGAATAGTCAAGAGGCTCTCCTCTTGCCTTCTACTCTTTGCATCGATCTGCATGGAACATAGACAGTTGCACTCTTGGGCTTGGTTAGGGTGTGGTAGGTGTGGTAGGATGTGGTTTTATTATCACCATGAGCCAGGCGCCATTTCTTTGCTTTGGGGCCCCATTTCCTTCCATTCCGTTTTGTCCTCCTCCTTGCCTCTAACTGCCATGGAGCTCTCGCTTCTACTGCGATTTTATAGTAGAAAGTAGATGCTGGAAGTTCTCATTTATCCAACAATATCACAGAGTTGATAGCTTTTTTGGGGAGCATCTCAAAAAAGTATTTTTCTTAACAGCTCCTTGGTTCATAAATAGTTTTGGAAGGTATGGCAAGCTATTGCTTCCCAATGAACCCAATCAATCCATCAACCCAATTAACTATAATTGTGACCATTTATAGGTTCAAGAAAATGAAATCCAACCTTATTCTTTAATATTTGTTTACTTATAGCAGAGACCTAGGATGTTTTTAGTTTCTAGTTCACAACTTCATTTTCATTCAATGTTGAAATTGTTTCTGGCTCAAACTCTGGAAAGGTGTCACAATGTCTTAGAGTTTTAAGGGATCTAAGTATAATCTGATAAAACCTCTTTACTCATACTGGAAATGCACTGTGCTCATGATAGAAACTATTTTTATTTGCATGTAAAAGATTTTGCCCGTCTTTTGGTGTTCCTAACATGCTTCCTTTTCAGGGTGACAACAAGAAAATGGAAGATGCTAAATTCTACCTGACCCTGCCTGGAACCAAGGTAGAGATGGAAGAAAAAGAGCTCCAAGCATCCAAAAACCTGGCCAACTTTACCCCAACCAAGGATAGCACAAAAGATAGCTTTCAGATTGCCACCCTCATTTGCTCCACAAAGCTCACCCAGAATGGTAGGTGTGGTGACTGCAGTGACACCGGTCTTCCTGGGCTCCTTTGTTATACTTAGGGGGCTGGACCATATGGGGCATTTCTTCTGAGGTGGGGTGCCGGTCTCTGCTCTTCACTCGATGTTCTGGGTAATAATGATCAGATAGCTGAAGCTCCTTCTGAGGTTTTGTTGTCCATCTTTAAACAGGGTGAAAAGCATTTGGCATTTTTTAATATTATAAAACTTATAAATATATTCATTAACAGATGCTGTAAAATTAAAAAGTCTCATGTTTCCTTTTTCAAGGCAGCCAAGAACTCTAATAATGTGCTGTGTATAATATAAGTAACAAGAGATGTTGGTAATGAGGGAGAGGACACTGGCAGAGATATCTAACCAGTCTCCTGCCCAAACAGGTATAAAAAAGAGCAAGGAGGGTTTCCTGTTAGAGCTCTGTCTGTCCCACATGTAGTCGCCTCTTTCCCATGTTTTTCCAAGCAGTCAGCGATTTTCCATAACATCAGCTGAATAGTTCAAATGAGGCTTCATCTGGTTCCTCCTTGAAATCTCTGATATCAATTTTAACTTCTCTTGTGTATATCCTGGCATTTGATAGCCAATAACAGTTTCTTATTCATTTAATGTGTAAGGAGTCTTACTGAACACAGTGAGCCAAGAGTTAGCTGTCCAGGGGCCTGGCCTTAGAAATTCTATATCCCATATGCTGTGTAGAGGATTAGTCCCTTTGGCTTCTCAGAAGATCTGGGTGAGGTAGCTGGCAGGGGCTCTGCCTTAGGGACGTGCTGAGATAGACCAGACAGTTTAGATAGGAGGTACACTCAAGGATCAGGTGTTGGTTGATCTTTAGAAGGGGTCAGTATTGTTTCTTTCAATGAGTCATGGTTGGCTAGAGAATATGGATAGTATTTCAACCTGGACAAGCGGCTAGACTCAACAGAGTGCAGTTCAGAGCTGATACACCTGGGAAAGTAAAAGCACACTCACCAAAAACAAGGCCAGAAAAAAGGCAAAACTCTGGAGATGGTAAAAAGATCCGTGGTTGCGAAGGGCTCAGGGGAGAGTGCGGTGGGGTGAATAGGCCGAGCGCGGGGGATTTTCAGGTCAGTAAGACTGTACTATCTCACAGCGTAATGCATACGTGTCGTCATACTTTTGTCAAAACCCGCAGAATGCGCTGCACAGAGTGCACTCGAACGTGAACTGTGGGCTTTAGTTGATGAACTATGTCAATACTGGGTCATCACGTGCACCAAGTGGATCACCAAGATGTTGATAGGGGAACCCGGGGAGCAGTGAAGGGGTAAATGGGAACTCTCTGTGTTTCTGCTTATTTTTTCTGTGAACCTAAAACTGCTCAAAAAGATAAAGTCTGTTGCCTAAGAAAAAATCAAAAATTAAGCCAGAAAACATTCTGAGTTTCCTAGAGGACATGACAAAATTGTATCAGTGACATAGCCCTTGTTAGGGAAAAAGTAAATATGATAAAGTAATGATAGAAGGTTAAATGGTACAGTATTCGTAGAAGATGATTTAGACGGTGTATCAAAGATGTTAAATGTGTTTAGATGCTTTGATCCAGTAATTTGACCCCTAGGAAGTGAACCTCAGTAAACAATGAGACATGTGCACAAAAATTTGTGTATGAGGCTGTTTCCCTATTATTCATGATAGGGAAGTAGTGGAGACAATCCAGATGTCCAATTTGGGGTCAGTTTTAATTACGTAACGTAATTAAATGATGAAATCTTTGCAGCTGCCAAATATATTTCGAAACATATCAAAGACATGGGAAAAGGGGGTCGTGGGGGGAGGCCACAAAGGGTGAAGTGGTGTACCTACAACATGACTAACAATAATGTACAACTGAAATCTCACAAGGTTGTAATCTATCATAATCTTAATTAAAAAAAAAGAAAAAAAAACATATCAAAGACATGCAAAATTTTTAATGCTCTGTAGAGTATAATCCAAGTTTTGTTTAAATATTTGACGGCAATTTGAAGCCAGTTGCCTTGGTTCAAATCCCCGTCTGCCACTTATTAGCTGTTTCATCCTGAGCAAGTCACTTGACCTCTCTGTGACTTAGTTTCATCTTTAAAATGGGAGTAATAGTATATGTTTGAAAGAATGAAGTAAATTAGAGTAAGTAAAAGCAAAACAACAGTGTCTAGCCCCTTGCTAACACTATATGAATATTAGCTGTTGCTGCTATCATTATCGTCATTGTTACATGTACACAGAAGACTAAAAGGAATAATTCCAAAAGTTTGGACAGTCCTTATTTTCTTTATTCTTTTGGTATTTTCCAAGTTTTTACCTATGAGGTGTTAAAATGTTATTTTTAAAAGTATGGTAGTAGGCGATATAAGCATTAATGTACTTTTGGGGCTATCAAGGGATGTTTAAAAGGGACAGCATTTATCAAACATCTAGTAGATTATCCTTTCCAGAGACTAGCGTTCAAAGACAGCAAGTAATAAAAATTATAATGCAAAGCAAAAGGAATTTCTATTAAAGGCAACCATATTGTGATATTGTTTATTATCTCCAATTGTAAATTTAGGAAGCTTATTGACAGATGGCGGTACTCAACTTACACACTTGATTTCAATTATCTTCTAAATGCTCTAAACCTGTGCTGTCCCCGTGGCAGCCCCTAATACCATGTAGCTTGTGAAATTTAAGTTAAAGTTTAATAAAGTTTTGAATTCAGATCGTTAGTTGCACTAGTCTCATTTCAAGCGCTCAGTAGTTTCGTGCAGCTGGTGACTTTGGTGCACAGCGCAGATATGCGACATTCCTGTCGTCGCAGAAAGCTCCATCGGATGGAACTGTACCCTTTCCTTTGTTGTTATCCCATTCCTAGTGTGTAGATCTCCAAAGAACTCATCTTGACAAACCCCTGCAAACAGTCTTAAATAATATCCTGTCCCAGAGCAGGTTTAAAGAGGCAGGTTCATCTGAACCAGAGAGGAGTGATCTGCCAGCGTGGGCGGGGGTAGGAAGAGGGGAGGATGTGGGAAGGATGCAGAGAACGGCAAGGACATCATGAGCAGCAGAGAAAGCAGGGCATTCCAAGGGACAGATAATAACTGTGGGTTGTTCCTGTATTTGCTTTCTTCTAATTTGATGTAAATTATAAACACCCAATTTATTCTGAGAAGGAAAAAGCTGTCAACATTAATAAACCATCCAGTGTGTGAGAGCATTTCCTGAGCGAGACGCTAGCTGTGCCTTTTCACACGGAGAGCATGACCAGAGACACTTCTCCTCAGCCTTAGGAGGAGATTAGGAATCAAAAGGTTAAAGGTCACTGGCCTTGGTTAGCAACAGAGCTTATAGACTATTCATTTATTTATTAATTTTTTCAAAACTAGAACAGACTGACTTGTGTGGGATCATCCTTTGCTGGGCCCGTTGGGAGGGTGAGAATCAATTTGTTGCTCCAGGAAGAGAGAGGGCAGCTCAAGTCCCTGCAGGTGTGGGGCCCAGGCCAGGTGATTCACAGTCATCATTTTATTTTACCCTCCAGCACCCTAGCACACGAGGACACCAATATTGCCATTGTTATTTGCAGTTTACTGATCAGAAAATTGAGTTAAAGTGCTAAAATATTTTGCCTAAGCTGGTAAGTGGTGGACTTGGGTCTGAAAATAGATATTTATAACTCCAAAACTTATGGTTTTTCTTTTTTAAATGTTATGGTCCCTAATCCTCTCCCTAAGGTAATCACTAGCCTAAATTTGGGGATTGTTATTCTGAGTCTCCTGTTACATCCTTCAGATGGGGATGTGCATTGGGACGAGGACTTTGGATAACATTTGGATAGTATCTTACATGGTTGGAGGTCATCATTCCTGATGATCCAGAAATTCCACTCTAGATTTATACCCCAGAGAAGCTGATGCACCTGGATACCAGAAGACATGAGAATGTTCGTAGCAGAATTGTTTGTGATAGCAAACAACCCAAATGTTTATCTACAGTAGGTTGGATAAACAAAATGTGGTACATCCATATGATGGGATAGATACTATGCAGCAATGAAAATAAATTAACTAGAGCCATATGGCTCAACCTGTACGAGTCTCAGAAATACAGTCAGTCTAGGGCTGTTTCTATTACACTCTGCCACCACTTTTCTAGCCCTAAGACCTTACACTTTACCAGATGCCACATATATTCCTGATATGAGCAGTGATGTGGCTTGCAGATCAAACCACATCTGAGAAAGACACCTCTGGGCTGATATGTGGGTTCTTCGCAGATGCTTAAAGCAGCTAGGTGATTCTTCACTCCTGATCAAGTGTCTGAATCCTCCTCCAGCAGCAATGAGTGGAGTGAAGTAATGAATGGAGCAGTGCCATTGACTAGCCTGTGGCAGAAATAGGAGATGGAAATATGGAAGTGGACAGTGCCTAGTAGATAGGCCGAGCACAGTGCCTAATAGGAAGTGCTTGCTGAACAAATGAAGAAGTTGGAGAATTGTATTGAGCATATAACCAGCTTCCTCAGGGCTACTGTTCCCTTTCCATCCGTTCATTCATCAGACATGAATTGAACACCTCCTAGGTGCCCAGCACTGTGGTGGGGTATAAGAATGAATGCGGGATGGTTCCAGCCCTCAGGTGGCTCAGATCTGTGGAGAGAGCCAAAGAGACACCAAGTATGTCTTTATTATTCGTTATAGTATATGTGTCAATATGTATATATGTGTGTGTGTGTAAGTATATATGTATATGCATGTAGCTGTAGCTATAGATATATATGGAGGAAGGAGTACAGACAGCAGAGAATGATTGGGTAAGTCCTCCCGGAGGGAATAAAGTTTGAAATGGGTCTTGAAATGTAAGTAGGAGCTTAACAAATACATAGTATGCATTCTAGTATTTCTGGGCATTCCAGACAAAGGGAAGAACATAGGCAAAGCCCAAGAGCTATTTCAGAGCAGGCCACGGCGTGGGGAGTAGTGAGTTGAGCTGTCTGACTGCTGGGGGGGGCGATGGGGCTGGCAGGGGAGCCGCAGGTGTGGCCTTACTGCCTTCCGTGAGTGGTATTGGGACTTCATTCTGTTGACAGTGGGGTGTCTCCAGGCACTGGACTTTGGGGGCTTCCCAAGCCAATAAAACATACACACCTGTGAAGCCAATTGACTATTCTAATGAACGGCATGTATTTTCATCTACTTATATATCTTTATACAAGTCTATTGATTAAAAGGTAGGTACTGCTACTTTTACTAGATAATGCTCTGTAATTAGTAATAGTAACTTGATGTCCTAGACAAAATGATAAAATAGTGACAGCCCGGATGCCTGCTGTATTTCTTGTGACACTTTTAGTAGCTCAGCATTCATTAAAGCTTGTAAGTGGCTTAAAGATCCAAAGTTCTGCATTTTAAATCCAAAAACACCTGAATGTTTTTGTCCCAGACTTACCCTAGGACCATGAATCTGTTCTGCCTGCCTTTGGAATAGCAGCTTGTCTGATTTGCTTGTCTGTTTATTTCTTTGAAGAACTCTGGGGAGGCAGTGTCGTAGAGTAGGAAGGACGCGGTTTTCTGGAATCAGATAACCCTATGATTAAATTCCATTCATACCACTCCCTGGCAGCTGTGTGACCTAAGGCATGGAATTTAATTTCACAGAGCCTTAGTTTCCTCAGCTCAAAAATGGAAAAAATAAAATCTGTTCTCCAGTGTGGATTTGACATTTAAATGTGTTAGTGCAAGTATAGAAGTTTCCTTTTTGGAGCCGGCCTGGTGGCACAGCAGTTAAGTTCACACGTTCTGCTTCGGCGGCCCAGGGTTCGCCGGTTCGGACCCTGGGTGTGGATATGGCACTGCTTGGCAAGCCATGCTGTGGTAGGCGTCCCACATATAAAGTAGAGGAAGATGGGCACAGATGTTAGCTCAGGGCCAGTCTTCCTCAGCAAAAAGAGGATTGACAGTAGTTAGCTCAGGGCTAATCTTCCTCAAAAAAAAAAAAAGTTCCCCTTTCCCTTTGAATCCACTGAACCAAACATAGTGACAAGGGACAAATTGAGCAATGCAGGAAATTACTGGCAGGGAGGTCACTTAAGAGTGCTTTTAGGTTTGTCTGTAAGGCCATGATATCATTGAGAAATACAAGTTCTATTCAGGTGTCGTTTTACGTTCTTGTACATTTGTGGTTAATTTTTTTCTCTGTGAAGAATAAAAGAAGGCGACAGGGTTCACTCTGATTAAGATAGGAGACAGTAAATTAAAAGAATACATAAAGTGTTAGCCAGCATTAAGAGCAACAGTCTTTTTTAGAGTTCTGTAGCAGTATCCTGGAATGCTGTGGGTGGCTCCTTCTAATCGGTGTCTAATGATTATGGTTTGTGGTTGTTCTTCCTAGTTGACCTGTTAGGCTTATTAAATTGGCGTTCGAACTCCCAGAACATTAAACACAACTTAAAGAAGTTAATGGAGGTGGATGGAGGAGAGATTGTTAAGGTATGTTCTATATTCACAGTGAGAAAGATTTCCACCGCATCATTAGTGCAATGTTTTAAATTAAACCTGTAGTTGTAAATAGAAAACTTACGTATTTTGGGAAGCAAGTGTGCTGATTTTTAAGAAAATGCTATTTTAAAACATATTCTATTGAAACCTAGTTGTCCCCGAATTTCTGCAGTATGGAGCTGAACTGAAAGCACCAAATAACCTGTTTTTCTTTTTCAGTTTTTGCAAGATACGCTAGATGCACTTTTTAACATAATGATGGAAATGTCAGACAATGAAACCTATGACTTCCTTGTGTTTGATGCGCTGGTAAGCAGTTAAGCATATTAACTAGTCTTTATTATCACAACTGTGTAGTTTTTGATATTTCACTATTATAAATAATTGTGATGAGTATCTTTCTGCATAAGTATTTGTATACATCTCTCTGGTTATTTCTTTATTCCCAGAAGTAAAATTAGAAGCAGTTGACTTATATTCAAGGCCTTTATTTCTTTGTTTCCTGTTAGATTTTACTTTTTGACATGCTTTCTCTTTCTCATTAGGGGAAACAGTGTCATTAGAAAATTAGAAATCAGGAATCACTTTAGCTCTCTTTGAAATTGCCTAGTCATAAACCAGGAGATACCATTAACAAAGACGATTGTAGCTTGTTGTGTATGTGTGTGCTTGTGTGTTCATGCAAAGGAGACTGAATTCACAAGTCAGAAATGAGTCTTCATTTCATTGTGTACAATACACAACCCAGCAGACAGTTAAATTTGTCATACAAAATACTTAAACATACACCTGTTCCAAGAACTGAAATCATCCAGGCAAGGAGAAGTCATGTCAGGATCTGGGAAGGCCGGAAGTGGTGGTGGATTGGAAGAAGCTAACATATCCAAACCCAGCATCATTTTCTCTTTGTTGGGGTTAAAGTTCAGTGCAGAATTTTACCTAGATGTTGCAGCAAAGGAATATTAGGTCATTCGTCAGCTTAGAGAACTTGGTCAATTCAAGAAGTGGTCAGGGCATTGAAGCTAAGGATGTAAGATCAAGAGTCGGGGCCGGCCCCGTGGCCAAGTGGTTAAGTTCGCGCACTCTGCTTCACCGGCCCAGGGTTTCACCAGTTCGGATCCTGGGTGCGGACATGGCACCGCTTATTAGGCCATACTGAGGTGGCATCCCACATGCCACAACTAGAAGGACCCACAACTAAAATATACAACTATGTACTGGGGGGATTTGGGGAGAAAAAGCAGACAAAAAAGAAAAAGAAGATTGGCAACAGTTGTTATCTCAGATACTAAACTTTAAAAAAAAAATCAAGAGAGGAGGTGCCCCCAGCTAAGATCATTCCTGGCCAGGTTTATGGGAAAGAGAGTCTGTGGTTATGGTTCTGTGGGACAGATCAGCTGGCAGAGGGTGTATGTGGAAGTCCCTGGTGCCCTTTCTTCTGCACTATTCTGTTGCGAGTAGGTACAAAGTGCTTATTTGTCGATTATGCCCCTAAGAGCAATAGGAGTTAACCTATGAGGGCGAAATTGGGAGGCAAAAGTCTGGAGAGGTTCAGTTATTGGGAGCGCTCACACTGCACCCAGGAGAAGGATGTCGCAGCACATTTCATCAGCTGCCTCCTTGGGTGAGAGTGTATTACTCCACAGGACCCTTCCTTATCTCCTCTCCCCTGTGCCATTTTCCTCCCTGGCTTACATTTCTTCTGCACCGAGACAGTAAGCTCTCTGAGGCCACGGATGCTGGCTTTTATTGGTGTCTTCGCAGCATTTAGCACAGTGCCTGACACATACTAGTCTCTGTATTCATTTTAAATAAAAAGAATCCCCGAGACTTTGTTCAGCTCTGGAATAGTAAAGTAGGAATGCTACAAAAATGATTGAGAAAGAGAAGAAGGCACCAGGATGTTAAAATCCCGCTTGTTGACAGAGCGCCTAGAGGTTGTACAATGCTGCTATTCATATTTTTCACCTTTGGCAGGTATTTATTATCTCACTGATAGGCGACATCAAGTTCCAGCATTTTAATCCTGTCCTTGAAACCTACATTTACAAGCACTTCAGTGCCACTTTGGCGTATGTGTAAGTATGATTCAAGGGAACTCCGTGTGGTTGATTATTGGATTTGCACTCTTGGGGCTGGGCTGTTGAGAAACGAGAGGGGCATAAGCTGAGTAAATGTGCCTCTGCATGCAGAACCTCGGTCTACGCCTCCTGGTGGGAAGAGAACCATCTAGTGTTCTAACCCTGGAAGAGGTATTGAGTTCAGGCCCTGCCTTCTGGAAAGTTATAGAAGAGATAAGACTATATTTCCTTAAGAATCCTCGATGTATATACGGGAGACATTGAAGCCGTTAGGCACGCAATCAAGGCAGAGGACACACTCAGGATCCCAAGAGTTGGGTGTCGGTGGGTTAGCATGAGGCCGCAAGGGGATCAAACAGTGGGTTAAGCAAGACCAAGTCTGATAGAACTGAGGGTCATGTGCTCAACCCTCAACCCTACTCCACAAGTGTTTGTAGAATTTATTACTTACAGGATATGGAAAGATCTAATTTTTCCTTGTTTTTGCATAAGAGGGAATGGTCTCTGCCTTTTCCGTAGTGCGGTCTCCTTTCTGTCTTTGCTTTATGAGCCCTTGACTAAGGAAAGCAGCTGATGTTCACTCTGCACTCTGCCCTGAAGTGCTCAGCTCCCCATGCACCGTGTGCGGCCTGTCACCCCACCCCCTTACACAATAATTTCAGCTATTGTGCACAGCAATGTGACAAGTAGTGACAGGAATGTCATTAAGATTGGCAAAGATCTTTCTGACAATGGTTTATGCCAGATAATGCCAGTTGCTGCTGACTTATCTGTCAGGCTAGCTGCTGACCTGATCTGTCAGGTCAGGTCATTGATCCCTTGTGTCCTTTTAGGAGCTAAACAAGGAAGTTCTTGGTTTTATTTCCATGAAGGTCCAGAAATGTAACAAGACATAAGGGACATAGAAGAGGTGTCATGAAGCATAATCACCAACTAACACAATGGATGTAATGCCCAGTGGATTGGGGAGGGGGCAGATACACCAGTCATAGGGTCCTTTCCACCCAGTCGCCACGCTTCCCAAACGGATGGTAGCTACGTTGAGGAAATCCTGTCAGTGGGTCTTCGTTACACAGCCAAAAGCCACATTCCAGATGGTAGTAATCTGAGTTTGTTTGTAAGACTTGATCAATTCTACATATTTCCTGTGTGTTTTTCTTAATACTATGGAAACTCACAACTTCCCAGAAAGAATATTCAAGATATCCATGCCCTTGAAAGTGTAGGTTAGCACGAGATTAAGACAGCCCCCGGTTCAAAGACTCTGAAAGGACACAAGGGCACTCTAGTGTCCCTGAGCAGTTTTATCTGTTGGGATGTTCAGAACCCTGGGGGTTCTGTGGCCTCAGGTTGAGGTCCTCTTCCCACACTAAGTGAGGTTTCCAGCTGGCTCCATCTTTATGGATCCCAAAGGACTTGGCAGATTGGAAGGAATTAGATTTCTTTTGAGTTGATCACCTTAGGCAGGCAATCCCTCCCTTACAGGAAGATCTGAAGATGTCTGTCTACATATCAGAGATTAAAATATCCTCCGGATTTGAATCCCTTCAACTCTTGCATTTCTTGATCCTTTTTAAGAAGGCTACAAAGGGAAAGAAACCATCCCCTATTTCTAAGCAGAAGGGATGCTCCAAACCTAGACCACAGTGAGGAAACTCAATTGCAAAGGAGTTGATTTCCCTGTTCCGGGCGTGTTCTAGAAGAGATAATTGTAGTTGTAACTTCTTCCCCAATGTGCAGGTTCCCTTTCTCTCACCCCAAGTGTCGGAGTGCCACGTTGCCTCATTGATATTTGTCTCTTTCTCACCCTTTTAAGGAAACTCTCCAAGGTACTGAACTTTTATGTGGCTAATGCAGATGACTCCAGCAAGACAGAACTGCTCTTTGCTGCCTTGAAAGCTTTAAAGTACTTGTTCAGATTCATCATCCAATCTAGAGTGCTCTACCTGAGGTAATGGTAATAAGATGTTTGTGTGATCCATTCTCTCTTCGTATAGTTTTCCTTAATCTTCATGCTCATATTCAGCTCTTCAAGCTGAACTTGGCCACATTTCAGAACTTCGAGGGCTGAAGGTGGAAGTGGACTATGAAACCTTAAGAGAAGGTCCATGCAGAGTCCTTTGGAATCAGCAGAATTTCTAGGCAGTAATGACAGAAGGGCTTAGGGATGCAGGTGGCTACAGAGTGCAGCTGGCTGGAGGCCTCTGTTGGCAACAGCAGCTCTGGAGAGGCAGGTTCCTGTGACTAGATCGTATTTAAGGCAGCACAGAGCTCCATGATGGTGTGGGTGCACAAATCTAGGATCACGAGTTGTTGCCGGCAGGAGAGAGAGCACAGTGGGGTTGTTTGGGGGAGGTGCTTCCTGAGGTGTGGGTTTCCTTGCTGACACCATGCTTAGCTACCTGGCTAAACCAAGACATAGAGAGACAATAATTCCCAGTTTGGGTTCCTAGAATAACAGCTCCATCAAAAATAAAAGAAAACAAGGAGGAGGAACTACCTTTTTTGTGAAAGCCCCCAGCCCCAGTGCCGTCCCTACTGTTCAATAGGAGCTAGATTTCTAAACTATTAAAATATATTTCTAAGGCCGAAGGAAAAGGCCTGTAGATTTGAGTATGTGTATTTTTTAAAATTTGTGCATTTAAAAACCATAAACAGGCTGGCCTGGTCATGTAGTGGTTAAATTTGCATGCTCTACTTCAGCAGCCCGGGGTTCATGGGTTTGGATCCTGGGTGTGGATCTACACACCACTCATCAAGCCATGATGTGGCGGTGTCCCAAATGCAAAATAAAGGGAGACTGGCACAGATGTTAGCTCAGTGACAATCTTCCTCACAAATAAGAAAAAAAGCCATAAACAAACTTAAAGGCTAACAATTAACCTGGAAAAAACGCTTGTAACATGTAATACAGATCAAAGGTTAGTAGCTTTACTGATTAAAAGCCTCTTATAAATCAACAAAACAGTGATAAATATCCTTAAACAATAGAAAACGAAAACGGATAATTTACAAAAGAAAAAATTTCAAATTGTTGATTAAATTTTTAAAAAATATTCATACTATCAAAAATGCGATATACACACATCATCTTTATCTACATATTGGTTAAAGAATAAAAGTTTTTATCTTTTGATGAGAATGGACAAAAATTGGCCCTATGTTTTAATGCTGATAGGAATATAAACTCTTAGGGACAGAAATTTGGTACCATGAATAAAAAGCAAAAAAGAAAAAACACACAAAAAGCAAAGAAAATATCACATTTGTCCAGTTATACCCCATCCAAAAATTTATCTAATAGAAGAAAACCCATCAGGTATGAACAAAGATGAATGTTAATGTATGTATGTTCAGCCCTTTCAAATGTAGGGCATCTTAACGAGGAAGGAGGACCATGATAGGTTCTTAAATAATTCAGGCAGAAGACATAAGAGCAATATGATCCCATTTCAAAAAGAGCACAGGTTTGGAAACTAGATAAATAACATGCTGAAATTTTAATAGGAGTAAAACTGTAGGTAAGAAATTTTTAAGTAGGTTTATTTTTATTCTGTCTGCATTTTTAAAGTTTCTGTAATGAATCTGTACATTTTTAGTTTGTAAGAACGTTTAATGACTTAAACGTTCAGCTGGGTGGATGACAATCCCACTTCCCCAGTGGAAGCGAGCAGGCTTTACCGGCGGAGTTTGTACACAGTCTCTGTGGGCTCCTTCTCCTCAGACAGTCCAGAACAGTTCGTTCCTTGCATTTTGTCATTAAGTTAAATTTCCACACATTCAGAACAGTTAGGGCGTGGGGTGTCCTCCTGAGGGCACGTTCCCTTACTTAAGAGTTTGTTTCTCTAGCAAACTCTGATATCTAGCAATAAAATCATCATAAAACCATAGAAGGAAAACCTTAATTTATGAAATGAAAAAATAGTTGCCATGGATGATTCGGTAGTTCTCTTGCCCTTTGTAGTGTTGCAGTGTAGCCAGGCCGTCGTTTCTGACATCACATGGGATGATAACAATGGAAAAGCCAAGATTAACCCCTAAAATTAACCAAGAGAGTCGTGTCGAACTTAGTCCCAGATGGCCTGCTTATGGTTATTTGCCCCCTTGATGTTTTCTCAGGAAAGAAGAGCTGGATCTGGGAAAGAGAGTCTGGCAATCTACATTCTCTGATTGCTCAGCTCTGATGGACACATCAGTTTACTGTCCCTGTCTGGGCCTGCAGATGAAATGTCACCTGTCCCCCACGCCCCCATTGCCCTCGTCGGAGCTTAAGTTTCCCTCTGAGCTCGTTACCTGGCTGGAGTGTACCTCAATTAGGGAGACACCTAGGGAAAGTTAAAACTGTAAATTGCCCACAATAGGACATTAAGAAGCTTGATCTTAATCCTCAGTCTCATATAAGTCCCTTTTTGAAAGTCACATGCATAGGGTACCAGGTATTGTTCTGGGTGCTGGGGATCCAGCAGCAGACAAGACAAGGTTGCTGCTCTGACGGTGCTTGTGGGTTACGTGGAGGCCAGGGAAGCAGATAGTAAAGAAAGAAACCAGTAAGGTCATTTCAGATAGAGAGGGGCTAGCGGGGGAGGCGCAGATGTGAGTGACGGGGAATGCTGCCTGCGCTGAGCTGGTGGCAGAAGGCCTCTCTGGGAGCTGGCATTTGAGTTGGGACTGAAAGACGAGGAGGTGGCCTCTGAAGGCTTCAGGGAACAGGAGAAGGAGCAGGAACTGTAAGGAAAGGCCCTGTGGGGGCACCAAGTGTGGCATGTGTGAGGAATCGGGAGAAGCCAGTGTTCCTGGAGCCTAGGGAACAAGGATGGGAGAGTGGGGCCTGGCAGGCAAATGACACATGATGTGGGGTGTTACAGGCCCTAGTGAGGAGGTTGGATTTTGTTCCGAGTGTGGTGGGAAGCCGCTGATGGGTTTCGGTTAGAGAAGCAGTACAATCTGGCCTACGCTTAATGATCATCTCATGTCTTGGGTGGAAAATGGATTATTGAGGGTTGAGTGAGCCTCGGGTGACCACTCACTAGGCTTCAGTGTGAGGAATGGTGGCTCTGTCTCCGACGAGGGGGAGAGAGGGAGCTGCTTTGTGGGGAGGAGATTTAGGACTTGCTGTGTGATTTGGTGGGAGAATGAGAGAAAGGGAAGCATCATAGATAACTTCTGGGTTTTGGGTGCCATTTGCTGAGTCTTGGAAATCTAAAAGATGAGCAGGAAGATCAAGTGAATTCTGTTCTGGGTATGTTAATTTTGAGAAACTTGGTGGAATAAATTGCAAATGAAGTTCTTGTCTTGTTCTGCCAAATGGATGAGTTGAGAATAACCAGTAACCCTCTGACTGAAGAATTTTCTCAGAGGAGTTGGTATTCCATGAATACCATATACAGTACCAGCGAATGGAGGGGACGAATTTAAATCCGTATGTGCGTGTGTGTGTGTGTGTGTGTGAGAGTGTACACAGTTCTGAATTCAAGCTACCCCTTCTCTTGATCACTGGGCAGTAAAGTTGCCGCCCAGTGTATATGCACTTGTGCTACAATTTGGGACTTTTGTGTTTCTGAGAACCAAAACCTCCCAATTTCTACTTACGAGAAAGAACTAACTTCAGTTGGTGGACAGATCTTGAAGACAAGCAAAATACTTGAATCAAAACAAGCACGAATCAGTGAAGACTAAGGGGCCCTGTGTCCTGGGAGGCCCCTGTGGAGGGCAGGTCAGCACCAGCGCGGCCAGTGCAGTGACTGCAGTGGCACCAACTGGGCTCGCACGCTGGCCTGGTTCAGAACGTTTCTGGTTAAGGAGCTTCTCTACCCCTTGTCTGAAACTTCAACTCAGATGGTTAGGGCTCGATTAGATGAGACAGAATGATTAGAGTGACGCAGGAAAGGAGGACAAGGGACACAAGAAAGAGTGATGCCAGAGGATAAAATGTGGCAAGCATGGGGTGTCAGGGAAGTTAGCTGGGACAAGTCCCTCGCTTATTGGACATTCTGCTAAGGAGCTGAGGAAGGCGGGCGTGCGGTAGGGCTCGTCTGCTGCTTCAGGCAAGGCAGCTCCCCTCCGTGCCGGAAATGCCCACAGACCACTAAGATGGAGGACAGCCCCAAGACTGTGGCCTTCACAGCCTCTGGGGAGTGCTTCCTGACGGGCTGGTCATCGGGGACCAGTTGGAGAACTCAGTGGTAGGGCTTTACATATAAATGACAACCCCGCCTTTGCCCAGCTGGTAGTCTCTTCTCCGCCCTGGGACCATCTTCGAGCACCCTGTGCCTTCTTTTTGCTTGATTTGAAGCAGTGAGAGGCCTGGGCCTCCAGCATTGTTTAGGCTGAAAATCTATTTGAAAATTTCTTTTAAAGATGGAAAATCTGACTGTTTTTCTCTTTTTCCTGTGAAGATTTTATGGCCAAAGTGAAGATGGAGATGAATTTAATAATTCGATCCGCCAGTTATTTCTTGCTTTCAATACGCTAATGGACATGCCCCTGGAGGAAGCTGTCAAGATCAAGGTCAGCGTGGCGTCATCGTGGGTGACTCTTTCAATGCTTTTGGTGAGGATGTTCTGGGACAGCACAGAACTGGCCACGATGGGAGAGAAACTTAGTGAATCATAGCATGGAAAGCTGGAGAATTTCAGAGTGACTTATAGAAAGTAAAGGGAAAACCTTGTGTTTTAAGTTTTACATACATTAGTATTTTTCAATTATCAGTCTGCCAAAGCCAAGTGACCCTTTTAGATGTCCCTTGAATGGCTTTTGTGGCTGCAGTGAATTCAGCCAGTTGATCCTGATGATGTTACAGGCGGCAGGTTTTCATTCTTAGTTCTCTCTCTTTTTTTTTTTTTTTTGGAGGAAGATTAGCCCTCAGCTAACTACTGCCAGTCCTCCTCTTTTTGCTGAGGAAGCCTGGCTCTGAGCTAACATCCGTGCCCATCTTCCTCTAGTTTATACGTGGGACGCCTACCACAGCATGGCTGCCAAGCAGTGCCATGTCCGCACCCGGGATCCGAACTAGCGAACCCCGGGCCGCCGAGAAGCGGAACGTGCGAACTTAACCGCTGCGCCACCAGGCCGGCCCCCTTAGTTCTCTCTTTTATCTCAGAAGCCCAAAGTCACCATCATCTTGATCATTATTAATTTTTAATGTAAAATACATAATCTGTGAAGACTCAAAAGTTGAACTTTAGTTTATTCCTTGCTCTTTATGGCAACTTTATGAGGGAGCCATCGAGATTTTAGCTACCTTCTTAGACAGAAAAATGAATTCCAAATAGACAGTGCCTGTTGGTAATGAAGACAAAAACCTGTGCCTCCTGACTTTCAGGAAAAAGATTTTGGAGGTCTCGTGTAGCAACCTGAGCTCTCCTCTCCATTCAGGAGCATCTGTGTCCAGTTCCCTGTTTAAGATCCAGCACAGCCTTTTCTTGCTGGCTTCAAGCGGTACATTTTGTATTTATCCTCCGTGGCAACTGAATTTGCCTTTGGTGTTTCTCTTACAGGGGGCAGCTTTGAAGTACCTTCCTAGCATAATTAATGACGTCAAGCTTGTTTTCGATCCTGTTGAGCTCAGGTAAATAGCAAAAAACTTCTGCTTCTTGACTTTAAAAGAAAAGTAGCTTTGTTTGCCTGGGGCCAGGGCTGCTGCGCGTGCTGCTCTTCCTCTGGTATGTATTAACTGAACACCTTTTTGTGCTCAGTGCTGTGGAAGATATAAGGAAGACACAAAGCCTGCCTCCGAGAGAGGTTTGCACTTTCTCTGGGGAAACAAGACCTGCAGACATAAAATTAACTACAGAAGAAGGATATAATAATATGCTTCTAGCCCTATACCTACGTACCCCAGGAATGCAAAGCCAGATGGCGATCGACACTGGGATAGAGTTAGCCAGAAAAGGATTTTGCAGAAGTGGAGCCTTAAGGCAGGTCTGCACAGCAGTGCTGGACCCGCCTGTGCTCGGGCAGGTTGAGCAGAGTCAGCTCCAGGGCTGAGCCCTGTCGTGAGCGTGGACACCGCCTCTCCTTTGCTTCCTAAAGACAGACACTCAGGTCATTCGGGAGAGAATCCCAGGTCCACCTCTGCACGCCCGGATCTCAGAGCACAGGGGCCTAGTGTAATGACACCTGCCACTTGGCAGAAGGGAAACACTAACCCCTGGGGTTTCTCTTCCAGTGTGCTCTTCTGCAAGTTCATTCAGAGCATTCCTGACAACCAGTTAGTTCGCCAGAAACTTAACTGCATGACCAAGATAGTGGAGAGCAATCTTTTCCTGCAGTCAGGTAAGGCTCCTCCAGAACTGCTGCTTATGGAAGTTCCAGCCCTGCTGCTGCCTCAGCCGACACCCGCTTTTTCTCTTTTTTACGTCAATAATGTCCTTCCCAGTTGTTTGTTGGTACTTAAGGACCTCCTGGGAAACCGGTTTTGAGGAGAAGGTGAAGTCAGTTCAATATGTCCAATAGTTCCTAAAAGAGCAAAATTGTGTGATCTTTACTCTTTAATTAGAACAATCGAGTGTTGCTTTACTCAGAGAACTTGATTCTCAAAATTGGAATCCCAGAAAGAGAGGTAAGCAGGAAGGACGGTCCTTTGAAACAAACGCATCTTCTTCAACCTCTGCTTGTTGCATAACCTCAGAAACCAGGCGGCGGGGCCTTGGGCAGCAGTGTGCTGGGTGCCACTTGTACGGCTCAGGAGAGCTAATTATGTGCGTCTCTTCGCAACTCTGTGCTCAGTCATGTCACATTAGTAGCTGAAAAGTGACCATGTGCAGATATTTACACCAGGGAAATTGGTAAACACAATAAATCAGAGGTTTTTTGGGGAGGGTGGAAGGGAGCCCTATTATGAGCGTACTGCTGTGAGTTGAGGGGGACACGACGGGAGAAAACTCTTAACTGATAAAAGATCTTTCATTTTATAACTAGAGTCAAGCGTGTAGCCACGACGTCTGCATCAGTGTGCTCCTGTTCCGAAGTCGGTATGGGGAAGAGGTCTAATGCCTCGTCTCTCCCCAGTAACCCACGACTTGCTAGAATGGGGCAGTGGTGGGAACTTCTTTTGGAGTTACCACCAGGTTAGGAAGCTCAGAGGGTGACCTCCTGCTGTGTGGATTGCTTGGAGGGTTTGAGGATCTCAGGGCTTGTCAGAAATAGGGAAAAGCTTGTGGTTTGTTGGTCTGAGAACCTTCTGGCCCTGCCCTGGCTAGTTGTGTAACTGTGGACAGATAAGTGACCTCTGAGTCTCAGTTTCCATTTGTGGAAGGAAGGTCTTGAACTCGATGAAATCAGAAGCCTCTTTGCGTTCTGACGTTTTCTGTCGCTATGAATTTGTGCTTAGAATTTCAGCTGTTGCAAGGACATAGTTGGAGGTAGTGCAGAAAGCTAGTGAGTGCTAAGTAGAAAACAGAAGATTATTACACATCTTAATATGGCATGATAATCTCTGCCTCTAAGGATGCAGAAAGGATAAATGAAATGATAAAGATGGGGTGTTTGAGCACAAGAGCAAGCAGGCACTAGTTAGTTCCAATTAGAAGACATATTCTCACTATTAACAACCATTTCTGTTAGCAACCAGAATATCTGGACTCATCATCATAATGTTTTAAGATGGTGAAGATCCCAGCAGGAAGACACAGTAGAGAGATAATACCTTACCTTACGAAGTCCACATGGCTGCAAAAACATGAGCAGGCGGTCTGGCAGACACTTTCAAATGTACTAGTGAACCTCAGTATTTATGGGAATTTTAGAGTAAATTTTCTCCATTAGGCAGAAAATTTCAAAAAAATTTTTTTGTGTATAACTTGCTTAGTGTATTAGTTTTCTATGACTTATCTTTCAAGTATCGAATTGGCATTTTTGAAAAAACCAAAGATGGGCCGGCCCAGTGATGTAGTGAAGTTCCTGTGCTCGGCTTTGGCGGCCCAGCGTTCATGGGTTCAGATCCCAGGGACGGACCTACACACCACTCATCAAACGGTGATGTGGCAGACATCCCACATACAAAATAGAGGAAGACTGGCACAGATGTTAGCTCAGGGCCAATCTTCCTCACACACACACACACACACACACAAAAGCTAAAGAAATTGTTAAATACTTTAAACATTCTGTGACTTGTATCTATGATAAGTGTAGTTTTCTTAGGTTTTAAAATCCAGTTACAGGGCTGAAGTTCCATGCCTAAAATTGTGTGCTCCTCATGGCCTGGAGGGACTCTGGCCCCCTACAGGGTGGGGTCAGAGCTCGGAGCTGTGGGAAGGGGCAGAGACAGATTGGCAGGGAGGAGCCGGGTGGTTCAGGAGGTGACGCTGCGGCTGTTGAGCTGTCTTCGTTTTCTCTCTCAGAGTGCAGAGACGTGCTGCTGCCGCTGCTCATAGACCAGCTCAGCGGCCAGTTAGACGACAACTCCAGCAGGCCTGACCCTGAGGCGAGCTCGCAGCTTCTGAGCAACATCCTGGAAGTGCTGGACAGGAAGGATGTGGTGAGCGAATTGTCACTGATGCAGACCACAGCATGCACTGCACTGGTCCCTTTGCCTGGGACAAGAATGCCTCCCTGGCCTCCTGGTCTCAGGGCGTGGCCCAGGCAGTTTAGAAGCTGGTGCTGGGGCAGGCTGCACCATTTCAGAGGTGATCGGAGGGGCTTCTCCTTGCTGGAGCCTGCTGTGCACATGTAGGTCAGGGAGAGTTCTGCTTACCGCTGGGCCTGCTGCTGGCTGGTTTTCCTGGCTTGACCATCACTGAGGTCCCTGTGAGGACTTTTAGGAACCAGAGCTGTGCTTAGACTTTTTGCATATACACCTCTATCCTCTTTTACCTCTGGCACCTGACAACTGTTGGTGTCCCTGAGCTGCTGAGAAGTTCTCATTTTTATATTCTCTCTGACACTGATCCTTCCGTCTGGAGCCTAGCGGAAGTTATGTATTTTCTTATCTTACCTCATCTCTGTAACCTGAGCACCCCGCCCTCCGAAAATCCTGGGGCTGACCCTGCCTGGATTGGCCATGTTCTGGAGACAGCACAGCCTGCAACCTCAGGCATGGCCTCTGTTCAAGAGGCCGGAGAACTCTGTAGAGTGTGTCCTCTTGAGCACAAAACATAGTCACCACCCCCATGATGGCTCAGACATTCCCCGCAGCATAGGGAAGTCACCCTTGGTTTTGCCTAAGCCCTTAGTCTTACCAATATCTTTAGATTCGGTTCTGCTAAAAAACATGGAGAACACTGCCGCTTTCCCATGGCTAAGTCCTCAGCTCCCTGCTTGAGATCCACCCCAGTTTAGGCGTCGTCTCTGCCGCAGAAGTCCGGGAAGACGCCACTGCTCTCGTTACCTACTCTCCCCCTTGTCTCTCCCCTTCCCTGAGCCCCTATGGCCCACCTTACTATTTGTACTATTTATTTGATATTTATTAATTATAGATGATTGCTTTTTTTGCTTAAACCACTTTATAAAATGGAATAAATTTTCCCGAGGAATTTTGTGATTTGAGATTTGATTCCCAACTAAGGACTTTGCAGCAAATAAATAATTGTGACCAATTATGTCATAATGACAGTAGTATTTTTAAAAAGTAGCTCTTATGACTCAGTAATTAAAATAGTAAAATGAAGCTCCAAGCCCTGTAAGTTTTGTAACAATGTACTAGGCTGTTTGGTTTGGTTGGGGCTCCATGTGTATATGATCCAGAGTTAACCTGAAACATAGGAATGAGGCCCTTTGGTTTCCACTCCCAGTATTACCTCTCTGTAACTCTGTATCCTTAAGCGCATCTCATGGTGTCTCAATTTCCCATTCAATCCTATGGAGAAATTGTTCTAGATGACCTCTTAGGTCTCTTCCACTTCCGATCCTGTTTTTTAATATATAGTATCTCTGCCCACCTTCTGACCACATAGAAGGACTCTTCAGAAATGACTTGAATGAAAGTATTTGTGTCCTGTTCTCGGAGATTTAATTGGCTTTTAAATAATATATATATTTTTTTGTCTTCCCAATAATGTTCCCTCTGATGAGCAGAGGCATTCAAAAGTATTGATTTTGGAGCTCTGTTAGAGTAGTAAATTAAGTAATTTTTTGGTGGTGATGATAATGGTACTTTTCCCCCATCATAAGCATCTTTGAATGTACCAACTAATTCCCTATGTCTTCTCGTATCTTCTCCTCTCCTCAGTTAAGTCCAGGCTCTGATTACTGACGTTGATTCCTGTGCCTTTTTTGATAGTCCGGGATCCCCTCCTCTTCTCCCACAGCCATGTCCTCGAACTGTCTTTGTTTTTGAAAGTCCAGCTGCAGCGAGCATCTCCGTGAAGTTGTTCTTGGTGCCGTCCTGCCCAGTGCCCGCACTCAGCTAGTTGCCTTCATGCTGTCCTCTCGTCTCTTTTCAGGCTCTTATCGTTTTGTACCTTGAGTTATGAATTCTGTTCACAAATACTAATTCCACAGCTGCTATGCTTCGGGCACTGTGATAGGCCTAAGAACATAGCCATGAACAAGAGAAGCGAGCACCCTGCCCGCATGGAGCTGGCCTTCTAGTGGGATCTTTGGGGTTTGCCTCTTTATATTCATGTTCCAGCTCTCCTGCTGGAGTGTAAATCTCTTAAGGGCACAGAGAATGCCTGATTCATTTTCATACCTCCGCACGGGGCCCCACACAGGATTTACACACCTAGTGAGGTCGACAGTGTGGAATTGATGAGTAAGTGGAGGTGAAAACAGCATCAACAGGAGAGGCAGGTTTTATGAATCACTTGAAGCAAGTAAATAAATAATAAGAAGCCAGGAAGGAAAGAAGGGAGGGAGAGAGAGGGGAAGCTAAGAGTACTTGATGTTCTAATAAAGCTACATGTAGCAATGATTTAGGTATTTGAAGCATTAAGCAGGAGTTTCAGAATATCTATCATGTAGCAAGAATGGATAAAGGCTTTGAAAAGTCAAGGTGAATATTGAGCCAAATGAGTAACATCAAACCACAAAAAAGGAAAGAAGGAAGAATAAAGAATAAACTTTTTTTTTTTTGAGGAAGATTAGGCCTGAGCTAACTACTGCCAGTCCTCCTCTTTTTGCTGAGGAAGACTGGCCCTGAGCTCACCTCCGTGCCCATCTTCCTCTACTTTATATGTGGGACGCCTGCCACAGCATGGTTTGCCAAGCGGTGCCATGTCCGCACCCGGGATCCGAACCAGCAAATCCCGGGCTGCCGAAAAGCGGAACGTGCGCACTTAACTGCTGTGCCACTGGGCCGGCCCCAAGAATAAACCTGTAAGAGGCACTGTTGTCTACATCAACCCAACTCATTCCTATAAGGGAACCTTTTCGTTTATTTATTTATTTATTTTTTTTACAGCTATGAAAACCGAAGCTCAACAAGGTTAAATAATTGCTCATGGTCACACATGACAGAGTCAAAATATTAAACCCCCCCACCCCCCGTTAGTCTGCTCAGGCTGCCAAAACGAAGTACCGTAGGCTGGGGGCTTAAAGAACAGATATTTATTTCTCACAGTTCTGGAGGCTGGAAGTCCAAGGTCAGGGTGCTGGTGTGGTGGGTTCCTGGTGAGGACCCTCCTCCTGGCCTACGGACGGCCACCTTCTCGCTATGGCCTCACACGGCCTTTCCTTGTGGAGAGAAAGAAAGGGCAAACTCTAGCGTCTCCTCTTATAAGGACACTAATCCCTTCAGACAAGGGCAGTGCCTTCATGACCTAATTGCCTCTGAAGACCCCATCTCCAAAGCCCATCGCCTTAGGCGTTAGAGCTTCAACACACGACTTTTGAACCACAAACTTTCAGTCTATAACAATATCCTTGATTTGAATTTCTTGTTTGTTTTTCTTTCTCCAACACAGAAGTTGGCAAGAACTGTATATTTTGCCTTTATTTCCCGTAAACGTGCCTAACTGTCCTGGGCTACCTGATCTGCTCAGCGTCAGGACCGAGCACCTCATGCTAATGGGGGTCTCCCCAAAACTGTGTTGAGTCGGTGGCCATGGTGAGCTCTCAGTGAGCCCGGATGGTCTGGGCTATTAGGGAGGCCTTCTCTGCATCCCCACACTCATCTTTTAAATGTTATAACTGATTATTTTCAACGGATTCCTTAGTAACATTATGTATTATTCCGTGAAACCGTTTTTCCCTTTTGGACAAGAGATTGCTTTGTAGGAAAGAGCCAGAATGAGTCAGAGAGAAAACTCATCTGCCCAAGTTTCCTTAAGAAAAGTGAAGCTGAGGCAGAAGAAGTGGTGTCAGTTCCTGTGTTTCCCCTCAGGGCCCCACGGCGATGCACATACAGCTGATAATGGAACGGCTGCTGAGAAGGATCAACCGGACCGTGATTGGGATGAGCCGACAGTCTCCCCACATCGTGAGTACTGCTTCAGGGGACCACGCTGCCATCGCTGCTTCTCAGTGTCCCGCCTGCCCACTGGGGGGCTCTGGGGGCCAGCATCCGGAGACCAAATTCACGCAGACCCTGACATTGCAGTTTACTGTCTCTGCCTGCATGCCGTGTGGCGTAGCACCCTCGGGAAATGAGGGGAGTCTAGAACTTTTCAGCCCCTTCCCCATAATGGGTGACCCTGGGTCATAACTGTGAGCAGATCTTGATTCTGACACTGATTTTCTCTTGAGGGAAGATACTCCAACAGGGTCGGGGGCGGGGGAGGCTAATGGAGTCAAGTTATTAAGGATCCCATAAATACAAAGCATGTGGATCCATTCTTGAAAAGTCCTGTTCGTATCAAAGGTTGAAGAAAAGCCTGTTATAATGCATTAAAGGAGAGACCCACTGAGGCAAGCAGGCACCCTAGGTAGACTGAGAACTCGGCCCCCATTTGACCTTATACTCTTTAAATATTTGTTTAATATTTTATTTAAGGAAAATGGGAGCCTTGATGAGCACAAAATGAAGGGTTTTAGTGGGTGCATTCAGCATTTCCTCTATTATCTCAGTAATTTAGTTCTAATTCTCAATATATGCAAGCTCTGTCTGGATCCACCTTCCTTAGAGTGATAATAGTAACAGTATTAGAACTTCCTGCTGTATGATGATGATAGTAGTAGTCATTAGCTGATTTTTTAAATTCTTTTGTGCCAGAAACTATTTTAAGCACTTGTGTCTCATTGAAAGCTCATGCCAATCCTGTTAGGTAGTTCTTTCATTAGCTCCATTTTTCAAATGAGGAAACACGCACAGAGAGGTTAAGAAACCTGCCCAAGGTTACACTACTACCAGGTGGTTGAGTTGGGTTAGGACCCAGGCAGCCAGCCTGGCTGCAGAGTCTGCATGTCGTCAACCATCCACATCCCCAAGCAGCTTACCAGATTAGGTTTCCAGCTATGCAGTGGATGGTCGTCATGAGAGGAATTCTGATACATGTAGTCTTGCCCCTGCATCTTCTCTCCACTGATGTTTAGTGTAGATGGGTGCCCTGGGATACTGTCCAGCCCTTTCGGTTCAAAGGGGAAACAAACCTTTTAAAGAACTTGTGATTAGCATGCTTTTAGAAATGTCAGTGTTGCTCTGGCCTCTTATTCTCCATCTACTGTGTCTAATACAGATAAAAAGGATGATTGAGGGGCCAGCCCGGTGGCCAAGTGGTTAAGTTCATATGCTCCACTTCGGCTGCCCAGGGTTTCACTGGTTTGGATCCTGGGCGTGGATCTGGCATGGCTCATCAAGCCATGTTGAGGCGGCGTCCCATAAAACTATGATATACAACTGTGTACAGGGGGACTTTGGGGGGAAGAAGAAGAAAAAAAAGAAGATTGGCGACAGATGTTACTCAGGTGTCAATCTTCAAATAAATACATAAATAAATTCCATATGGAATGAAAGGTTCAATGTAAAAAAAATTAAAGCATAAGGCAACTAGAAGAAAATATGAATGAATGTATACCTATTTCTGAAAGAAAATGGATTCATGAATTTTTAAAAATTGAAAGGATACTATAAAAGAAAAGAAATAGAGTTTACTCGGTAAAAAATTTATATGTGAAAATATATTTATATGTGCAAATTAAATGTCAAGCACGAAACTAAAAATTAGAGCTGGCCCCATGGCGGAGAGGTTTAAGTTTGCGCACTCTGCTTTGGCGGCTCAGGGTTTCGCCGGTTCAGATCCTGAGCCCGGACATGGCACCACTCATCTAGCCATGCTGAGGTGGCATCCCACATGCTACAACTAGAAGGACCCACAACTAAAATATACAACTATGTACCTGGGGGCTTTGGGGAGAAAAAGGAAAAATAAATCTTTAAAAACCTGTAAAAATTATTTGTAAAATATGTGACAAGTGGCTAATAGGCATAATGTATGAAGAGCTATTACAAACCACTAAAAAAATTTTTTTTAATTAAAAAATGGTTAAAGAATATGAGCAAACAGCAAAATGAGAAAAATAAATGGACAGCAAACATATGGACAGAATGTGTAATTCAGAACAAAAAAAATGCAAATTAACCAAAAATGAGATTAAATAAATCTCCAATACCCAGAGTAAGCAAAGGTCTGGAGAAACAAATAGTGTTAAATACTGATGGGAATGCAAGCTGTATGCTAGTTAGGCAATATATATCAAAAGCCTTAGTACCGTAAATTTACATTGCTTTATAATTAGAAAAATAAGCTTTTTGAAACAAAAGAGACTAAGACATTCATTCCTAGAGAGCTGTACATGGATAGTCTTTCATTGCTTTTGTGTTTAGGAAGTCATTTCCTCCATCCCAAGAACAGCTGCATATTAATCTCCTCTGTGCCAAATTTGTTTAAATTTGTGTTGTTTTCATTAACTATATGAATGCAGGAGGATATTACCCAAGTTATTTGTCCTACGGCTAGAAAGTTAAGTCTGTGATTAAAATATGGTTGGACTAGGGGAAAGCACGTTGAATATGTAATTCCTGACCTCAAAAATAGAAATGATGTTAATTATCTAATTATTCAATCCCTTTCTTCGAACCAGGTCCACAGTTACACATGCATAGCATGCTGGGAATAACAGGCTGAAGGTTCTAGAGCTGTAGAAATGACCCTGAAGTGTTCTAGCCCGGAACTCTCATCTCTTGTCTCCTCTGCTCCTCCACTCTCAGTTTTGCTCCCTTTCTTTCTCCTCTTTGCGTTCTTCCAGACTCAGATTTGTTGAAAGGATCTGACTATTTCAGACGTTTCTCCATGGACTTCTGTACTACAGCTCTGTCTCAACAAGAAGCTCAAAGTCCACAAGTTACATGTTAACTAGGAATCTAGCTGATATCTTAGAGTCAGTGTCCCTTGACCTACAGGATTCCATGGATCGTGGCTATTAATGGGATGAGTAAAACCTTCCACGTGCCTTAACTCAAACCTGGACGGTCTTTTAAGCAGAAACAGCAAAGTGCATGCCCTTTGAACCTTTGGAATGCAACACGTTTCCAGTTTGGAGGGTCCCTGCTTCAGTAATTGGGTGGGGAAAACCAAACTATACACATCCAAATCTTGTTTTGGCAGTTGGTGGTCTCAGGAGTCCTGGATTTGTGTTCTCTTTCTCCTTCCAGGGGAGTTTTGTTGCTTGCATGATAGCCATCCTGCGGCAAATGGACGACAGCCACTACACCCACTATATCAGCACATTCAAAACCAGACAAGATATCATCGTAAGTTGTTTTCATTGGGTCCTGGTAGCCTTAAGAATTTTTATGTTTGGCAAAAAAAAAAAATAAACAAAACTGAGCATCCTGAGTCCAGGGTTCTCTCCTCATCCGTGTCCAATGCTGTGTGGCTGTCCATAATGACCATGAAAAGGAAAATGTTAATTCTTACTTCTCTCTGTGATAGGATTTGAAGAAGAGTAAAATATGTATACCAAGAGGTTTTCACTCAGCCCCCTAAGTCTCTTGGATTCAAGAGAGCCCTTATTTAGAAACATTTGGGAGATCTTTTTTACTCTCAGAAGAGGATAGTGTCTCATTTTCAGGGAGGGTAGTTACTCCTGCCAGGGCGAGGGTTTGAGGAGGCAGAGGTGTGCACAGTCTTCTGAGATGTGGTGGACATCATCATTTCCAGTGTTCCCTGGAAAGGGAAACAGGAAGAGGTAATACTTGCCCCTTATCTAACGTTTAGTAAATTATCTTCAGTTGAAAGTATTCCATTCTCTTTTGTTTTAAACAAGAAAATTGTTCTCATATTTACTATTTAGTGTACAACCAAAGGTTGCCTAAGAGCTAAGTTAGGCCCCTGGTTACTTCTCCAGGATCTTTCCCTTTAGTGAATTATTGGTGGCTGTTAAAATGTCCCTGAAGGTATCATCTTATCTTGCGAAGCAGAGGGCTGGACATGGAGCTAGATTAGCAATCGGATGTCTCATGGCACTAGTCTTTGTTCTGGATAACTTCCCATCAACCATGCATCTCCCAGTCGTCTTTATGCACTGGATTTTCTACTTTCTGCTTGTATTATACCAACAGTGCATGGCCAGTACACCCAAGGATATCCAGCTCCTTTCCTGCCAGTCACCCTCCTTTCTGTGAGGTCCACGTGATGGAAAAACACCCAAGGAATCTAGAGAGAAAGTACTCTTTATCATTAGTGGTAGTGGTAGGTCCAGTGAGGAACTCACAAAAGGCTGTGGCTGAATCCGGAGGCTTACGGGGACCTCCACTAAGGCCATGCTCTGGCAGGTGGCGTGATACAGGCACCCGTAGCAAATTTAGGTGTGCCCACAGAGCATCTCTAGGTGAGACCTGGTGCCAGAGAATCAAGAAGAGAGGAGGTGAGGGGAGGGATGGAAGCCAAGGGTAGCGATGTTTCTCCTCCACAGGCAGATGATGTAGTGGGTTTAAGAACACAGGCTTTAGAACACTGAGATCTGGGTTTGAATTCTGGTGATTCCACTTCCGTGTATGAAATGTTGGGCAAGCTATTTCACCTCATTAAACTTCAGTTTCCTCGACTCCAAGATAGTACCCACCTTGAGGGTTAGCATGAGTGACTGTTGATTGACTCAACACGTGGAAAATGCCTAACTTTGTGCTTGACATGCAGTTAATGCCTATGAAGACTAGCTGCTTATAATAATGATTTTATTATTATTGTAATGTAAGGTAAAATTAATATAAAAATAGTTTAGTGCCTTTTTTTCAAGTTTCCTTCAGAAAGCAGGTAGAATAAGTTATCCTAAATTCAGACTCTTGACAGTTTGGCTCCATTAGGTAAGAAAAAACAGGTTTCACTCCTGTTTTCCATAACAGTGGTGAGCTCTTCCCGCTCTATCATCTTATTAAAAGAGGATTATTATCCCCATGAGGGAACCTTAGCCATCAGTGGCAGACTGCAGGTCACAGCGGCCTCTGACTTTCCATGGACTGTCCTTTCACGCTCTCACATGCCTTCCGAACAGATCACTTGAAAGACTGTGAAAGTGGGAGATACGATGAGGCCTGGCATTACCTGTGAATTGCCTTTATTATGCCATCACTGTTTACAGTTAGATTACCAAGAGTTGAATGTAGAGTCAGCCTTGGAAGCCGATAACTGGCATCTAAATTTAATCCTTGCTTGACAAACCATAAATTCTTGTTGATTTGAGAGGAAAAGTTGATAGAATAAATTGGTGAGTGCACTTAAAATGTATAATGAAAAAGTTAAGAACTCGTGAAATATGTCTGTGATTTCCGATTTGAGGGTAGGAAAGTTTGACTCCCCTTTCAACCCGAAGGAAGGTTCCAGGGTAGCACAGACTTCAGAGCCAGGATTGCTCCCTTTCCTGTGCCGTTTGGCATCCAAAGTGCAGGAAGTTGACCGACTCGAGCAGTATCTCGGAGGAATAGCGTCAGGAATAGAACCTAGGCCTCCTGCCTCCCAATTACTGTGTCCTTTCTGCTGCCTGATGTAAGTCATGGGCTAGGACTCCGTAGTTTAGTGCCAAAGAAGTTGGACTGGATTTTCATTTCAGGAATCCAAGTGGAAAATGTCTAAATTTAACTAACTAATAAATAGAAAAGCTTTCAAAACTTTTTAGCTCTGGTTTTTAGTCTGATTGTTCTGTTTCTGAGTTACTTTTTACACATAGCCCCCTTTTGAGTAGAATAGCTGTGTTTTCGATGCTGTGCCCTGTGTACTCTCGTTATTAGTCATTGCAGTCATCAGGACCCACTGCTATCATCTCTTTAAGGACCGTTAAAGACCCTTCTCCCAGGCTACACATGGTAACATTCCTGGAACAGGAGGAATGATGACTTTGCTTCTTATTTATAGCATTTTGGTTCTTTTCTAACAATAATAAAGGAGAATTGGACTCAGAGTTATTAGAAGTATCAGTTTCTCACAATTACTGGTGAATTTGTTTTAAGTGCAGTAGATCTATTCAGACACCACTTGGCAGCAGAGAACTGAAGACATTATGGCTCTAAAATGCAGTCCAGAACCCCAAGTTCTCTTCCCAGCTCTCCTGCTTCCTGCTGTTTGTGACCTTAAGCAAATCATTTAATTTTTCACAGCCTCAGTTTTATATTTGTAAAATGTGGACAATTTTTTCATCCTTATCTTCCTGATCAGATTATATGATGTAAAAGTCAAATCATATGAGAGCTATAAAAATGCTTTGTTACCGGTAAACACCTTATTAAGAAGACAGGCCGTTATGGGACTTGGGACATCTTGTTCTGATGTAGTGGTCCCTCTTATCCACAGACTGGGGGAAGGGCTTATGAGATGTAGCCCAGTTTTTCCCCACGCATTCCTCCTTTGTTATCTGCAGGACTTCCTCATGGAAACGTTTATCATGTTTAAGGATCTGATTGGAAAGAATGTCTATGCCAAAGACTGGATGGTCATGAATATGATGCAGAGCAGGTAAGACTGCAGGGCCCGAGGCTTTTCACTGAATACTTGGGTCTGGTAACTAGCTATCTGACCTTTGTGAAGTGCTGTTAAATCTCTTTGCCTCAAACCCATCGTCTTTAAAGTAAGTATCTTCCCACCGCCATAATCCTAGTTTATGTGCTCATGTTCTTGATTTCACCTGGGCACCTGCAGTTGCTCTGACTCGGGCTCAATGCTCTCTTCTCTCTGCTGTAGTCTCCTCATCACTCTCACATTAATCGTGAGCATCAGCTCTACATGGCATCTTTCAGCAGCTCCACAGGGCCTTCGCCATCCTGACATTCAAGGCCTCTGCAGCCTGGCCCACCCCCCCTCTAGACTTATCTGCCACTGTTTCCTTCTATAGACAACCTGGACTCCAACCAGACTGGCCTCTTCCTGGTCCCTGAACGTGTCCCTCCTGCTGCTTCTTCCCCTGCAGTGTCTTCTTCAGCATCTCTGGCCATCAACATGCCACCCATTCCTTAAGGTCCTTCTCAAATGCCATCTCCAGATGAAGCCTTACTAACCTGGATGTCATCTTCTCTTCCTTTGACTCCCCATTCCTCTTCGATACCCCTCTCCTAGAATTTTCCATATTCTTTGTTGAATCATGGTTAAATTTACAGATTGCAAATGACCCCACCAAGTTGTAAACTTCTTAAGACCGGGAACTGTCTCTTTTAAGGCAAAACCTAAGCCAGTGCTTTGTAGTTCCTGGCCCACGACAAATACTTGTAGAATCAAAGCGAAATAAACTGAATATGTGCATTATATTTAAAAAGCTTCAGAATTTTTTAAAGAGCTAAATAAAGTCAGTCATTTTCTTATGCTTTATTTATTTATGCTTATTAAAAGCATTATTGTTAACTCCACAGGATCCTGATAACTTGGTTAGAAAAACTCTTCCTGTCTATGTACAGATTAGAGAAAAAATGGTATCAGAAACCTAGACTTTAAAACAGAGGCATCACAATAGCTTGCAAAGAGCCCTGGTCTGAGGCTCAGGAGGCCTGGCTTGTCCTCTCAGCTCTACCCTCAACTGGCTAAATTGCGATGCGGGCTCGAGTGGTGTTTGTAGTCAGTTTTGAAACTCACTTTCCGTGTCCTCTGCAGACTGTGCTCTGCTGTTGGTCTGTAAGGGCCGTGATAGACCTAAGGGTCTTATGTTTCCAAGTCTAGGTTTGGTTTGCTTTGATTTTTAACAAGATGGGAAGTGTTTTGAAGAGCAAAAAGGTGCCTTCTTTATCCAGTGTCTTCCTCCCCCAGGGTTTTCCTCCGGGCTATCAATCAGTTTGCTGAGGTTCTCACAAGCTTCTTCATGGACCAGGCAAGCTTTGAACTTCAGGTAAGCATGCTGCTCACCCAGGAGATCCTTGAGTTCGCAGCCACAGCAACAGAACTATTTCCTTTTGGAAATCATGACCTCAGATTTCATCATTTTCTAATGAAAAAAGTTGTCTTGTCTTTTCTCCTTTCCTAAAGCACGTATTCTTGTCATTCTGTCCTTTAAACCCAATAAAATAAGTTTTTTTCTTCTCTCTGTAAAAGTAATAAATGTAAAAAAGTAATCGTAGAAAATATAACTAAGCAAAAAGAAGAAAACTGAAAGACAAGTAGTTCCACCTTCCACCGGTAACAGAACACACATGCACAGATGTGCACGCAAAGGTGCACAGGTGTCCCTCTGCCTGCTGGTGGCCTCGTTTCTAGAGTGGTTTGTGTACACACTTGTTTGAAAGTCCGAAGTGATAGCAGAACAGGTGACCACTAGCTCCATCTTCGTTCATTCATTCATTTACCCAACAAACATTAGCATATTTCATGTACAGGGCATCATTCTAGGCCCTGGTGAAGGCAGACAAGGTCCTGCTCTCGGAGAGTGGACGTTCCAGCGTGCATTTTCTTGGCGATGTGCGTTACTGTGTCATGAGGCTTTGTTTGTATCTGTGGAACTTTAAAAGTGGAGAGTCATAGGTAGAGGAGATTGTCTATGCATATGTGCATGTACATATACGTGTGTGTGTGTGTATATACATGTATGTGTGTATATGTATTTATTTATATATATATATATATATATATATATATATGTGCCAAAGTGGAATCGAGCTGGGCCATTCTTTGGTAACCTATTGACCTTTTTACTTTCTCTATTATCTTTTCAATGATATTAAATATTTTCATAATATTTTTAATGGTTGAATATAGCTCATTGTATGGCTGGGTCATGATTTATTTAACCAAATTTTTGTGAACATTTAGATTGTTTCCATTTTCTGTTACGTTAAATAGCATTGTGGTGGCCTTCTTTTTTTAAATATTCTTAAATACCCATGATTATTTTGCCAGGATAAAGTCCTAAACTAGTTCAGACTAGTTCAAAAGTTTGGCAGAATTGTGGTTCATTTGATACCTATTGTCAAATTATTTACTATAAATAGGCATACTTCTTGGCAGCGGTTTTCCTTTATCCCGGGAGTAAAGAAAATATAATGGTTTGGATTTATTTTTAAAGCTTAATGTTAATATTAAGTGTTAAAACTTTCAGGGCTGAATAATTGAAACAGAAGAAAAGAGTCTTGTGGATTTTATTTTGTTTTTTCATGAATCTCTGGCAAGTGACTTTCTACCATGTGGTGGTGTTTTACTATGCCCTTGTTAATATGATTTTCCATTTCTTTTCGCCCACACAATTAATTGTGAACAGCTCTGGAACAATTACTTCCATTTGGCAGTAGCGTTTCTCACCCATGAGTCCCTTCAGCTTGAAACCTTCTCACAAGCCAAGCGCAGCAAAATTGTAAAAAAGTAAGTGTCCTCTTAAACTTGCTTACGATTGAGAAGTTGCTGCTTCTATTTCTGTTCAGAGCAAGATTTTTAGTATCAGAGCAACTGCTCTTCACTGGCTATCCGTGTTGTTAGTGAGATAGATCTTAAAATAGTTGTTTAATAGACCTCAAATTTCCCCAGCTTCACATCTCTTCTTTCAAGGCCCCATTCATTTACCCGCTCCCACCGCGTTCCTTTCCAGAATCTGTACGTAGAGAGGCACCACTGCCCTGCGAGAACGCGGCCCGTCTGCTGGCAGCGTTTCCCGACTGCGGGCACAGTGCCTCTTTCTCGCTCGGGCCTCACAGGGTAGCCTCCTTTGGCACCATTGCTCTGCCTCTCAGTCACTCCAGCAGAGAAGCCAAGACTAACACATCACCTAAAAATGCCCTCCAGATCCCTGGCCGGGAATTCAGGATGGACTTATGTGCAAGAGCGATGAGAGATTTAGGGAAGCTTCTCATCGCTCTCCTCACAGGTCTGTTTCAGAGTTCCCTGAGAGTTGGAAACTCCAAGGCCATGCAGTTACAAAGAACTTGAGAAATTTATCACTTAAAGGCTGTGAAATTTGAGTTCTGTTCCCTGCCAGGATGTCTAGGATTCTAGGTGAATTATTTAGCATTTCTGTACCTCTGGTTTCTTCCTAAAATGCTGAGATTGGTGGCTAAGAGATTGAGATTTAGTGATTGTGCTCTCAAACATAAAAGTAAAACCCGTTTTGTCGATTTCCCTGTGGGGTGAGTATGGAGACAGAATTGATTTTTAAGATGGATACTTTGATCTCATTCTTTAGAATATCGGAAATGACATGTTTCTTTCCAGGATGGATTTGATTTTGGTTAAAAAACCATTAGTGAAGTTAGTTGACACCAAGTCTGATAAATAAAGTGTCTAGTTAGGATTAATGATTCTGGTTTTGGTCAAAGGAAAGTGTGACTATAAGTATAATCCATGTAAAAATATGTATGCGTATGGGCAAAGATAAACCTTGGGAAATAAAAACATTTATATTAAGGTTATAGAAATGAGAATGAATCTTTTTTCAAAATTTCTCTTACTTTTAGTAGAAGTAGCATCCACTAAGCTGTTAATAAACAAGGGGAATAGTTACCATTTACTGTCTACTAAGTGCCAGACGTTGACCACATGGGCTTATCTAATATTAACAATAAAATTAGGTTAGGTGTTTTGTTAAAATGGAATGGTAAGAGAAATTTTTAAATAATATCTTTATGCTAGCTTCCAAAGGCATTTCCAAAGGAGAAATTTGAAAATAAATGTTTGGGGTGCTAGTGGCCTGAGTGTGGAACCGTGGCTGTAGGGTGGGTCGGGGGTGCATATTAGAGTTCACTGGGAACTTTTGCAGTGTCCACTGTTGACCACCCTGTTTGCGTCTTCCGAGCCCCCAGCCTCTGATACGGTGTGCAGTGTGGGGCAGCCCCGGGCGGATGTGTTCTCTGAGAGATTCCACGGGATTGTCGGTCCACCTCCACCTAAGAGCTGCTGTTTAGATCAGTGTTTCTCTACTTTTTTTTCCATTATCGACTCCTGTAAAAAACCTTTTTAGAAATTGTTTTTCTAATCACCTCCCCCCAAGAAATAGTAATACCTATTAGTACCACAGATATACCGTATATCTGTGTATGTACTAGATGTATATCTGTACTTTATACATAAAAACAGTAAGCTCTTTTTTTTTTGCCCCCAAGGCAACCAGAGTATTTCTGACTCTTCTCCCTGCAAGAAGTCTGTCAATCTCGTCTTCTCAGTTATCTTCAACATTTGCTTTTGGCCCTCTCCGCGTTCAAGTCCCCTCTCCTTGTGTGGCTTAGTTCTCTGTGGCGGCTCGTTTAGGTATCGACCGTGTCTCTTACAGTGACCCTGCCTTAAATGTGACCTAGAGGAGCAGAGGCTCTTTTATTCCCTTCATCATTGTGTTATGTGTACTTGTTTCCACCGCAAACCCTTCTCCTGGTTTCTGATCTTCTTCCTAGATATGGGGACATGAGAAAGGAGATCGGCTTTAGAATCCGGGACATGTGGTATAACCTGGGTGAGTGCACAGCCTTGAGCAGCCCTACACACAACTCCTGTGTGACAAGCATCCCACGATGATTTCTTTTTTATTTTGATTCTGGTAACCCTAAGATGTATTCATCTGTGTGTCTGGAAGTGAAAGTTGAGTTGTGGGCTTCACACCCCTGTCTCCACTGGGACATTGATGTTGAACTGTCTCTGACGACATCCACGTATTATCAGAATACAGTATTTAGTCACTCACTTCTGAATTGAATTGATTTACCCACATAAACATTTTTTTCCTTATGGGCCCTGTGGAGGAAGATTGTAACACTTTATTTCCAGTGAAATTATTTTTTAATATCCTCACTTAACTTTCATTTCAGGTCCCCACAAAATCAAATTCATCCCATCCATGGTGGGTCCCATTCTGGAGGTCACATTGACCCCCGAAGTAGAGCTCCGGAAAGCCACCATCCCCATTTTCTTTGATATGATGCAGTGTGAGTTCAATTTCAGTGGAAATGGCAATTTCCATATGGTAAGGAGTGATACTAACACACATATAGTCAACTCATTTATTTTCTTTCTATATAGAGAAGCAGTAGCCTGAATAACACAAATCAAAGTTTATCTAAAAGCTTTTCTTTACAACTCACTTTGTAAAGCAATTAGAGATAGAATCAGATATTCCAACCCACAGCCTAGAAGTGATCTTTTTGCTACGTGTTTCCTAAAGCAGCAGTCTATCACTGGATAATTAAAATTTGACATCATGCTTTTTAGTCCCGTCTGTTGCAGTGTAGCCGCGAGACTAACGCAGTGGATTAAAGGAAAAGCCTATCTGCTGTAGTGCAGCCGAGGGAATGATGCAGAGGTGTCTAGTTTTGAGACTTCGCTTCGCCTGATAGGTCTTATCTATGCTTCTGCTTTCTTATCTGTACAGTACAGTAGTATTTAAAGGAAGATTTTACAGCTCTGAAGCTCTGAAGAAGCAATCCCATTGCCAATACTTAGACAAGACACAAAAATAAAATATAAAAATTAGAATTATCAGGCCGTTATTATATGCATGGTTGTAACAGGACAACAGTATTTTGGGTAATTATTTTTCCCTGCGAATATAAAGCAAAGGACAAAGTAACACGAGACTGGTTTAGAACATCTTGATAGGGCCTTGGTGCACAATTAACGGCTACCATGAAGTACGATCTTCCCCTGTGTGTGTTGAATATTGCACAGTTCAAAAAGGGGCCGGGCCAACTCCAGAAGGGTGGCCGGGTGTCTTTCGTGTCCTCTGCTAAGGATATGGTTTTCTCCTGTGAACATCTTCCTTTGCTTTCAGTTTGAGAATGAGTTGATTACAAAGCTGGACCAAGAGGTGGAAGGGGGCAGAGGCGATGAACAATACAAGGTCCTTCTGGAAAAACTGTGAGTATTTCAGAAACAAAAACCTCAATGTGATTGCATCATTTGGTGGTGGCAAAAACCATTGGCTTCTGCTGCACTTACAGACTAAGCGAGTAGTCCCAGAATCACCCAGGGTCACCGCCACAAATGGGCCTTGAGAGGGGTTAATAGAGTTCACACCATCCACTGCTGGCATTTGTTTATCTGATGTGAGTCAAATGTCCATGTTTTCCTGGCCAGCCCAGCCCTGGAGAACCGAGCAGATGGAGGAGAGGGGGAGATGCAGAAAGCAGTGGCATTTTTCCCAGTGTTCAAACTGCTGAACTTCATCAAAAGTGCCAGCACCTCTAATTACGGCTTCAAAGCAGCAATTTAAAGGAGGAGGGAAAAAACATTTCAAGGTCCACTTTACGTGTAAAAATACCTCATTGCCTCTAAGGACCTGTCAGAACACCGTTATGTCTCCTGCTAGGTTGGTTTTTTCTCTCCCCTGTCCCACCTCCCCCATTCGAGTGCAACACCTTTATTCCTTCCCCATGTTCACATTATCAGCTCTGCTCCCTACCCACCCCACCCTGCAGACTCTCCGTATCACCCTTGGCCCTCCTAATTCTCCTTTGCACGTATGCAATTACGAAATAAAAAGAGTAGTTTAAGACACTTGGATGTTGGAGTTAGAGATTGTGCTTCAAATCCCATTTTCTCCATGTCCTAGGAGATTGACTTTGGACAAGTGGTTTAACCTATCCAACACTTCATTTTTTTTCATGTACAGTAATAGGATTTATATTTTGGTATTGTGGTGAGGATTAAGCGAGATGATGCGTAAACACAGTGTCTGTTACAAGTTCATGCTGAGTAAATGTCGGCTGCACTGGTGTTTGTGCCTTTTACTGTTATTTTCAAATCCTCTCATCATCCAGCATTGTAACTGCTCTGGACTCTTCATTCCTTGTGTTCTCTGAACGTTTATGATATTGGCCAAGTGCGTCACCTGTTGACTGGGTATGTGCTTAGGTCGTGTGTCGTTTACCTGTTTCATGGGAATGATGTGTGCTAGACTGTGCTTGAGGACAGGGACTGCCCAGTTTTTTCTTTTTCTTTAAAGAATTTTTTTAAGGAACCAGCACACTGGATACTCAGAAATAGAACTGAATTGATGACTCATTTGTATTTTAAAGAGCCAGAAGTCTTTCTTATTTTGTTTTTAATGGATGATAAGACCGCTTGTTAGTCTTTGTATCTGGTTTCTGTTCAGTCTCCCTGTTTGAGCTTCAAACCACCTGTTTTTAAATTTTTTTTGAGATAACATTGGTTTATAATATTGTATAAATTTGAAGTGTGCATCATTATATTTCGATTTCTGTTAGATAACGTCATGTTCACCACCCAAAGACTAATTACAATCCATCACCACACACATGTGCCTAATAACGCCTTTTGCCCTCCTCCTTCCGCCCTTCCCTTCTGGTAACCACCAATCTAATGTCTCTATCTGTGTGTTTGTTTGTTGTCGTCGTTGTTGTTTTTATCTTCTATTTATGAGTAAGATCATACGGTATTTGACTTTCTCCCTCTAACTTACTTCGCTTAACTTTTGCAATTCTTGATCTCACACAGGAATTAAATGAGGAAATTATGCACACATGCAAACACACACACACAATATTTGCAAATGATACACTGCTCATTTTTTTTAATCCTACAGCTGATTTTTCATGTAAAGATTATATTTTGTTTCCTTCATTCTTCCTGGATCACTAACCCAGCAAAATATGACCACACAAATCTCCAGTGCTCAGGAATAATCCTAGAGTCTGGACTAATTCTTTGAACCCATTTCTTTTTTCTTTTTTTCTCTTGTTCCCCACATTTTATTCTAAGTGTCTAATCTAAGAAGCCCCTGTAGAAGCTTTGCTCTATTTGGGTCCAAAGGGAGAGGATTTAGACCAAAAGTGTAGCCTCAGTCTACTTATTTACAACTTTGCATTTTTTTCTGACATGAACACTTTTATCTGAAGAGTCACATGTCTGGATGTGTGCTAGATTCGTAGGTTCCCCTAGGCTGGGCCTTGCTCCCCAGCTTTCCAGAATGCCCAGGATGACCTGAAGTCCTAGGCTTTAGGGAGAATGAAGACGTAGAAAAGATGGTCTCTTTCCACTTGACTGGAGTGATCAGATAGCATACGTGAACCTTTTGGGCAAAGATTCTCGTTTCTGTGGTATTGACAAAAAGCAAAAACAAAATGCAAATAGGCATTCAGAGAAGGGCTTTGTGGGCTGAGGTGCTAGGTGGTGGTGGACTTGAGCTAAAGCCCTAAAGAAAATGTAGAACACGCAAGGCTGAGAGGTGCAGCCTGAGCGAGGGCCCCGGATAGGACTGTTACATGAAGGGTGTGTCTGGCGCCACCTGCTGCTAGGACCTTGGACGGTCCTCATAAATGGTGGAGGGTGACAGTGTGGGACATGGGCATCTGTCTCTACCTCCACCCCTGCAGGCTTCTAGAACATTGCCGGAAACATAAATACCTCTCCAGCTCTGGAGAAGTCTTTGCACTCCTGGTCAGCAGCCTCTTAGAGAATCTCTTGGACTACAGGACCATCATAATGCATGACGAGAGCAAGGAAAACCGCATGAGCTGTACCGTTAATGTGCTGGTATGTGCCAAGCCCCTGGGATGGCTAGAGGGCACTGCTAGGCCACCCCTGCACCCCACAGCTCAGATCTAGGTAGATCTCACAGACACAAAGGTGCTGTGGGGTGACCTTTATGGAGTCTGGGGCCTGCTGAGTCCGATTGGGACGGCTGACTCAGCTCTGGAGTTAGCGATACCAGCAGCCACAGACCTTGAGGATAAATTTGGAAACGGATGGAAAATGCAAAATAAGCTCTTAAGTCTTTCTGAAGGCCATCCTCCACCTGTTTCTCTGTCTTGTTTCTATGTGATTGCTTTGTTGTTGGAATTATCGTGCACGGACGGACGTGTGTGAGCAGCGCTGTGCACCGTGAGGAGAGCATTCGTGCCTGCAGTCCTTATGGTGGTAGAACTCTTTGGTCTTGCCTTTCCCTAGACATATGTAACTGGGGCCACAGGCCCCAGAGGTTTAGGCTACTGTGCATTCCTCTACTCACAGTAAACCAAGAACCTGCCCCCCGACCCCCTGAGAAACAGGGTATCAGGGGACCTGAATATGAGCAGCTCTCTACTCCCTTAGAAGCGTGGTCCTAAAAAAATTCTTCAAGGTATCTTCTTTATAAACTGTCACTTCCCTTCCTTAAGGGGGTATTTGTTAAAGGAGAATAATAAGCTCTTTGAAAGTGACAGTGTTGCAAAGCAAAAGTAGTTATTTGGCCATTTTCAGGGCAAGCTAGTCAATAACTCTTCATTTACATTGGTGTTTGTGACTTTTTTTTGGTAGAATTTTTATAAAGAAAAGAAGAGAGAGGACATATACATAAGGTAAGCTGAAATTTTTATGTCATGGCTTTATTATTTATTTCTTCAATAAACAAATACTCAGCCCCAACTCCATACATGATGCTTGAGAAACACCGAAAAGTGTGTGATATGGTGCCTTCCCCTGAAAAGGCAAACCCTTTAGACAGATGCACAAGTGAGTACCATTGAGGGGGTGCACGCGGAGGCTCCTGTCGGGATTTAAGGGAAAGACAGAGACTCTGGCCAGGGCCGTCAGGAAAGGCTTCACAGGGGGGCAGCATGAAAATTCACCTTCTGTCAAGCAGTGATAGCCTGGGCTCCAGGAAGCCCTGGGCAGGAGACAAACTTGGCCATAAACTCTAAGCATGTTCTTGGGGAGCAATCCCATAGCTTTCATTAGTTTCCCTCAGGGGTCCATGACATTCAAAAAAAATTAAACACCCACTGTCTTAAACAATGAGTACAAAGTAGAAGAGATGGAGGAGGAAAGACACATGGGCAGGAAGCCACAGAAGGGATTAAAGGAACAGGCAGTAAGGGGTTCCTTTGCCTAAGAGAAAGGAAGCGCTCCTGTGGAGTCGGGGGGGGGGGGGGGAGGGCGGGGGAGCGATGCAAACCTGGGCGTGGAGTGGGCTGAGTCCCGGATCAACTCCCAGCAGCAAGAGGCCTCCTTTCTCCCGTCCTCACAGGTACTTATACAAGCTGCGGGATTTGCACCGAGACTGTGAGAACTACACAGAAGCTGCCTACACGCTTCTCTTACATGCTGAGCTTCTGCAGGTGAGTGGCTCAGGGGTCTCATTTCAACAGGGTGGAAGACAAAATGCAGTGTGTCAACTGTCCAGTCCTTTGGGACCAAATCCCGTATGCCTCATGATTTTGATGGGAAAGATCCTTATTCAAAGGAGATCGTTTCATCCAAGAATCTTTTTATACCTTCTAAATAGGCACAGCTAATTTTCAGATCAAGCTTGGGAAAATGTCCATTGTCGTTTATTTAAGAATCCTTAGAAAGCGAAGCACAACAGGACTCTAGTAATTGACACTCTAATCAAAGAAACTAAACACACATCGAATAATACATGTAAAAAAATTTGTAAAACTGCAGAGAAATGAGTTGTAAATGAGCACAGCACTATAGAAGCGCTTTTCTATTTATACTCTCAGTAAGCAAAACTATACTGTGCCATGGATAGAAATACATCTGTACTTCATGGATCCCCAATAATTATTTCTAGCTCTGACCACTCCTCTAACTTTAGATTCACACGAAAACAGTTCTTTCAACATCAGTCTTTGTTTTCTTTTAAGATTGGCCCCTAAGCTAACAACTGTTGCCAATCTTCTTTTTTTTTTCCCTGCTTTTTCTACCCAAATCCCCCCAGTACATAGTTGTATATTTTAGTTGTGGGTCCTTCTAGTTGTGGCATGTGGGACACCACCTCAATATGGCCTGATGAGTGGTGCCATGTCCACGCCCAGGATCAGAACTGGCGAAACCCCGGGCTGCCGAAGCGGAGTGCTCGAACTTAACCACTCAGCTACAGGGCCGGCCCCTCAACATCGATCTTTGAATGAGTAATAGACAACTCACCTTAACATGGCAGTAACAGGAGTTCTTATTTCCCACTCTTCTCCTCCTGATCCAGTCCGGCTTCTCCTTCTTCCCGTTTCACTAAAGACACCACCATCTACCCAGTTGCTCAGGCAAATACCTGTCATCATTTTTTATCCACCCCCACCCACATTCTCCGTGAGCAAGAATCATGAATCCTCTGTCCAAAACTTGCCCTTAACCTATCCATTTTTCCTTTTTTTAAACTGAGATATAATTGACACGTAACACTGTAAGGTGTACACCTGTTGATTTGATGTATCTGTATATTGCAGTATCATGGCCACTGTATCATTAGCTAACACCTCTATCACGTCACATAATTATACCTCTTTTTTTGTGGTGGGAAAAATTACCGTCTAGTCTCTTAGTAGCTTTGATGTTTATAATACAGTGTTGTCTATCACCACTACACTGTGTATTAGAGCGCCGGGACTTATTTCTCTATTGGCTATAGGTTTGTACCCTAAACCAACATCTCCCCAGTTCCCCTACCCCCAACCCCTGGTAACCACCATTCTAGTCTCTGTTTTTATGAGTTTAGCTTTTTTAGATTCCACATATAAGTGAGATCATAGAGGATTTGTCTGTCCCTGTCTATCTCACTTAGCATCATGTCCTCAAGGTCCATCCATGCTGCCGCAATGGCAGGATTTCCTTCTTTCTTATGACCGAATCATATTCTAGTCTATATACATACCTCGTCTTCTTTGTCCCTTCATCCATAGACTCTTAAGTTGTTTCCACATCGTGGCCGTTGTGAACAATGCTGCAGTGAATGTGGGAGTGCAGATGTCTCTTTGAGATCCTGTTTTCATTTGCTTTCTATCTACTTTTCCTTGTCTCCATTGCTGCCATTCTGGTCTAAGCTACGGTCATCTCTCCCCTGGAGCACAGCAGTATTACGTCTCCCTGCCTCCATTCTTTTTTATTAAAGATTGACCCTGAGCTAACATCTGTTGCCAATCTTCCTTTTTTTTTTCCTTCTCCCCAAAGCCCCCCAGTACATAGTTGTATATTCTAGTTGTGGGTCCTTCTAGTTGTGCTATGTGGGACACTGTCTCAGCTTATCCATGTCCGTGCCCAGGATCCAAACCCACGAAACCCTGGGCTGCCTAAGCGGAGCGTAGGAACTTAACCACTCGGCCCCAGGGCCGTCCCCACCCTGCCTCCATTCTTGCATCTAGCAATTAATTTTCTTGTATAATTTAATTCTTATTTTTTATTAAAATATACGTATACGTTGTTCTAAGCTTTGTAATTAAAAATAGGAGACCTCTGCCTCATCACTTCCCCAGGGCAGCTGTTCACAATTCATATTCAAGATACGTCGCTAAAAGGCTCATTCTGTATGGGTTGGAGGGAAGGCTTATTGACTGTGGGAGGTTCAGAAAGAAACCCCACTGACTGTAACTGTAGGTCTTTTCATTTTTGCTGTTTCGAAAATGGAACTCTCCCCTCCTGGCGTTAGGTATGAGGTGTGGATGCAACTTTGCCCCCCAGGCAGCTGCTCAGTAGGGGTGCTGTTTGTTACGTACAGTGCATGTTTTCCTTAGTGGTATGAGATCCCGTCTTTATCCTGTACTAAATCCCTAGGTGGGGGTTGGGCCTCTGCCTAGATTTTATATTCTTTTGCCCGATCTCCATATATTCCTGTATACTACCGCACCCTTTTGGTTCTTTATGGTACGTTTTATCACCTGGAAATTACTCTCCATTGCTCTTCTTTTTCAGAGTTTTCTATCCTATTCCTTTTTGTTTATTTTTCCATGTGGACTTTGGAATCCATAAATTAAAAATTAATTTAGTGAAAATTTACACATTTATGAAATTGCACTTACTTGTCCAAAAGCATGGTGTGACTTTCCACTTCTTCAAACTGCTTTTGTGCCGTTCAGTGTTGTGTTAAAGTTTCCTGTCTAGAAGTTTTGCATATTCCTTGCTGTGTTGATTCCTAGGTATCTTTTCATTTAAATTTAATTATGGTAAAATACACGTAAAGTAAGATTCACCATCTTTGACCATTTTCAGTTCAGTGGCATTAAGTACGTTCACATTGTTGTGCCCAGCTGTTATCATTTTCGATTTATTCCTTTTGGGGTTTTTTCTTCTATTATCTTCAGCATGGTTATCTATTTATGTGAAATACATCTCCAAATTATTTCTAAATATGTTAATTTTTTATCCCACTACTTAATTCTTTCATTGTTTGTGGTAGTTTTTTAGTTGGTTCCCATTTGAGGGGATTGATTATGAAGAATATAATTGTTGTTTGCACGTAGTGATAGTTTTACCCCCTCCTTTCCATTTTTATGCTTCTAATTTCTTTCTTTTATCCGATTGTGTCAATGATGCCTTCAGTATGGTGGCAGTCGTGTTGGTTGACAACCCTGCTGTGTTCATGACTTCCATGGGAACACCTCACGTGCTTGTCCATGCAGCAGGACAGTTGTTTTGGAGCTGGTGTGTGTGTGTGTATTCAATTTTTTGTTTAACAAATAAAAGTACAATACAGATGAGTCAAAGATATAGTCGAATATTTCTGTGAGTTTTTTTGGCTGAATATTTGTTACCTTGATCTCCTTTAATTAATTTAACTCATTGATGTGTTGTGTTAACCTCTTTTGTTGCTCCTGTTTGTTTTTCAGTGGTCTGACAAGCCCTGTGTCCCCCATTTGCTTCAGAGGGACAGTTACTATGTTTATACCCAGCAAGAGCTCAAAGAGAAGCTGTATCAAGAAATCATATCATATTTTGACAAAGGCAAAGTGAGTGTTGGGTTGTTTGATTTTGTATTAGGGGAAAGAGGAAAATGATGGGAATACTGCAGTATGGTTCTGATGCTAACCAGCCAAAGTGACCACAGACCCCACAGGCTAAGCGCACTGTCCCCAGCAAGACAGCCCTCACTTCAGATGCCATGCTTGTGGGGTTTCCAGGTCACCCACACTTCTGACCACTTGACTATAAATTTGGGGGGGAAGGAAACGTGGTGAAAGGAACTTGGTACTAAGGAAGCTTGGTAAAATGCTATACTTCTGATTACAGTTTTATTAGAAAGGACACAAATCGGGACCAGCCAAAGGAAGAAACTCTTAGGGCAAGCTCTAAGAGGGTCTCCCATACAGAGCCTCTGTGTCCTCTCCCTGTGGATTTAGGGCACATCACCCTCCTGGTGAATTGGTGTGTTTCCCAACCAGGAAGCTCACCCGAGCCTCCATGTGCAGGGTTTTTACTGGGGTTTCATCACAGTGGCTTGATTGATCGAATCATCAACCTCGTGAGTGAGCTCAATCTGCAGCCTCCCTCTCCTCCCTGGAGGTCTGGCTGATATTATGTAGCTCCAGGCCCCATCACTGTAATCATGTGAGTGCTGGTTCTGGTGAGGCTAGCCCCCATTCTGAGACTATGTAGGGCCACCACGAGTTACCTCATTAGCATAAACTTAGGTGTGGTCTCAGGGGCCACTATGAACAACAGAGACACTTCAGTCACTGGGGAAATTCCAAGGGTTTAGACAGCTTCCTCCCAGAACCAAGGACAAGACCAGACACATTGTTTGTTATACAACAATGACTCATGACTTACTCTTTATTATTCCCATGTGTACCTTTGAATTCTGGTATTTTTAATGGGAGAGAAAATGAATAGGTAAATTAAGGTAAGAAATGCAATAAAGATCTGTTATCTTGAGGATGCTTACACCAACGGAGACTACAGTGAGCAGCCCAGGGCCCCACTCTCCATAACCATAATTTTACCTTTTAGATATTGCTGAGGGCCAGGAGCTGGTCCGTGATTTTTCATGCATTCTCTAGAGATTGTTGGCTAACACTTGGTGCACATCTGATACCCAGGGCATCACCTGCCTGACACCGTAGGCCAAGGATAAGAAGCAACTTAAATGCCTATGGGGATGGGAAGGTAAAATAAACATATGACCTGGGCCAGAAAGTTGTGGAGTCTGTGGTCAACTGGAGAAAGCATGTCCAGGAAAGGCTTTTAAATTTAAAATGGAAAAAAAAAAATTATAGAAGGAGTAGGTGGAGAAAGAAATGAATTATGTGTGTGCTCTCCAAACAAACAGACCCAGATTTGGCTGGTTTCAGAGGCCTGTGTAGTTCTCATGGACTGCCACTTCCTGCCACCATACCTGTTCTATCAGTGGAACCTGTTGGTTTAAATAAATAAAGAAGCCAGATAATCATCATGATAAAATAGCTACCATCTATTTTGTGCTAGTTATTGTTTTGGGTGATTTCCAGACTTTTTCCCTAATTTAATTCTTGCCACACCCTATTTGGTAGATAGTATCTCCATTTTACAGATGAAGAGCCTAGAGAGCAAGTATATTTGCTCAAACTTTTTGGTCTCTGCACCCCTATACCCTCTTAGAAATCACTGAGGACCCCAAAGAGCTTTTGTTCATGTGGATTATTTCTTATGTTACTTATACCCTTAGACATTCAAACAGAAAATTAAAAAATATTTACCTTTGTTCTTTTAACAACAGTAATAAACCTATGACCTGCTAACATAAATCATATCTATTTATGAAAAATTTACTGTATTTTCCCCAGAATGAGTGATATGAGTGGTGTTAGTTTATGTTTTTGCAAATCTCTTACGGTGGCTCTCCAGGAGACTGTGGGACTCTCATATCTGCTTGTGTATTCAGTCAATTGTGATATCACATGGACTGCACCCTCTGGGAAACTCCACTGTAACGCTGAGAGAATGAGCATTTAAAAGATTAAATAATATTAGTATTATTGAGAAGGTAGTTTTGACCTCATGGACTGCCTGAAAGGGTCTTGGGGTCTCCCAGAGACCAGGGACAACACTTTGAGAAGGGCCATGCGAGACTGTCTCCCTGTCTCTTACGTAACTTAGCATTTGGTGAAGTGAGGAGAGGTCTTGATCCCACTGATGCTGTTGACTGGTTTCTTGCACCAGGCCCAGCTGATCTGGAATGGTTTCCAGATCGCACATTTCAGAGCCTTTTCAGTGATCCAGGCTCTGAAATTTCAGAGGGGGCAAATTTGGCAAATGAGGATTTTAAAAGATTTAATTTTAAAATGTTTTACAACTGTGTGTGAACTGCCCATACCTTCTTTCAGCAGCCAGAAACAATGGAACATAGCATCTGGTTAATAAGAACGAAGTAGGAAATTCCCAGATACTGCATTTTTAACAGTGTACCCCTAAGAGACATTTTATGAAATACCAAAATGAACAGAGGGCTCAATCTGGGATGCTAGCCTCAGACACCAAGTGTGTGCGTTAGGCTGTAACTTACATGGTCACAAATGCTCTAAGGCATTCCTAAAACTCTCTTTGACTAAGTAGATAGTTTAGTTAGCAATAGGAAATCAGTGCCCTAAATTGGAAAAACAGTTTCCTAAATTCCACACAACAGTACAGTGGGCCTTTCTTCCATTTCCCCCTTCCCAAACAGCCTAACTTGAAACACACACATACACATACACGCAGAGACACACACACTCACACAAACATCCCAGAACCAGAGCTGGAGTCCCACACCAGCTTCCTTTCTCCTCTGACAAGACTTTCGCACTCTCAGGACCTAACCTTCAGAAATGGTTCTCCTCCAGTTCACTGGTCTGTGTGCCTTGCCCTTTAATCTGTGTTGCTTTGTTCTGGGACATGTGGTGTTCTTCATTTTTCTGCAAACAGAATTACAGAAGATGCCCTCTGGCATCTTTACTATATAAAGATGTAGTAGCTTTATGATATCGGAAAAAAGGTTTAGTTGATCCAAGAGATGAGGCATGTTGAGAATATCTGCAGAAAGTCAAGCCCCCTGACTCCCTGCCCATTGCCAGTGACTCTCAAATGGCTTTTGCAGCTGGATCAATGACTGCTTTCTTCTCCACTCGTAACCCTACCTTTCTTTTTCTGAAGATGTGGGAGAAGGCAATCAAACTGAGCAAAGAGTTGGCTGAGAATTACGAGAGCAAAGTGTTTGACTACGAGGGCCTTGGCGATCTCCTGGTGAGTCTGGGTCGGGATATGTCAAGCCTCCAACAGGGTGCTAAAATTAGAGTTCATGAAAATGGTGTTGTAAGTTTAAGTCAGTCAAGATAAACAACGTTCTTTACGATAGAAAAGTAAACCCTGCTTAAGATAAAAATGAAAACAGATGAGATCCAAAGCTCTTGTCATTATTTCTCCAGATTATCCTTGAGAGAGGGCTCAGGATCCCTGGCTACAGGCCTCTCTTCCTTTTCTGTGCCTTTTCTTTCTCTGTGGACCTTCCATATCCCTGTCCCATCTCCTCTTTACCCTCTCAGTTGCTCTGCCTTCTTTGAACACCATCCGTATTTCAGATATTGTCTGACATCTTCTGTTTATCGAAATTCATCGTTCTGTGGTCCACATCCTCAGGGTCCTGCTGAATGATTGAACTGCTAATCTTTGAGCCTTGTTTTATTTTTTCAAGGGTGCCATTGTGCACATTTTGGTAAGTTGTAAAATGTTCCTGCCAGATACTGAATCTCAAATTTTGCCTTCCTCCTTTTCCCGAATGTCGCTAGAGTGCTTTTCTTTTACAGTCCTCTAAACGTGCGTGTTACACCTGGCTGTTGGCACAAGTCAACTGTTTAAAAACAATAAGGCAAACCCAAAATGCCCTAAGGTAGGCAACACAATATTACATTTGCTAATTCTTAGTAACAGAGTCACAAAAGGTCATGTCACCCATTGACATGTAATAATAATTAATTTGGGGAGTTGGTTGTCAAGATCACTTTGTAAAGAATTTTCCAATGTAATTCACCAGGTCCTGTCATCACACACAAAAAATCACTTATTAATTTCATAAACTAAAGAGAAGGATAAAAATCTTATGATTATTTCACTAGATGCAGAAAAAGCATTTGACAAAATTCTACATCCATTTATGATAAAAAACTCTCAAAAAGTGGGAATAAAGGGAATGTACTTCAACACAATAAAAGCCATATATGATAAGCCCACAGCTAATGTCATACTCAGTGGTGAAAAGCTGAAAGCTTTTTATTTAAGATCAGGAACAAGACAAGGAAGTCCACTCTTGCCACTTTTATTCAATATGGTACTGGAAGTCCTGGCCAGAGCAATCAGACAAGAAAAAGAAAGAAAAGCCGTCCAAATTGGAAAGGAAGAAGTAAAATTGTCACTATTTGCAGATGACTTGATATTAAATATGGAAAACCCTAAAGACTCTATCAAAAAGCTGTTAGAACTAATAAACAAATTCAGTAAAGTTGTGGATACAAAAGTACAAAAATCTGTCGCATTTCTTTCTTTTTTTTTTAAGATTTTGTTTTTCCTTTTTCTCCCCAAAGCCCCCTAGTACGTAGTTGTATATATATATATTTTTTAGTTGTGGGTCCTTCTAGTTGTGGCGTGTGGGATGCCACCTCAGCATGGCTTGCTGAGCAGTGCCATGTCTGTGCCCAGGATCCGAACCGGCGAAACCCTGGGCCGCCAAAGTGGAGCGCGCAAACTTAATTAACCACTCTGCCACAGGGCTGGCCGCATGTCACATTTGTTTCTATGCTATAACAAATATCAAAAAGAGAAATTTGGAAAATCCCATTTATGGTTGCACCAAAAAGCATAAAATACCTAAGAATAAATTTAACCAAGGAGGTGAAAGACCTGTACACTGAAACTATAAACATTAATGAAAGAAACTGAAGAAGACACACACAAAAAGCAAAGATATTCTGTGCTCATGGATTGGAAGAACTAATTTTTGTTAAAATGTTCATGCTGTGCAAAGCAATATACAGATTCAGTGCAAATTAAAACAGTATAATATTGGCATGAAAACAGACATGTAGATCAATGGAACAGAGTAGACAGCACAGAAATAAACCCACACATATATGGTCAATTAATTTACAACAGAGGAGCCAGGAATATATAATGGGGAAAGGACAGTTTCTTCAATAAATGGTTTTAGAAATATTGGACAGCCACATGCAAAAGAATGAAACTAAACCACTATCTTACACCATACTAAAAACTTAACTCAAAATGGATTAAAAACTTGAATGTAAAACCTGAAACCATGGAACTCCTAGAAGAAAACATAGGTTGAAGCTTCTTGACATTGGTCTTGGTGATCATGTTTTTGGATTTGACACCAAAAGCAAAATCAACAAAAGCAAAAATAAACAAGTGGGACATCAAACTAAAAAGCTTCTGCACAGCAAAGGAAACCCTCAAAAAGTGAAAAGGCAACCTACTGAATGGGAGAAAATAATTGCAAACCATATATCTGATAAGGGGCTAATATTCCAAAATATTAACTCATACAACTCAATAACAAAAACAGAAATTCAATTAAAAAATGGACAGACGGGCCAGCCCTGTGGCCTAGTGGTCAACTTTGTGTGCTCCACTTTGGCGGCCCAGGGTTTCACTGGTTCAGATCCTGGACACTGCTTGTCAGGCCACGTTGAGGCGGTGTCCCACATGCCACAACTAGAAGGACCCACAACTAAAATATACAACTATGTATTGGGGGGATTTGGGGAGAAAAAGCAGAAAAAAAAATTGGCAACAATTGTTAGCTCAGGTGCCAATCTTTAAAAACGAAAAAAAAAGGGCGGAAGATCCAAATAGACATTTTTCCAAAGAAGACATACAGATGGCCAACAGGTACAGGAAAAGATGCTCAACATCACTAATCATCAGGGAAATGCAGATCAAAATCACGAGATATCACCTCACACCTGTTAGAATGGCTATCATCAAAAAGATAAGAAATAGCAAGTATTGGTGAGGATGTGGAGAAAAGGGAACCCTTGTGCACTGTTGGTGGGAATGTGAATTGGTGCAGTCACTATGGAAAAAGCTTCCTCAAAAATAAAAAATAGAACTGTCATGTGATCTAGCAGTTCTCTTTCTGGGTATTTATTCAAAGAAAACTAAAACACTAATTTGAAAAGATACAGGCCTCCCTGTGTTCATTGCAGCATTATTTACAGTAGTCAAGATATAGAAACAATCTAAGTGTCCATCAGTGGGTGAGTGGATAAAGAAATTGAGCTCTGTGTGTATATATACAATGGAATATTATTCAGCCATAAAAAAGAATGAAATCCTGCCATTTGCGACAACATGGATGGACCTCGAGGCATTATGCTAAATGAAATAAGTCAGACAGAGAAAGACAAATACTGTATGATCTCTATTATATGTGGAATCTAAAAACCAAAAAAAAAAAAAAAAACCAAGCTCATAGATACAGAGAACAGATTGGTAATTGCAAGAGGCAGGGGTTGGGGGGTGGTGAGAGAAGAGAAATGGGTGAACTTTTTGTTTTTTAGTTTAAATAAATCTAATTTAAAAAATTAAAAGAAAGAAAACATCACGATGGAAACTTTCACCTGGAGTAGTAATATAGTCCTGCTAACCATTGTGGGAGGGGCCGAGGGACAGCCCTCAAAGCCCCCAGGTGTGGCTTCCTATTTTGCTTTCTTTAAGGCTGACTCTGAGCCCTGGCTGGGAAGCCTGTTCCTGTAGGAAGAATTAAAGATGAGGTGGTACCAGATACTGGAAAGCAGAGCATCGCCACCACCTTCTGGGCACTCATAGGTGAACCAAGGACTCCAGTCCAAACTGCCTGCAGGAACCAGAAAGTTCTTTAACTTCTTTTCTCATATGTCTCTGTTTAAGTGGAACCACCTTCCGTGAATCTCGGGGAGTGCTTCTTAACCTTTTAGGGGTCCTGAACCCCTTTCAGGAATCTGGTAAAAGCTCAACACTGCATCCCTCCATAGAAGAACGCACACACGCACATCTGTCTGCATGTGACTTCAGGGATTTCCAGGCCCTCCAAGGCCCATTCATGGACCCCAGGTCCAAAGTCTCTGATCCAAGAAAAGGATAACTCTTTGGCCCACAAGATATTTTCCAAAGACCTTTCATTTCTCTGTGTTACATGGGAAACAACAAAGCAAATAGTCTGATCTTTTTTTTCTTTTTTCCCCAACGGTGCCCTTGTAACCTCCCTATGGAATGTCTTGTTTTGTTTTCCAGAAAAAAAGAGCCTCGTTTTATGAGAACATCGTTAAGGCGATGCGGCCTCAGCCAGAATACTTTGCTGTTGGCTACTATGGACAGGGCTTTCCTTCCTTCCTGCGGGTAAGAACCTGAGGCCGTCCCCCGAGCCGGCAAGGCTGCAGTCTGAGGGAGGGAAGTCTTCCTCTCTTTTCCAGATGGGCCTGGAGTTAGCAGCTGGAGACCGTGCTCTCTCGCCGTGGGAGGTCTGGGAGGGAAACCACTTCCTGAGCACCGGCCTCCTCACCCCACAGCCCTGACCACCTCTGGTATTCTGGCAGCTCTTTTGTAAAATGGCTTTTCCCAGGTGGGATGGAAAAGGGAAAAACAGAACCCTCCCTTCCGCTAGTCTGCTGCCGCAGGTCAGGCTGGGAAAGCGTGGATCGATGCGTTTAGTTGTTTATTTTATTTGCAGCCAGAGGTAGTTTGAAAGCAAATATCCTCAAAACAAGACTGCAAGAGTTTCACGAAAATAAAAACAGTTTTGTTGTAATAGTGAGAAGAACGATGTTTTTCTTCCTTCTCAAAATTTTCTATAATGTGATATTGATTTTACAGTCTAGAAAATAAAAAACTCCTATTTCCTCCGGCAAAAAAAGAAGCCTCTTTTAGCACTGAGCTATGTTTAAACATACGTTATCCACTTTCCTTCCTCTAATTAAAAAAAGAAAAAATGAGAAAGAAATCATTTTACTCTCTTTATAGCGCCTAACAAGGAGGTGGTTCTTGCATTCGTTCATTCAGTAACTCTAATGAGTGCCTGCTGTCTACGAGGCACTCGCTAGGCATTAGAGATACAGTGCTGATCATAACCAGCCGTAGTCCCTGCCCTTATGGATTTTACATCCTAATGGGTGAGTTGTTAACTAAATAATCACACAAAAGAATGTAAAATTGAAACTGTGACCAAGAAAGGTGTTCTGTGTTGTAAGAGTTGGTTAACCAGGGAGTATTTACCCAAGTGAAATAAAAACCCATGTTCACACAAAAATTGTATATGATTGTGTATAGCACCTTTATTCACCATCACCAAAGACTGGATCCAACCCAGATGTCCCTCCACTGGTAAAGGGACAAACCAGCTGTGGTACAGCCATGCAGTGGAACATTGCTCAGTAATGAAAAGGGATGAACTCCTGATACACACGACCATGGGGCTGAATCTCGGATGCACTGTGCTAAGTGAAAGAATTTGAGCTTAAAAGCCACAGACGGGGCAAGCCCCGTGGCCGAGTGGTTAAGTTTGTGTGCTCCCCTTCCTGCGGCCCAGGGTTTTGCTGGTTCGAATCCTGGGTGCGGACATGGCACCACTCGTCAGGCCATGTTGAGGCAGCGTCCCATGTGCCACAACTAGAAGGACCTACAACTAAAAATACACAACTATGTGCTGGGGGGATTTGGGGAGAGAAAAGCAGAAAAAAAAATGGCAACAGTTGTTAGCTCAGGTGCCAATCTTTAAAAAAAAAAAAGCCACAGATGCTATCATTTTGCTAATAGGACATTCTGGCCCAGCCAACACTTGCTACAGGGACGGACGACAGAGCAGTGCTAGCTGGCAGTTGGGGGGTGGGTGGGGCCATGGGCTACAGAGAGGAATGGGGAAATTTTGAGTGGTGATGAAACTGTTCTATATCTTGACTGTGGTAGTTGTTACATTTGTCAAAACTCACAGAATTTTATACTAAAAAGGGTAAATTTTACTATATATAAATTACACCTGACTTTTTTAAGAGTCAGGAAAGATGTCCCAAGGAATTTCTGCTTCATCTGTAATTTGAAAGGTGAGCTGTGAGTTAACGAGGTGAAGGGGATTGGAAACAGCATTCCAGGCAGAGGGAACAGCAAGCAAGATGCAGCATGGCAGTGCGGAGGAGTGAAAGAGGACCAGTGCAGTGGAAACAGAGTAGGAGGAGCGGGAAAGATGCAGCACCAAGTGTGGGAAGGGTGTGCAGCGCCTCGGGGTTACAGAGGGTGTTTTGTCTGCATCCTGAGAGCAGTCAGGAGCCATGGCAGGTTTTTTGTGCTGGCCAGGTTACCTGGCTTTGGTATGGAGAACGGATGGAAGCTGTGTGTAGATAAGCCGCCAGAGATTATTGCTGATGTTCAGGCAAGAGATGACAGGTTGGACTAGGGAGGTGGCTTTAGAGAGAAGTGGAAAGGTAAGAGTGGTGGAGATAAAGTAACGGTAATTTGATGGTTGATGGGATATGTGGGTGAGGAAGAGGCAAGTGTCAAGAATGATTCCTAGATTTCTGGCCCCCATGATTGGAGAGGCGGTGGAGCCGTGCACTAAGACAGCAGTACTGGAAGAGGACAGAGTCATGGAGGAGAGAATCAAACCATTCATTGAATAAATATTTGTTGAATTCTTACTGTGTGGCTTGCTGTAATATAGGCATGGGCACAGAGTCCAAAACAAACCAAAATCCTTAAAATTATGGAGCTTACATTCTAGCCTGGAAAGACCAAAGAATAAATAAATTGGTAAAATATTCAGTATGTCAAATGGCCTAGAACAATGCTTCATAAATGTAGGTACGCAGTAAGTATCAGGGAGAAAATGAGTCAGGGATGGTGAACAGAGGCAGGCGATGGGGGTGGCGTTGCCATTTTAAATAGAGTGAATATGAAAGACTTCAGGAGGAAAGTGACATTTGAGCAAAAACCTGAAAGAAGTGAGGGAACAAACCAGGTCCTATCAAGAGGATGAGTGAGCGTCCTAGACAGTGAGAATAGCGGGTTCAAGAGCCACGAGACTGGACACACATGAACAAGAGGGCAGGTAGGAGAATGGGGTCTGATAGCTGTGGTTACCAGATCACAGAGGCCTTTTGAGATCTTTCTAAGTTGTGTGTAAAAGTTTGGTTTTAGATATACTCGATGTGAAGTAAATTTGGAACATCTAAGTGATGTGAGTCAACAATTTGACATATGGATCTGGAACTCGAAGGAAGGTTCCAGGCTGGAGATAAAAGTGGGTGAGTTATTTGCATGTAGTTAAAACTGTGGTAGTGGATGAGATGGCCTCGGGAGAGAGAGCGTAGGGTAACTAGTGTAGAGGGTTTGGGATGGAGCCTTGCAGTAGCTTCTGGTCTTAGCTTTCTATCACTCTGGGTACTCAAGTCAAGACAAGAAAAGGATGCCTACCATACTGGGCGTGTGTGACTGTTGTGTCACACGAAATAAAGGATGCGAACTAGGAGACAGGGCGGTTCAGTGAAAACAAGAACCGTAGACTTTTGAGTTGAAAGAATTGGGGTCTAAATTGTCTGCTGACTGACTGTGATTTTGGCCAAATCACATAAACACTGAGTCTTGATTTTTTGACCTATAAGTTAGAGAAATAATGCTCCCATCACAGGCTGCTTTGAGAATTAAATAAATAGCATGTAAGAGTGCTTTTTAAACTGTCAAGTAGTTTGTAGATGTTGTGTTTGTCAAAGTGTACTGAAAAATATAAAATCTTTATGAATGACATAACCTAAATGCCTTTCTGTGTTATGGACTATTTCCCCAAACTCAGGATATATAAAATTATATTGTCCTCTTTCCCCCACTCCAGCCAGGTCTCCTCTTCTCTGTTTCTATCAATGGCACTGCTGTTCTGTCTGCTCCCAGGCCTGTAATCTCAGCATCATCATGGACTTTCCCGTCCCCTTTGCCCTTCACCAAACGCCAAAGAGTCAAACACCAGATCTGGTGGCTGCTGCTTCTCCCGCTCAGTCCTCCTCACATTCCTGCAGTTGAACACAGACTCCTCTGTCGGATTAGCTTGTCTGTTCTGCCTCATTCCTCAGGTTTCTCCCTCCTTCCAGAACCTCTGTGAATTCCCTGGGCCTCTGGAACTTCTGTCTGCCTTGCAAGGCCTTTCATGTTCTGGCTCATCCACCAACCCAAGCTTATTCTTCTGTCTCCACTCTGTACTTTCTGCCCTTGGGCCTTATCCTTCTTTTCACTTACCATGCCTGGTTGTCCTCTCCCCCTCTCTCTTCCTGACCTTGGCCTGTCCATCCTTCTAGGCCCAGCTAAGTCCCATGTCTTTGCTGAAGCCCTCTCTTTCAGGTTGAGCTAGTTTGAGCTCACCTGCTTGTCTGATTCCTTTCACAGTGCTTGCCGCATCATACAGGTAGTGTTTTATTGTACTCTGATCCCCTGCCCACCACAGTTTTGCCTGAATGATGGAATTTTGTAATGCATGAATCAGTCACATAAATCTTCCCCAGCTCGGAAAAATTTTATCATCTAGTTCAAAGGATCTGGCAGTCTTTACTGCCTTCGTTGTTTAGCCTGGAAGGTGCGTTGCCTTCGTGGTTCTTAGACTATCTAAAGTTACCAGTTTTACTTACTCGTTCACTTGTTTGTTCTTTATTTCTCTCCACTAGGAGGTAAGTTTGTGGGAACAGGCTACCATTACGTCCCTCGTGTCTGGCATATGCACGTTTGCTCAATACATATTTGTCATATGAATGGACAAGTGATTTTTAAAAACATTTCACGGGATAACATGGACCCAAGTTTTAATTAAAATGGGTCATGTGCGGGCTGCCAGCGCAGCGTGCTCATCTGAGTGACGGCCGGAGGAGCAGAAACTTTCCAAACACGGCTAGGTTTTGGAAACTTGCACGGACAACAGCAGCTATGAAACAAATTCCTCCCATGCATGGGGCCTAGGAAATTTCTAAAAAAAATCCAATTTTATTAAAGAGAAAAAAACTGCAATTTGGAGTGGAGAAAATAATATGTAGTGCAGTAATTTTCTATGGGAATTTGATGGTGCCATTCAGTGTGATTTTGGGGATTGGCCGGGGATCGCTGTAAATTATTGCTGCTCTCTGTGACCTGTCCCATTGCTATATCACTGTGTTGGAAGACATGTTATCTTGGTTCTCTTCACACGGTCATGTTCTCTAAGGCAGTGCCATCAAAGTGTGGTCCACAAACTGTCACTGGTCACCATGAGATAAGGAGCTTGCACCTGAATGTGAATTAATGCACATCCTTCCTTCATTTGAGACTGTTTTGCCATGAAAAATATCAGTTGAACTAAACAGGCTTCCTGGTAGTGTCAAGGATCTACATTAGGGCACAGGTTCCTTATTTCCTTGTGGATCAGTCTAGACCATTTGTGGACTGGCTGTCGTCCTTGGGCCACACTATGAGAAGCGCTGCCCCAAGTATTTTTTATGTCTGTGACTTAACTCCCCAAATCAGCCACGAGCTCTTATCGGAGAGGATGGTTGCTGTGGGGCTGTGGGAGGTATTCCGTGGGAATTTGGGTGCACTGCAGGAGGGCGGGGGAGGATGGTGATTTCCTCAGGACCAGGATCTCCAGTTGCCCCTTCACTCCTCATATGTAATTCTTCCCCTTGCCGTCTCTGACCTGCAGAACAAAATCTTCATCTACCGGGGGAAGGAGTATGAGAGGCGAGAAGACTTCAGCCTGAGGTTGCTGACCCAGTTCCCCAATGCCGAGAAGATGACCAGTACCACGCCCCCGGGAGAGGAAATCAGGTCCTCCCCTAAGCAGTGTATCCTTGCCCTGGAGACATGGCCCTGCCTGAGGGGTTCTGCCTGCTGCAGCCCCCGCCGCACCAGAGAAGCCAAGGCTTCAGCCCCATCTTTGCACGCAGAGATGTCCTATCCTCAGACACTCATTGAACCGTTCTGACTCAGTTTCCCATTCTGTGTAAAAGCTGTGGGCCCCCAATGTCCTTAGCTTGTGATTATCAAGTAATGAAAGGAGAGAGATGATAAGCAAATCTTGAGTATGAAAGGTTATATTTTATAGCCATATGGGGAGCGGGAGGAGAACAGAGACTTCCTGTTCTGGATTCTGGATCAAGATGCATAGTTATTTTTTTGTAATGTATAATGACTAATTGAAAAATCAATTACATGCTTTCTTGAAAAAAAAAGAACTAAGGGCTTTATAACAAAATTATTTTTATACAACTTTCTTGTGCTAAAATAAAGACCTTACAAAATTGCACAGTATCCTAAGAGAAGCAGATGGGACAAATGAAGCCGGTGTGGCCTGGTAGATAAGAAAATGGGCTCTGGAGGCCAGCCGGGTGGCGCAGTGGTCAAGTTCACATGTTCCGCTTCGGTGGCCCAGGGTTCACCGGTTTGGATCCTGGGCGTGGACCTACGCACCGCTTGTCAGGCCATGCTGTTGCAGGTGTCTCACATATAAAAAAGTAGAGGAAGATGGGCATGGATGTTAGCTCAGGGCCAGTCTTCCTCAGCAAAAAGAGGAGGATTGGCAGCAGATGTTAGCACAAAGCTAATCTTCCTCAAAAAATAAATAAAAGAAAGAAAATGGGCTCTGGAACTAGACTGCCTGGGTTCAGGTCCCAGCTCTATCACTGTGTTACTTTGGGCAAATTACTTAACTTCTCTGTGCCTCAGTTTTCTCATCTCTAAAATGAGGAGGATGATCATTCTTCCTCCTGGAGTGCTTCTAAAGATTGAGTGAATAAATGTATGTAAGATACTAGGAACAGTACCTGGCACATAATAAAAATTCAGTATATATTAGCTATCATTATAGATTGGTGAATAGCTCTGGAAAGACAGATAATAACAACAATAGAGCAATGGACATACGCACTTTGAAGGGAAGAGTAGTAGTGACCTGTTAACACCTAGTGGAGGCTTGCAGAAGAAAGGTCTTCAGGATAAACGCCTGTTTGGATTATGGAGTTTGAGAAAACAGCTGAGGCGCCTTGTTGATGTGGGACTCAAAAGAGGTCTTCAAGAACTGGACTCAGAAACAGGAGTCCTGGTGCTCAGTCCTCAGTAATTTCTGCATAGCTACTTAACCTCACCCAAGTGGCTGAATTTCTTCAGGCCTTGGTTTTCTCATCTGTAAGGTGTGAGGGTAGGTCTTTTTTCCCTAAATACCTAATAGTACGAATGTGAGGATCACAATTAAAAGATAGCTTCTGCAGAAATGTTTTGTAGACTATAGCAGTGTAAGGCACAACCCAGGGTTCTCAGATGCTATTATCCATGAGAATCACTCCAGAGAGGTTCTACTTCAGCAGCTGCACGTCCTGAGTATGTACCTGGCGTCCGTCTCCAGTGCTGTGCTGGGGGCCTGCAGGCTCCACTGTGAGAAATACGCGTGTCACTGTTATGTCTGGACCCGGGTGCCTTCAAGTCTGGTTTAAGTTCTGTAGACTTTGAAACAGAGTGTCTGCACTGGTGAGGACAAAAACAAGCTGATCGCTTCTAAGATCAGCTCATTAAGTCGGAGAGGAAGGCCTCACCCCTGCGCTGGGTTTGAAGCCCGACTTCACCATTTACGAGTTGTGTGTTCTGGGCTCTCTGAGGTCCTCAGATTCTTCATCTGTAAAACGAGATTGATAACATCCACCTGGTAGTTGTTGCGTTTATTGGAGATAACATGTTCAAAACACCTAGTACAGTGCCCGGCGATGGCCTTCAATAAACAAACTGTGTCCAAAGATACTAGAAATTCCTAGCGCCTGGGCCCTGGAGTCTGGCTGTTTCAGAGGGATGCTTGTCCAAAAGAAATGGTTTAAGACAGTTTCTAGTCACCTGTTTCCTGATATTTCACTGATAATCTGTTTTCCTATGACAAGGTTGTTTGCCAGGTAGGTAACTGACCAAAGAATGTCCTAGGATTGTCACTTAATAAGGCATTTCAGTAATGCATGAGGGAACCCCATTTGCAGTGCAGTCCTGGCATTTGGTCAAAAGGAATGATCGGTGCAGGTGCCACTGTCACCTGTAAGGCAGGAGGGATGGGTGGTTCTTTCCACGGGGACAGCGTGGTGGCCCAGCCCCTTTTCCTTTCTTAACGAGCTCCTCAGACATGCAGTGTTTCACTGTAAAGCCAGTGATGAGCCTGCCGCCCAGCTACAAGGATAAACCAGTTCCAGAGCAAATCTTAAAGTAAGTGGGTTTCTGTTTGTTTTCTAAAACATATGTCTCTCTCACACTCTTTATCTGCAGTTACATCAAAGCCAAAGCCTTAAATTCATTGCCATTTGGAAGACCTTCTGTTGTCTTGGTCCATTTGGGCTGCTGTAACAGAATCCCATAGACAGGGGCTAATAAGCACAGACATTTCTTCCTCACAGTTCTGGAGGCTGGAAGTCCAACCTCAAGGCTCCAGCAGATTTGGTGTCTGGTGAGCGCCTTCCTCCTGGTTGATAGCTAACCATCTTCTCGCTGTGTCCCCACATGGTGAGGGGGTGAGGGCTCTCTCTGGGGCCTCTTTTATATGGGCACTAATCCCATCCATGAGGCCTCCACCGTTATGACCTAATCACCTTCTGAAGGATCTGCCTCCTGATAGCACCACATTGGGTATTAGGATTGCAACATGTGAATTTGGGGGGACATAAGCACTCCAACTGTAGCAACTGTCCCTTCCATTTTTAGTAAGTCAAAGGGATTTGGAGATTGTGTTTTTTTAAGTAGAGAGAAGGAGATCAGGAATTTCACTCTTAGGTTCTGGAGCCCCTAGCTCTTTCCAGTCAGAAAGCTTCACTCGTCACTAGTAGCTGAGCTCACCTCGCCGGGGGAGTTCCCCAGTGACTGACGGCCCAGTCCCTTCTCCTGAGAAGCCAAAGTGCTGGTAGGACTGATAGAACTGTTATAAAACTATGCAGACCGATCACAAACGTGGACATAAACACATACACCTTTTTAAATTGTGAGCTGTGAAGTAGACTCATAAATGATAAAATTAAGATGTGCGATAAAATCAACCTGCTCCCCGCCCCCACCTTCCTTATGGAGACACCCTAGTGGGTAACGACAGCCTGTGTGAGACGTGGTCCGGGTCTGTGGAGGTCAGCCCGGGGAGTCCTTGTTCAGGAGAGAAGCGAGAGCATTGTGGCTCTGTCTTTCCCCAGCTACTACAGAGCCAACGAAGTGCAGCAGTTCCGATATTCCCGGCCATTCCGGAAAGGAGAAAAGGATCCACACAATGAATTTGCCGTGAGTCCACCCATGTTCCCTCTAAAAAGGCAAAACTGACATCCAAGGCAGAGACCTTGCACCCAACCAGCTTATACAGTAGAAAAGATGGCAGCCTTGGGGATGGAGGTTTCCTGTGCTTGCTACGTGGACAGCAGGCTATCATCTAAGTGGAAAACTCTAGATGAAGAGGCCAAAAACTGGGCGTTACTCCTGGGCCTGCTGCCAGTATGACCTTGAGCCAATGACACCTTTCTGGGCCTCAGATTTTCCCTCTAGACGGTGAGAGGGCCCAAGTAGATGAACCCTTCTGGCTTTAGACATCCAGAATCCTTAAATTTGTTGAGAAAATATGGCTCATTCTCTAAGGAGCCATTTGAGAATGAAATCTCATTGAACCGAACCCAAGAGTTTTGCTGTTTTGCTTTGAGAACTGATCGACATTTCCTATTTTCCTTCCTTCCACCAGACCATGTGGATTGAAAGGACCACATATACCACTGCATATACGTTTCCTGGGATTCTCAAGTGGTTTGAAGTCAAACAGATCTCAACAGTGAGTCATTTGAAATTGAAACTCAAAAATCTTTGTCTGCAAATATAATAAGAGCCTTTGTTAAAATGGCCCTCCCGTTCTCGCTGGCTTGGCCAGCCTCCTCTGGCCAACTTCATTTTCCGAAAGAGAAATAAAAGACATGCTTGAATAATAGAACTCCTTTGTAAAACTGATGTTACGACACCAAGCCTAAAGGTTACTCACAGTGAAGGCCTCTTTTGTGACCAAATGAGTGTTGTCTCCCCAGTGGTCCTGCCAGCGCCCAAAACCATTTTGGGAATGCCTCCTTTGAGTTTCCTGTCAATCGCGTTCCTCCCTCCCAGAACACTTCCTCTTCATTTATTCTCAACTAATCACATCACCAGTCATTCTAGACTCTTCCATTTGCATCACTCCCCAAAGCTGCCCGATTTACCTTTTTAATATTTATTAAATCTGTTGTCTCGATGTCCAGCCTTCCTGCCGCTGTACCCTGTTTCTAGTCCCTCATTCATCTCCTTTGATGCCGTTGAAAAGGCCTCCTGATTGGCCTTCGCAGGTGCATTTCCATGACTGCCTCAGAGGGTGAATTCCACAGTGAAAACCTGACCATATCATTCTCATGCTTAAAACCCTTCCGTGGCTCCCCAGTGCCTAGAGTGTGAAGCCCACGCTCGTTGGCACACGCACACAGGGTCTTTGTGACTCAGCTCTTCCACCTCGTCTCCTTTGGAATCGACGGGAACTAAACTCACCCCGTGCTGTTTCAGCCCTCCATGACATTGGGTCATTTTCTCTGCCTGAAATGCCATCTCGCCACTTCCCAACCTAACTAACTCCCGTGACTATTCAGTTTAGCACCAGCTTCTCCAGGAAGCCATCTTTGAAACTCAGGCTGGCTTAGACGTCCTTTCTCTGTGCCCCATTGCCACCTGGCCTTATTTTAACAAGTTACCTACCATGTTTACAGGTCTTGAAACCCCACTCTTCTGAGCCATGAGTTATATCTTAATCACTTTTGTAACTATGGTGCATAGCGCAGTACTTGACATAAAATAAGCGTTCAAGAAATACGTCTTGAGCAAATCTGAACTGAAGTTTGATGTGTTCCATACTACTAGTGATAAATTATTGTTCTTCAACTATGAATATGATTTTTAGAGACTTTTGGAATCAAGTCTAGAGTAGGAGATCATGCTGGCTGATAAGGGGTAAAATGAAGAAGGAGATGATTTTTCTTGAAACCTGGTTTTGAAAACATTTCTACAGGAGGAGCTCTCTGTGAATCCATATTGCATCTTATTTCATTTTCATCCGCAATTCAGCCTGAATATTCTACCACATCCTATTATTTCTGACTTCGGTTAACCACAGAACCCACACTAAGGTGACTTATGTGTTGTCTGATTTGGAATGGCTTCCAAAATCTCTGACCATTTCTCACCGAAAAAGCACAAACCTCTTGCCAGTGAACATTTCTGGTAGTGCAGAAGTGTCTGGGATCAGATATCCTGTTCCTCTGTTGTCACTGATCTTCTCAAAAATCTCTGAGGGAGCTTCGCCTAAGAAACAATCATTATTACAGCTCCAGTTTTTTCCTTCTCAAAATTTCTGTAGCTGCTTTGCCCCAAGAAATAATCATTACTATAGCTCCAGGTTTTGGTCATGGTTTTACTTTCTAAGGAGATTTAAATAGCTTGTTTTGCAACTTAGCAACCCCGTTTTGATGAAGTGTGGTATCCTAGTAAACGTACGCTTGACAAGCAAACCTTGCCTCTTCCATAACCTGTGGGTACTTTATACCTTTGCAGGGGATACTTAGGCTTTTTTTGGTCTTTGCTGTGGAGCTCACAAAGTGCCCTTCCTCTCCCGTGCTCTCTGTCACTCAGGAGGAAATCAGCCCTCTGGAGAATGCCATCGAAACCATGGAACTCACCAATGAGAGGATCAGCAACTGTGTTCAGCAGCATGCCTGGGACCGCTCCCTCTCTGTGCATCCTCTCTCCATGCTGCTCAGCGGCATCGTGGACCCGGCTGTCATGGGCGGATACTCCAACTACGAAAAGGTGGGCTGGCCCCCTGGCACCCACAGGATTCTCAGGTCCATTGTGTCTCCATGTCTCCCTCTGTGGGGTGGTGCAGCTGGTGAATTCATTTCTTAGAACTTCTCTGAGAGATTTTCACTCTCTTCTCTTTATAAAACGGCAATTGAAATTAGTGAAAAGCTTTTGCCTGACCTCACACCTCCTGGAGACCCTCAGCAACCCAGCCAGGGTTAGGAGACTGCCTGGTGGAGTCACTGAGAGACCAGCCCGCTGTACTGTATCTGGTTGATCACCTCCTCTTTCCTGTCGCACTCCCTGTCTCCCCCAGGAGGTAGGAAGCGTAAGGTGGGCCCCAGAACCGAGGACACTGGAAGTGAAGCGGTATCTGTGGGAAAGGCAGAGCCACACTGTATTTAGAATTAGCCCCGACTTGGTGTGCCGTAGGTTATCTGGACGATGCTGGCCCTGGCTCTACAGTTAACTTAGTTCAACTAAGTGCAGTGTCTGTTATTCGGGAAAAACGGCAAAGGAGTGCTCACCACGTGGGAATCCATTACAGGGTTTGCATGTAGCGCCATTTGAAATGGAGGTAATGCAGGGCCAGGTGGTGCAGCGGTTAAGTGCGCATGTTCCCCCGGGGTTGCTGGTTCTGATCCCGGGTGTGGACATGGCACCACTTGGCAAAAAGCCATTCTGTGGTAGGCATCCCACGTATTAAGTACAGGAAGATGGGCGTGGATGTTAGCTCAGGGCCAGTCTTCCTCAGCAAAAAGAGGAAGATTGGCAGTAGTTAGCTCAGGGCTAATCTTCCTCAAAAAAAAAAAAAATGGAGGTAATGCACTCAGTAAGTAAAATTAGGTGAACTGTATTGAATAGAGGCAGGATTTTTAATTGTTAGGTATGTTTTCAGTGACTAAATAATTTTGTAGTCCTCTCCTGAATACAAATAAACATTGGCCAGTACACCATTGTGGAGTAGCGTGGAGAGTGAGTGGAAAGAAAAGGAGATGGATGGGCAAGGGGACATTGAGCGGGCTGATTCTCTTGTTTCCATTTGCACTCAGTGTCCTGGGAAGAGCAGGGGCATTAGAATCAGTCATTCCTATGACCCATTCTGGCTTCCCATTGGACACTGGGTGCTCTTGGGTGAGATGCTTAACCTCTCTGAGCCCCAGCCTTTGTATCTGAAAAAAGTGAGGAAATACATAACTCACAGGAGCGACTTGAGGCTTAAGGGAGACATGCTGTCCATGAGGAACACCGTCAACGCTGGCCGTGTCGTGAGGCTGGGTCTGTGTCGGTGTTCTCCCTGCATCCTCCTGTCTGCCTGGAACAGAGTGTGTGATTCGAGCGTTCTTCCTGCGTGGTGCCGCCAGTGCTCTGACTGCTGCGGAGTAGTCTTCTTTCTCTCTCTCCAGCCTTTCAGCCTCCTTTATTTAGTCTTTGTACTCAGCAGCTGGGAAAGACTCAACACCAGAGAGAAATCCTAGTTTGCCCACATTAGATTTCACTAATAATTTCCAGTGTTACAATGGGATTCAATACAAAACTAGCATCCAAAATACAATACTTTTTTATACTATAATGATTACAGTATGGATTTTTTCCTATAAGACATCTGCTGCTAATTTTGATGTAGTTTTCCAAGTATTAATTTTTTCAGAATGCCCCTAAACTCAGGTTCATATATGCCAATATCTGTGAATATTATAGAATTTCATATGGAGTTTTTTCCAGTGTGACTGTCTTGTAATTAAAAATGAAAAAAAAATGGAAAGGAAGGATATATAAACAAATTTCAGGACCTTTAGCTTAAAATACTAATTTATACTTTTAATTAATATGTATGACTTTGTACATTTCTAAACGTAAGGAAGAGGTAGCTCCTTGCGGTCGGTTGGGGAACCTGTCCTTACCTGCCTGATGCAGGTGGCCTGTTTCAAGGCAGCCCTGTAATCATCGCCTGAGAGAGAAGAACCCGGGAGCTGTTTGTTGTCATTCGTCAGCCCGTGCTGTTGTGAGGCAGGACTCAGCTAGAAAAATGAATTTCAGGGCGCTCTGCTCTGATGTCCTTGACTCAACTGACATTGGGGAAATTTCAGTGCATTTTGTCATATATCAAAATTTTTTTGAACTTTCAAGAATTTAAACTGCTTGTATTTGAAAGGTAAAAGCGGGTAAAGATTTAAGCAAATACTGCCTTTCCGTTTATATTGACAGTCACTCTAAATGTGGATCTCACTGGGCTGAGCTGCTTTGCACATATGCCGTCTGGCTTCCTTTTTGTGATACTCGGGCAACATATATTTCTATTCTCTGTTGTATGAGTTTGCTGGGGCTGCCATAACAAAGTACCGCAAACAGCGTGGCTTGAAACAACAGAAATTTTTTGTCTCCCGGTTCTGGAGTCCAGAGCTCCAAAATTGAGGTGTCAGCAGGGTTTATTCCCCATGAGGGCTGTGAGGGAGGATCTGGCCCCTGCCCGTCTCCCTGCTTCTGGTGGTTGCCTGGTCTTTGGCGTTCCTCAGCTTGTAGACCACTCTCTCCTCCTTGTGTCTCTTCATAGTGTGTTCTCTCTGGGTACGTACGTCCGTCTGCACGTTTCCCCTTTTATGACCACACCAGTTAGGTTGGATTAGGGGTCCGTCCTACTCCAGTGTGACCGCATCTTATCTTAACCAACTACGTCTGCAAAACCCTGTTTCCAACTAGGGTCACGTTCTGAGGTGCCGGGGCTTGAGACTTCAACATATGAATTTGGGGGAGGGGACACAATTCCACCCGTAACATCTTCCCACGAGATGGGAAGGTGACTCCAAATGGGCCAATCACTTTTATAACTGTATCCTGTAGCCTCTGGAACTCTTGGGTTTCCTATAACGGGACGGCTTTCACAGTAGTGGAGCGGAAGAGTGAGGGGGAACTTGGAAGGCTAGTGTTTGAAGGCGCTTTCAGGGGTAAAGGTGAAGGTACAGGGAGAAAATATATACTCCCCTCTGGACTCCACTGGAAATGGTCACTACGGACTTCTGTTTCACTTTCCTAATGCATTCTGTCTTTAAAATGTCTCCTATGTAACACCTATATTTACAGTTTAAGTTTGGGTTTTATTTGCTTATTATAGGGCCTTAGCCATGGGTACCATGAATGTTTATTGATAAAGTTATGGGTGATATGGCCTTCACATATAATAATAATAAACACAGCCTACACTTAATATTTCAAAACATTTTCACATCTGTATTTCATATTGTCCTCAAAATAGCCTTTTGGATAGGTGGTTAGTAAGAAAGTGCAGAGATTAATTTTCGCTTAATACAGGAAAAAAATGTGATACAGCCAATATCACATGGGAGAGCAGAAACACCACCAGCGACACCTCTTGCCTATTAAATTTTTGTTCTTTGTTTTGTAATATTTATGCACTTAATCTTATGAGTAACCTTTAGATGTTGTCACTTGGCCTTTTCTTAGTTCTTTGGGAAAGTTATTTTAATGAAGGACACTCTGCTCTGCTGATGATTGTTAGTTCATTAGTGTGTATATGGTGATTGCTGAGAACGTGCTCTTGCCAGGAATTGCATGATTCCAGAAAGGCCACAAAATAGCACATACCTTTTCGAATTGTCCACTACAGTATTAAGGGCTTAGTGGGTCCTGGTTTATCAGATAGAAGAGAAGACATTTTTCACCTTTCCAGGCTTCCCTCCCCTTCCTTTTAGGGTCAAATACGCAGATAGGAGTGTGTTCTAATTAATACTTGCATGTGCTCTGCTTTCAGGCCTTTTTTACAGAAAAGTACTTGCAGGAGCATCCTGAGGACCAGGAGAAGATTGAGCTGCTAAAGCGACTAATAGCGTTACAGGTATGCTTCCGGGGAGGTGTGGCACGACAGCTTTCCGCTCCACTCCATGGGCGGCCACAGTGTGTGACACCGGGGTTTTCTCTAGGGCTTAAATCTACAAGTCCCACTTTTAGAGTTACTTTTTTGTTTTTTTCCAAAGATTGGCACCTGAGCTAACAACTGTTACCAAGCGTTTTTTTTTTCTTCTCCTTCTTCTTCTCCTCCTCCTCCTCCTCCTCGCTCTCCTCCCCAAAGCCCCCCCAGTACATAGTTGTATATTCTAGTTGTGAGTGCCTCTGCTTGTGCTATGTGGGACGCCACCTCAACATGGCCTGATGAGAGGTGCCATGTCTGTGTCCAGGATCTGAACCGGCAAAACCCTGGGCCACCGAAGCAGAGCACGCAAACAACCACTCGGCCACAGGGCTGGCCCCACTTCTCTTTTTTTTTAACCCTTGAAATCACAATCTGTCTGTTTGTTTGTTCGGCAGAAGGACCTCAGAAAAGCATGGTGTTAGACTGCACAGTGTTGAGAGGAGCCTTCTTAGAGGGGAGATTAAATTGGTTTGCTGGCCTGTGTTCCAGCTGAGAGATGTTGGCTTCTGTTTTTCCCTGTGTCACTGCTTCAGTGAACAGCGGGGAAAATGCGGCCATTCAGTTCAGTCTAAAGCTTAACCCTCTCCATTGCTCATCCACAGAAATGCCTCCTGGCTCAGGTGCTTTGCCTTATCTGTCAACCCTTCCCTATGTTAGAGCCAACTGGCCTCCTTGGTGTGCATATTTCTCTGCACCTTTGACTCCAGGGCTTCCAGTTCCAAAAGCCTACACTGAGACACTGCTTTCTCTCTCTTTTTTTTTTTGAGGAAGATCAGCCCTGAGCTAACATCTGCCACCAATCCTCCTCTTTTAGCTGAGGAAGACTGGCCCTGAGCTAACATACATGCCCATCTTCCTCTGCTTTATATGCCTGCCACTGCATGGCTTGATGAGTGGTGCCATGTCCGCACCCGGGATCCAAACCCGGGAACCCCAGGCCACCAAAGCCGAATGTGTGAACTTAACTGCTGCACCACAGGGCTGGCCCCCCACTGTCTCATTTGATAGGTGCTGCATCTGCCAGTTTACCTGTCCGCCCTGACCCTTTATCCCTCCCCAACCCCCAAATCTGCATTATCCCTCTGCCTAAACCATGTTTCATTCCTTTCATGCCCTTTTCTGCAGATGCCCCTGCTGACAGAGGGGATCCGCATCCATGGGGAGAAGTTGACAGAGCAGCTAAAGCCGCTGCATGACCGCTTGTCTTCTTGCTTCCGGGACCTCAAGGAGAAAGTGGAAAAGCTCTATGGGGTCATAACACTGGTAGGCTTTGTCTAAATGGCCTATATACGTTTTCTAGTCTCTTTTATCTTTAATGATAGTGATCAATTTTTCAGATGCCAAGTGAGCCAAAATAGCATAGGTATGGCGTGAAAATACCAGGGGCAGGTCAGAGAAGGCATGGCCTGCTGTTGGTGACCTTCAGCCCTCCTTGTGCCACATAGGGGTCCTCAAACTTGAAGGACCATCAGGACCCCCTGGAAGGCTCATGAAAACACAGAGTGCTGGGCCACGTGCCCGGGCTTTCTGATTCAGCAGGTCTGGGGTGGGCCTGAGAATGTGCATTTCTAATGCTCCCAGGTGGTGCTGACGCTGCTGACCTGGGACCACACTCTGAGAACCGCTCTGCTAGAAGTTGAGGTCTTGCTAATCCTAGACACCGGTTGTTCCTATCCTGTCTAGCCCAATTCTTAAGTTTTTCCTCATCTTTATTTTTTATTTTGATGAAAAGTTATACTTTTACACCTTTGAAAGGGAGAAAGAATTGTGAAGTACATTTTACAATGCATGTAGCTGGTTTCATGATTTTTTTGGACAGTTCTAACACGTTTCTCCTAGCTACGATTTTCTTTTTTCCCCCGGGGACGTTGGCTGACTTGGTGCCCGCGCTAACCTTTACTCTCCAGCAGGTGATCGTGTGCTTCCTTCCAGCTTCCTTTATCTGCACTTTTTAACATGCGCTCACCCTCCTCTCTTTAACCGTCTTATTCTTGAACCCCTGGTTTTCAAATTCTCCTTGCTTGCGTCAGACCCCTGAATTTCTTTTCATGTGCTCCTCTACGCTGTTCCCACAGCCCGTCTCCACTACATTTGGCTCCGGAGTATCTTTTTGACCATCTCTTTCAGTTGTCCAAGTGTTCAGCCATGCCTTCCTAAGAAGGTACCTCCTAGCCTACTGCCAGTTAACACTTTTCTTCTAGAAGCATTTGTCTTTTGCACACAAGTTCCTAGATGGCAAAGACTGTGACTTTAACCTAATAAATTGTGTTGTTATTAATAAATTGTGTTGTTACCAGGCCAATATTAGTATATAAATTTGCTGTGGTGGCCTATGGAGGCAATCACTCCTAGTGGGGACATAGAAAGTAGATCAATGTTCCTTTACTTCCTAAGCTTCACCAGGTTAAGCTTCAGGTCTGTACTTTCAGTCTAAAACTTTTCTCTTAGGCCAATATTCTTGTTTTTAAATGTCTGAAAGAAGCTAAGCAGGGGAAGCAGGCGGGGTTTTGTTGTTTTGTGGTGGGGCAGGCACGCCTTGCATTTTCATCCGTGTCTGACAGCAGATGATGATGAATTTTTCTGTAGTCTTCGCAAGGTAGGTTTAAGTTGTGTCTGTAACTAAGAATATAAGTATTTGCAATATTTAACAACTGAGGCAGCACAGGCACCAACCGATCAGAGTGGGGTGCCAGCCAGGACGAGTGGGCACTTGCCACAAACGAGCAGGGGGGCTGCACCAGTTCGTGTGGGCTGAGTTCCAGGCCAACTAACCATGCGGGGTCATGTGTTCTCCAGCCGCCCAACTTGACCGAGAGGAAGCAAAGCCGCACGGGGTCTATCGTGCTGCCCTACATCATGTCGTCTACACTGCGGAGATTGTCCGTCACCTCGGTGGCTTCCTCTGTGGTTTCCACCTCTTCTAACTCGTCTGATAATGCTCCTTCCAGACCAGGATCTGATGGGTAAGGGTTCCATCTTTGATTGCCAGGAGGGTGGGGTAGCGTTTGCCTTTGGGCAGGTGAGGCTTGGCCAGTGTGGCTGCCTCACCTCCTAAGGGAAGTAATTCAGAGTCTGGCTTATTAGCCTTGGGGTCATTCTCATTGTCTTCCTCGTGAGGAATCTCATTATTTACATAATGATAGCGACTGTTAGGAAAAATGAAAAAACAATAAATCACCCGTAATCCTATCACGTACTGGTTTATTTCTTCATGTTAGCTTATAGTCATTGCTTTTATCATGTTTTCACAAAAATAATTTCTAAATTTATATTTATTTTTTGAATAGTTCATATAATCACATAATATGAAATTCCAAAGGCACAAAAAGATATGTCACGAGAAACCTCCCCGCAGTCCCTGATCCCTGACTCTCCAGTACCACTCTCGAGGGGCGAGTGATGTGAGCATTCGGATTCTCAGCGCCTTTCCACAGCGCTGTGGACGTACACAGTCAACACCTAAATAGATATTCTTCCCCACACTTTCTTTTTATATGAATGGCAGCATATAATACTCTCTTTACCTTGCTTCTTTTGCTTACTATCTCTTGAAAATCATTCCATTTCAGAACATAAAGAGCCTCCTCCTTTCTCTGAGCTGCAGACGTCTCCTGGTGTGTCTGCACCATGTTGCATCCCACCACTGCCGAGTGCTGGACATGTAGTTGATCTCTGTCTATCACTGTCACGGCAGTGTGGCCTTGAATAACCTTAAAAATAAGTTATTTTGTAAATATACAAGTATGTCAAGTTGACAAAAAGTCCGTAAGTGAAATTGCTCTGTCAAACATGTATAGTTGCAATTTTCAAAATTATTCCTCAACTGACTTCCATAGAGATTATCCCAAGTTACAGCTGCCCCAGCAGCGTGGAACGGTGCCTGGTCATCACCCGCACCTTGCCACCAAAGTGTGGATTATCAGTCTTTTTAATTCTTGCCGATCTCATAGGTGGAAAATATTTTCTTGGTATACATGGTTTTTTGTTTTGTTTTTATTTCTTTTGTGTGAAGTTGAGCATCTTTTCCTTTGTTTAGTAGCTGTTTTTATTTTCTGTGAACTGCGGTCAGTTATTTCGTGTACATTTTTCTGTTGGATGTTGGCTTTTGTCTGTGATAGGAGTTGAAATATTTCCCCTGACTGCTCCTTTGTCTTTCAACTTTGCCTCTAATTTTTCAGTTAGTTGTGCTGATTTTTTTGTGCAGTCAAATAAATTAATATTTGATTATATGACTTCTGGATATTATATCGTTATTAAAGGCCCTCCCCACTCTAAGACTACAAAAACTAATTTTAGCGTTTCACTATTCGCAGTTGAATTTGAGATCCTTTGGGATTTATTCTAGGATAAAGTGCAGGTATGAAGCCAACAGTTTTTTCCCCACATGACTCCCCAGTTCTGCCTATGACAGTTAGTGAGCAAAACATCTTTTCTGTACTGATTTGAAATGTCAACCTTATAAGGAAATCAAATGTTTTTTGGTCTATTTATGGACTTTTTCCCCATTTCTTTGACCTACATTTGTTTTCATGCACTAGGCCTGTGCAGTTTTAATTACTTTAGGCTTAAACGGTTTTTCATTTCTAGCAAGCCTTTTCAGAATTTATTTGGCTAGTTTATTCATTGCTCACTTTTGGATTAACTTGTCTAGAGTCCTATTGCTGTTTTTACTGGAATCACGTTAAATTTATGGACTAACTTTAGGAGGATTGATGGATTTTGATGTTGAGTGTTCCTTGCTAAAAACGTGGAATGCTTTTCCATATGTTCAAATTTGAAATATTTTAAAGGAGTGAATTTGTAATTGTGTCCTTTCTGTTTTAAGATACTATTTTAAAACAATATTTTACTAATTATAAAATTAATATATGTACTTGTAGAAATTTTTCAAAATAGTAGAACTTTTAAAAGGAAAAATGCTTATGACTTCATCACTCAGAATAACCACTGTTAAGGTTTAGTTATATAATGCAAAAAAAGCATATATACATTTTATACAAGTAGAAAAGCATTGTATGTACCATTTTGTGATTTACTACTTAATTTAATATACATGATGAGTATTTAGCATCATTATATATTTTAGTGTTGAATGTAAGTCAAGTTAATTGACTCACCATTTATTCATAAATTTGTAATTCCATATTAAATAACTGTATTGCAAAAATAACCTGTCCAAATGCCCACTACCTTGCAATCAAATGTTTAGTACTTCCTAAAGTATTTATCCATCCTTTTCCATTGGCATAGATATCTTTACATAGTTGGAATTATAGCATACATGTAGTTTGATAATTTGCTTTTCCTCTTTGTCTTTTTATTATAAGCATTTTCCATGTTGCTATTAACTTTATTATTATCAATTTTTATTATGCTTTCTGATGGCCAAATGCCATTGCATCATACGAATGTGCCATAGTTAATCCTTCTCCTACTATATTTAAGCTGTATCATTATTTCTAAACAGAAAAGTTGTTTATAAATTTAATACAAAAGCATTTAGCATGTATCAAAATAAAATGCATTTTTATTATTAAGAATTTTCTAGAGTGGCTGGCCCCATGGCCGAGTGGTTAAGTTCGCACGCTCCGCTGCAGGCGGCCCAGTGTTTTGTTGGTTCGAATCCTGGGCGCGGACGTGGCACTGCTCATCAAACCACGCTGAGGCGGCGTCCCACATGCCACAACTAGAAGGACCCACAACGAAGAACATACAACTATGTACTGGGAGACTTTGGAGAGAAAAAGGAAAAAAATAAAATCTTTAAAAGAAGAAAAAAATTAAAAATAGAACTACCATACGATCCAGCCACACACTACTGGTGTCTATTCAAAGAGCTTGAAATCAGCAATCCCAAAAGTCCTGTGCACCCCAATGTTCACTGCAGCATTATTCACAATAGCCAAGACATGGAAGCAACCTAAGTGCCCAGCAACAGACGAATGGATAAAGAAGATGTGGTACATATATACAATGGAATACTACTCAGCTGTAAAACAGAACAAAATCATTCCATTTGCAATAACATGGATGGACCTTGAGGGAATTATGTTGAGTGAAATAAGCCAGCGAGAGAAGGATAATCTGTGTATGACTCCACTCATATGAGGAACTTAAAACTATGGACTAAGAACAGTTTAGTGGATACCAGGGGAAAGGTGTGGTGGGGGGTGGGCACAAAGGGTGAAGTGGTGCACCTACAACACGAATGACAAACATTAATGCACAACTGAAATTTCACAAGATTATAACCTATCATTAACTCAATAAAAATAAAAAAAATTTTAAAAAAAAGAATAATTAGGGTCTTTTTGGAATTTAGTTCTATGATATTTTTAAATTAGTACAGATTTAAGATAAATAATAGTGACTGGCTTCCTCTTAAATATTCCAAGAACTGGCAAATACAAAAAATTTGAAAATTCAGACATGAAGACTTTTTTAAAAAATGATTCATAAATGGAGAGAATAATTTGAAGTAAGAAAAAGAAACTGCAGTCTAGAAGCATTTCCATTTGTGACTCCAGTGGTTCCTTAAGCAGACTTCCCTGGAACTTTCTCGTTCTGTATCTTCACAGAAGAAGGCAAAAATATTTTGTAGAAAGAGGGGCCTATAGTGTTAAAAGGCTTCAAGTGACTTAAGAAGCGTGTCAGCCAAATACAGGAGTGAATCCTGTTTGGATTCTGATTCCAACAAAGCACTTAGAGGAAAAATTATGAGACAATCAAGAAGTTTGAACATTGACTGGATGTTTGATGAAATTAAGGAATCTTTTAGGAATGATGATAGGACTATAGTTATGTTATGAAGATGAACCTTTGTCTTATAGAGATATGCACTGAAATATTTATAGATGAGGTGATATGTCATCCAGGAAGTGCTTCCAGATAATCCAGTGAGGGGCGAGGAATGTGACTGGGTGTGTGTAGGAAACAAAGATAGGCCAGAAGTTGATCACTGTTGATGCTGAGTGATGTATGTGTAGGGGTTTATTGTATTCTCTTCACTTTTTTATGTTTGAATTTTTTCATTAAAAAAATGTAAAGAAGTCTTTGCCCAATTATACCCTCCAAATATCTTATTTTAATGTTTATGTATTTAATAATACTAAACTTTTAAAAATTACTTGGACTTCTTTTTTCATGAAATACCTGTTTATATCCTTTGATGCTTTTAAAAAATTGAACTACTCATATTTTTTTTTTTTTGAGGAAGATTAGCCCTGAGCTAACTGCTGCCAATCCTCCTCTTTTTGCTGAGGAAGACTGGCCCTGAGCTAACATCCGTGCCCATCTTCCTCCACTTTATATGTGGGATGCCTGCCACAGCATGGCTTACCAAGCAGTGCCATGTCAGCACCTGGGATCTGGGCCGGTGAACCCGGGGCCACTGAAGCAGAACGTGCGAACTTAACCACTGAGCCACTGGGCCGGCCCCCACCCCCATATTTTTTTGATGTGTAAAACTTTCTTATATATTAAAGATATTTACCATCTAAAATATGTATAAGAAATAGTTTTAGTTTACTAATGATACTTTCTGCTGAATAGAATCTTTTAATTTTTAAAGTCTAAGAGCTGACATCAGTTTTTATATTATCTTACTTCATATCAAAGCTTTTGTGTTGTTTATAGGCTTTATTCTTTAGAGTTCACAGCAAGATTGAACAGAAAGTAGAGAGTTCTACCATGGCACTGCCCCACACACGGTCAGCCTCCCCGACCGTCAGCATCCCCCACAGAGTGGGACATTTGTTACAACTGAGGAAACCACAGTGACACAGCATAATCACCCAGAGTCCATAGTTTGTCTCCGGATTCACTCTTGGTGTTGTACATTCTAGGAGTTTTGGTAAATGTATGGTGACATGTATTCACCGTTGTAGTATCACACAGACTAATTTCACTGCCCTGAACATCTTCTGTGCTTTGCCTATTTGTCCCTCCAAACCTTTTTTTTTAGAGCAAAATCTACGAATTTTTAATCAAACCAGGGCTTATTAAACACCCATTCAGAAGCTGTAAGCGATACCCATCATAAAGATATAATATCTTTTTTATAACTTTTTTTCACTTGCCGCATTCATTCGCGCTGTGTCCTCTCTCTCGGCGTGCTCCGCCATTGGAGAGTAGGTTGCACACATTCTCTTAGAAGAACAAGCACATCGTCCTGTTTAAGGGCAGGCTCTAAATTCAGGGAATTTGACGTTGACGCGGTACTTTAAGCTACAACCCATATTTCAGTTTTCTCAGTTGTCCCAGTAAGGTCTTTTATAGCAATTTCTGGTACAGGATCCAGTCAGGAGCACATGTTGTATTTAGCCATGTCTCTCTATTCTTCTTTGATCTGAAATTGTTTCCTTAGGCTTTCCTTGTCTCTCATTTTATTGACTTTTTTTAAGATTATGGGCCAGTTATTTTATGGAATTTCCCTCCATTTGGGTTTGTCTGATGTGTCCTTGTGCTTAGGATTCAGGTTATACATTTTTATGTGATGTTGTATCCTTTTCAAGTATCAAATCCAGACACACATTGTGTCCATTTGTCCCTTATTGGTGATGTTAATTGATCATGTAGTTTCAGTGTTATCCATTTTATTCTCTGCATAGTTACTATTTTTCCCTTTGCAATTAATAAGTAATTATGGAGAGAGATTTCGTGACTCCTGTTTCTCATCAGACTCTTCCCCTCTCTCTATATAGCATCTAATCTTGGTTCTTGAATGAATCAGTTTTCACTGTGGTGCTTGAAAATCTATCATAGTAATTAAAAAACATTTAAAGAGTACTCATATATGCTAGGCACTGTTCTAAGATTTTGTAAGAGCCCTACGAGGTGGGTGCCATTATTGCCCCCACTTTATAGATAAGGAAACTGAGGTATGAAGAGGTTATCTGCCCAAGGTCACCAAACAAGTCAGTGTAGGTAGGCTTTGAACACAGGCTGTGTGGTTCCAGAGCAGAATCTGAGAGGGAAGGTACAGGTCAGGATTAGGTTGAGGAGTCATGACCCCTGTCTTTCTGGAGGAAATTTTGACTGTTAGATGGTCAGTGTTTTGTGCTCTTGCCCTTGTTCTCGGCTGATAGGTCAATCTTGGAGCCACTTTTGGAGCGCAGGGCCTCGTCAGGTGCCAGAGTTGAAGATCTACCCCTCAGGGAAGACAGTGAGAACCGGATGAGCAAGTTCAAGAGAAAAGACTGGAGCCTGAGCAAGTCCCAGGTCATTGCAGAGAAAGCACCAGAACCTGACCTGATGGTAAAAAAAAAAAAGCACCAGAGCTTTGCCACTGCTTTCCCTGTAGCCAGGCACATCCCCGTTCCCTTCACAGCCGTGAGTCCCCAGATAGAAGCCTGGCAGTGGCTTTCCCAGAATGCAGTAGCCTGTGGTGGTGTCGGATCTCAGATGGTGCTGAGAAAAGCACGTACAGGGAATTTGAGTCTCTACATCAATAATGGCTCAAGATCTGGTACCCACAATATAAACTTGTGGGTTGATGCTTGGAGTTGTGGTTCTCGCCACCATGTTCCATGAGTCAGTCCAAAACATTGTCATTTCTCTTCTTTTAACTTAAAAAAATGAGGTACTTTTTCCTGCAAAAGCCACATCAAGTTAAGTGTGGCAAGATCAACTTTCCCTGAGAATCAGGGTGGCTCATTTCCAACCTAAATGACACAGTCCACCTGTGGTCAAAATTAAGTCTGTGGCCTGCCAGAAAACAGTCTGTGGCCCAATGATTCCCTGTCAGTCTCTTTGCCGTGGTGCGCACCGCCTGACGGTGGAGTAAGCTTCAAAATGGCCCCTGGCATTACGCCCTTTAACAAGTTTCTGCTCAGTAGACAAGGTTGTTCAGAGTGTTGATGAGCTCAGCCTTCCTAACTGTGAGGATGTTTTTCTGTGTCTCCCACACCCCCATGCTAGAGCCCCTCCAGAAAAACACAAAGGCCAAAGAGTCTCCAACTGTCGGACAATCGGCTGACGCCGTTTCATGGTTCCTCACCTCCTCAGTCGACGCCCTTGAGCCCGCCTCCACTCACTCCTAAGGCTACCAGGACCCTGAGTAAGTTTCCTATATATGTGCCTTAGATCTGTTTTACAAGAGAATGGAGTATGTTTGTGAACCTGGGCGATTTTTAACAAAACTGCCACCAGGTGTATGAGATCGTGGTCAAGTTGGTTCAGCTCAGTGGTAGTGGGTATAAAACAATTAGACTAGAGTTTGACGAGGAGTCCTTTTGGGTTGTTAGTACTCAGTAAGCTTTTCTGTATCCTGATCCAAAGGGTCTCACTGCCCCTTTTCCAGTTGTAAATGTGTAAATGAAGTAGATGCATGCCAGGACCAGATAGGAAGCAAGTAACTTATGAACTAATGGGTAGGTAGCCCTGTCTTTTAGGCAGGGGAGGGTCTGAAGTAAGGGCAAGAAGTAGACCCATTCCATATACTATTTGCAGTCAGACTTGGGGAATCAGCAATACACATGCCTGAGAGAATTACAAAGTACCCTTGATACAAAGGAATAATGGAGAGGCAGGTCATCCTGCCACACGGGAGACAAAGGTCAACCAAGAGTTAGAATCAGGAAAGGTTTCCTGGAGGAAGTGGCAATCGCACCTTTTAAAGGATGAAACTAAGGCAGGTCAGTTAAATTTAACCAAAAGTTATTGGCCGCCTACTATGTGACCTTTTTTCTAAGTCCTTGGGATGTATGGGAGAACAGAGCAATACCCTAAGTTCTAGAAACTGTTCTTCTGTTCAGCTTAATGGTAAAAACCCTGAACCAAAAGTGGAATTTTTACTTCAGAAGTTTTTATGAAGCCTACTGGTGAGCGAGGGGTGCTACATTTGTCACCAGGGGTGAGAGGTCTTTTTCGTTCTGTCCACAGAAACCATGGAATATGATCTTAGCGATTTGATTAACCAGGTTTGTTTAGGTGTTAACGTGGCAAGCAGAAGTTCTGTGAGATTCCTGGATGGCTTCTTCTCTCTGCTCATCTCCTTTGCATCATTTCTAGGCTCCCCCTCTTTGCAGACAGATGGGCTGATGACTGCTCCTGTCCCACCACCCCCTCCCCCCAAAAGCAAGCCCCATGAGAGCAGCCAGAGGAACTCCACGGAGGTAGGACATTGGGGCTGACCCTGGGTCCAGAGAGCAGCACTCCTGGGAGCGCAGCCTTGGAGTTTCCATGCTTTTTAGGAGGCAGGTTTCCCATAGATTTGTCAGTCTAAGCAGTTCTTGGTTCATTCCTGAAACCATGGAAAATAGGGGAGTTTTCCATGGGAAGGAAGATACGCAGTAGACCTTTTCATCAGACTGAAGGTGGAGGGCTCCTCTGTACCTCAGCCTGGGTACAGGTGAGTGAAATAAGTGAGTTCTGTTCACATTTCCAGAGTTTACTTTTCTGAGTGAGTGACAGTTATTCTGGAATGGCCTCTGATGGGTTTCGTTTGTTCATTCAACAAATATTTATGGAGTGCCCACTGTATGTATGCCAAGCACCCAAGTGGTGGGGAGATAGCAGAGTTGGCGTGCCTCTGATTAACTCAAGAAGGACAAGGAGGATAAAGCAGTCTTATTTCGGTTTTCGCCTTGCAAAGGCTGTGTAGATAAATTCACATCAGTTAGAAGCTAAAGCAGACGTCAGAATGTGGAGGAGAAGGCAGAATTGGGAAGACAGATAAGACTCACTTCTATTTTCCTGTGTCTGCTCCCTCAGATTGCCCCCCCATTGCCTGTCCGGAGAGAAGCCAAGGCCCCACCTCCACCCCCTCCAAAAGCTCGGAAGTCTGGCATCCTTTCTTCTGAGCCTGGGTCCCAGTAAGGATCTTGTCCGCTCTCTGGAACTCTGAGTACCTCGGATAGCTGATGCCTGAGAACTGGCCCGACGAGGCAGTGTCCCCATTGCACCGGGCCCCCTGCTGACTGCCTTTCCTGACCTGGAATAAGGTTCACCGGCTCAAAACTGCTTTTGTTCTTTTGAAGGCATCTCTTTGATTGATGTCTGAGGCCATGCCACATCTTCTCCAGTCCACGCGGAATTCCAGAATTGGCCGTATCCTGTGTGTTTCTCAAGGAGAGCTCTCCCTGGCCATTATTAAATGTCAGCCTCCAGTGCGGAACCCCGGGGGCCTACAAAAGCCTGGACAAGTTCTTCCGCAGTGTTGGAACAACCCAGTAACCGACTCCTTGGAGGGATTTCCTGCTTTGCTTCTGGAAAGCTGTGCTTCATACTTAGTTTTCTCACGTGGACATACCCTATCTCGTAAAACGTTGGGAAAGACTGATATCAAGTACTTTGGTAGCCAAAATAATCTTATCTTTCTAACATCTACTGTGTCTCCTTTGAGGAAAGAATATATTTTAATGGAGATTGGCTGCTTTCAAGTATGAATGGCTATCATTACTGAAAAAACATGGACTCAGTCATGAGCCCTGAGCTCCTGTGTCCCCCCACCCCCACCGACTTGTGACACAGGAAAGCTGCCCCAACCCTCCCGGGGGTCGCTCATGCTCCTGACTAGTGGACTAATGGCCCTCACCACACGGCAGTCGCTCCTTCCTACCATGGACTCCTTTGAAGCTCTTTCTTTTACACACACAGTTTCTTGTCCTGTCCCCTCCTCTGAGCTCAGATCACTGGATATAAGGGATTAGAAGCCCAGGTTCAACAGCTTCTCTTCCAGATCCCGTTTGGAGGGCTCAGCGGCCCCTGTCTGCAACCTGATTTTACCCTGAAGTGCAATATCTCCCTTTGATTATTTATTCCTCTTGATTGTGGAATTAATTTGATTACATGTTTATGGTACTAATGTCAGTACTCCTTTCAGAAAGAAAAAATGGGGTGATTTAGATAACAGATATTACCTACACCTACATAAACAGCCGCACAAAGTTAAAGACATTTTGAGCTGGAAGGGCCTTAAAGGCCGGACACACCACTCCCTGATTTTGTAGATAAGGAAATTGAGGCTAAACACAGAAAACCCTATGAGAGATTCGTACCAACTCAGCTTGCTAATTGAGGCTATCCCCGATAACACTTAGATTAGCAGACAACCCTGCCAACTCTTTAATCCCTCCCCCAGTTGGAACAGCAGTGGAGGTGTCCCCGACGTTTCTAGTCTGCTTAGGTGTTTATGGCAAAGTAGAACACTCTTTGGGTGTGGGTCCCCCAGCTCCACATGGGGAAGCTCACCAGGAGTCTCTCCCACCAGCGGGCCCAGGCCCCTTTCCTCTGAGGTCAAGGGAGGAGAGAAAAGGGTTTCAGCTCCGAGAATTGGGATTTGCTTTCCTGCCTCTTTGCTTGTGTGCCTGCGTCACCACGACCTCTCTTAGGAGAGACATGTTCATTCATCATAGGGTCTGGGAAGGAAAACCTCTGAGATGTGTCCGGCGTTACTCAAGAAGTGAGTGTGCATGCTTAAAAGCGGCGAGGAGAAGCTTATTCTTCACCACCATCCAGAAGAACCTACAATGTGATATAATGGGAAGAGCCCGGACTTTGGAAGAAAAGCCATTCGGTGTCAGATCATCCCAGCTACATCATCTGTTAACTTTGCAAACTTCCTCAAATTATTTGAAATTCTCTGAGCTTTCCTTTTTTCACCTTTCAAAATGGGGATAAAACCTGCCACACAGGTATTGTGAGGTTCAGATGAGATCGAATATATGAAGTAGCAGGTACTCATGGCATGGTCTATCCTTCTCTCTGCTAGGCCTGAGTACAACTCAGAACTCTCTAAGAGCGTTGTTGACGCTCCTTGTTTTTCAAGGTAATTTGGAATGGGAGTGCAGGTTAGTTCCGCACATACAGTCCGTCTCCCAAAGACGGCATCTTTTGGAGTCTCTTTCATAGTCACTTATGACTAGAGACACAGTGTTAACAAGAACTGAAGAGGGCTCGAAGTGGACAGAACTCGAGAGATTGAAGGAAGAGAATGAAGAGGAGGGGTGGAAGGCTGATGAGGAGCCTGGTAGACTGGTGGGAGGGGATGCGTCTGCCTCACCCTACTTTCCAGGCTGCCATTAAAATAGAAAACTGTCAACTGGGTCACGAACAAGCCAAACCTAATGCACGTCCCTTCAGTGCAGTGGAGGTGACTCCTGCAGTCTGGGCTTTGATCAGAGGCTGGGGAAATCTGGTCCATCAATGCCCAAATACCTTCCATTTTTTAATATAACGCATTCTTCCATATGACCCCCTTTCCACATTAATGAAATACTAGGTCTCTCCTGCCTGAATTCAAAGCATTCCAGGTAATGTTGTGAATGATAAATTATAGGGGACATTGGAAGGGTCTTCTCCTTCGGAAGCTACTGGATTAGAAAGAGTCATACTTGACAAAACATCATAAATGTTGTCTGTCCTGAAGTCAACGAGGAAGACTGCAAAGAAATGCCTTATGATTACCTTAAATAAGGGAGCAATGAGGGGCAGGGAATAAAGGAGAAGAAGTGGGTTTTTTCCTGGATAAGAACTCTGGAGCATTGACAGACATTGAAAGTAGCCTCCAGATTGTCGCAACCTTTGTGGATATTAATTTATGGAATTTTCTTTTAGTCCCTTTTTTTCTCTCTCTGTGTCCTGGTGATTTGTCTTGCTTTGAAATTTTTTTTCAAGAATTGTTTCCTTCAACATGTATTAAGCCCTTACTGAATGCCAGGGTGTGGCTATTCAGTGTGTTCAGTGGGAACAGCCTTGGTGTACAAAGGCTGTGGTGTGCTGTGGGATTGGCAAGAGGAAAGTGAAACCCTAGATAAGGCTGCTGGAAGCTAGGTTGCCTTCTCCTTCGCCACCTTCCCATCTTGATTCCAAAATTAGTCATTTTCTCCTGGCAGAGAGACCCATTGCAAACTGCTGCCACACCACAGACCCCTAAGAAGACACCGGAGATAACCCAGGATCTGAGATACCAACCTACCTTTGCTAAGCCTTTCCGAGCTCCCTTTTCCTTCCCCTCTACTTGCCCCAGATCATGGGGTGATTTCTTGTTTTAAGATTGAGACATAACTTACCTACTCTTAAGGGCACAAATCTTAGGTGCACAGATGGATGAAATTTTCCGTAGGTATACACTCCTGTCACCACCTCTCGGATCCAGACATACACTACTTCCAGCACCTCTGTGTCCACCTGTCATTTTGCAAAAGGTATTTAGAAGTCCCTTCAAATTTGTACCTTCCTTCCCCTCACTTCGAGGGTTCAATTAAAAGGAGAGAAAAACCCCACCATCAACACAAAACAAGACCGTAAAGAGTGTGCACCTGTTGGCAAGTCAATTTGTAGTCAGTCCCTGGGCCGCAATTGCCTCGTGTACATATATATGTACACACGTATATATATTTGAGGCTACATGTCTTCAGATCCTTTCAGCCCCTAGCTTGCTTTTATTCTAAGTGAATGAAAAAGAGTCAGAAGGAAACTAAGTTTCTGAGGAAAGGCTTTTAGGCTCGTGCACCATGACCAAGGGGGATTTTAAAATTAAGTCGGAAAAGGTGAGTTCCTCTTTGCGTAGGTTGACAGTGGAATCGTCAGTTCTAATCTCCAAAAGAAAAAAGACAGTTTTCCTTTCAAGTTGATGATTTCAGACTGATTCTTCTAATCCGGTCAAGGCTGGTCTTCAGTGTATGCTGCCCGAACTCATCTGTCAGTCAGATTTTGTGAGTTGTTCATCCAAACTGTGTCAAAAACTGTTGCCATGATTTTGTAACCTAGTTGGGTTTCAAACGCGGACAGTTAGGAATATGTGCATTGAAGCAGAAACATTTTGTTCAGATTTGCTGTTATTTATTTTTTAAATTAAAAATGGAAATGTCTTTAAGGTTCCTTGTGTTTAGTTTGTTATGACCCTGATGTTAGGGAAATGCAGTCATTCCTGCATTTTTGTGGTTGACACCTTCTTCACAACACCTCACACCCAGACTCCCTCCTTCCCACGGCACAGCTCCTTTCTTACTGGTCCTGTCAGTTTAAACTTGAACTGGGGGGTCGTTGAGTCATCTTTGCCTGGAAGCAATAAAAACTACAAACCATTTGGTTCTTCCCTCACCTTGCCTCCCTCATCCATCCCTTTGGCATCTGAGCTAAGCTGACAGTTTCTTTTTTCTTTTAATTTTTTCTCTTCTTCTTTCCCAAAGCCCCCCAGTACATAGTTGTATGTTTTCGTTGTGGGTCCTTCTGGTTGTGGCATGTGGGACGCCGCCTCAGCATGGCCTGATGAGCGGTGCAATGTCCGCGCCCAGGATCTGAACCAGCAAAACCCTGGGCCTCCGAAGCGGAGCCAGCGAACTTAACCACGCGGCCCCGGGGCTGGCCCCTGAGCTGACAGTTTCTGATAACAATCCATTTGATACAATAGGTTCTATTTCTTCACTTATTCTCCGTAGGTAATTAGCAGAGGTAAAGGGACATAAAGAGGTTAAAGGAGTGTCTGGTGACTTACACAGAAAGGATAGGAGCCAATTCTCAAACTAGGTTGAACGTTGGTAACCCTTGGGAAGAGGCCAGCCCACAGACCAATTAGAATTTCCAAGGGAGGGGAATGGGGCCCAGGCATCAGTATTTCTTTTGTGTCCCCGTGTTATTGCAGTGTTATACCAAGGTTGAGAACTCCTACCTCCGAGGAAATAACAGCTTTAGAAAACTGGCGTTCACGATGTATTTCTTCAACTCCCGGCTGATGGTGTGGTTGGAGAGGGGCAGCCGCACTTCAGTGAGAATACTCCTTGAAGTCGTGGCCTTATGCCTAAGGGTTTTTTTTTTTGTTTTCTTAAGAAAATGTCCCAGTGCTTTTAAACATTTGCAATGTATTGGTTTTTAGAGTAATAATGCTCCACTGTCTGTATACGTAAGACTGGGATGCTTATTAAAAATGCAGATGGCCTGGGCCCCAGAGAGTCTGAATCAACAAGCCTGGGGAGTCTTTGGATCTAGGGTCCCCATTGAGAAATACTGCTTTAGTGCACCTTCCACTGTGAACGTTTTAAGTGCTGTTATCGCGTGCGGTGACTCTTGGCGTCTTTCCCAGTCATCTCTAGGACACTACAGTGTCTTAAACCCTCTCCTAACAGGGTCCATCTTCAAGCCATTCTTTTGGTTACTTGATCATTTAAAGCCATACATATTTGAGATAGTTAAGGCCATATATATTGAGAACATCTCATTAAATGTATCATTTGGTGTGTTTCCTCCCCCTTTATTTTGAAAGGCTGCAGACTCTTTTTCGAGACTTCATTGATGAGTTAGAGAGTTCTTCAGATTCAAGAAGATGTTTAAAATTTTAACAAAAAAGAGTCATTTTCACTCTCCTCCCCCTTAATCATTTGGGTCTTTTGAGAATCAAATACCCTGCATGTTCACATAAGTCACAAATCACTGGGTGCTGTCCCAGGCCTCTGACATCAGCATCAGGTAGCTGGATGAGCATCTTCTTTGTATCCCCTTCAGGGAGGCCCACAGCCGCCTCCAAAGAATTGGTCCCAAAGACAAGCTTTGGCGAAGGAAACCTGACACTCCAAACAGGATGCATAAAAATAAGTGGATGTGTTGCCTTCTTTTTTTAAATGTGTTAACTAATGTAAAGATTGTAAATGATATTGTTTTTATTAAGAAAAATGAATATTTACTAAGTTACTGGCAAATAGAAGCTTCTTATCCTGCCTTATATGTATCGATTAGTGAAATAATGTGGTTTTGCCTTTTGTTCCATAAAGTAGATTATGGGCCACATCTCTGCCTAATTTTATGAAAGTGGGAGTGAAGTTCTTTGATTCAATATTAGAGATTCCTCCATGGGAGATGTTTGGGAAATCTAGCATTGTGCAATAGTAAATATAGTAATATATAGTTTTATATATTAATTTTACACTCTATGATATATAATATATAATTTATGTAACATATAATTACTATAATATAATTATATGTAATATATTAATTTTATATAATAAAAATAATAGTAAATATTTGTATTAAAATGGGAGGATTTTCTCCCCCATGGTCTGTTTCTGACCCCTGTTCAAATTCCTTAGCACAGGTCTTGCCCTTTTTTGAGGTGGTGGGGCAGGGAGAGGGGAAGGAAGGTTCCATTTGTCTGATTGAAAGAGATAAAGGGCCTAAATCTCTGCCATGTGAATGTAGGCACTGTTTACTGCTGTGATATCAGGCAAGTTATCTGAAATTTGAGTTTTTCAAATGGTCTCGTAGTCATTGAAAGTTATAAGGATAAATGAGAATGTTAGTGTCATAGTGTCTGGGACCTTATAGAGAAATAGTCAGCAGTAAATTGCTACATGAGCCCCAGTGTCCTGTTTCGGGTCCCATTAACAAAATAACGGAGCTTCCAAGTCCAGTTCCATTGGCAGCTCAACGTGCAATACAGGGCCACTGACCATGGAACCCGACAGAACGGAGCAGGTCTCAACTCTGGGAGCCCCGGTTTCCTCATTTTAAAGAAGGACAATAATATCTACTTTCCAAGGTCATTATGAGGGCTGATGAAAACATTTATGCTTATATCTGTGCTTATATCATTTATGCTTCTATTATGCTTATATCAATGCTATTTGACCAGGGAACACAGCACCTGAATCCTGTCTTCAACTGACTCTACACTCCATAGCATTTCTCAAGAGAAATACCAGAGATCAGGCAGGTGAACACTGTTATTTTTAGGCTTGGTCCCAAACCTCAATATGCACCACTTGCTCTGGTGAACTCGGAGAGGCCACGTGGGGCCAGAAGGAACGTTGGACTAGGAGCCCAGCAGGGCTTCCTTTCCCCTAAGATTCTCTCTGGTTCCAGCTGACTTTCAAAGGGGTTGGAGACAATCTGGGAAGGGAAATTCTCTCCAAGTGGGAGGGAGCCTTGGCCTGGCCTAATCTTAGTTCTATGGAGTATGGTCAAAGATAAAACTATAATCCCACAGAAAACTACTGAATCAACTTTCTTGGCCTGGACCAAAAGGTGACAGTTCCTGCGGGGCAGGCTGGTGGTGGAGGCAAGCTGCGGGATTCCTTTAGTCACCAATAATGGTGACTTTGTGTAATCTCATCTCTGTTCTCATCTGCCCCTATAGACAGACTTGGGGTTCTCCTCTTTAGGGGCTTACAGTGTCGCCCCCCCACCAGAGTTCTGAGTAAGAGAAATGCTTAATTAACATTTATGCCACTTTATTCACAACACAGCACATCGTTATGAAATACGTGCAATTTAGCAAAAGAATTTCTGAAATTCACGCAGTTTTCAGTGTCCGGATTATACTGAGGTGTTGTCAATCCTTCTGGCTCAGTGGATTTAAATCTTCTTCTGCCCAGTTTCCTCTTCAATCAGGCTTTCCTGAAAAATATGTGAGTAACAGACCTATCAGGGTTGATTTTATCAGCCGAATGTCATTATGTTTTTGACATTTTAATTTCTAAAAGATAAATATAGAAAGAATAGATTATTTTTGTGCACTAGATATTGCTGGAGAGATAGAACAGATGAGTTGATTTCAAGTTGTTTAATAAACATAAAGTCTCCGTTGCCAGTTCAAGGATAGGAGGTGAAGGAAAGCTCTCATCTGTCAGTTTGCTGTTAACCCAGCTTTTGCTTCAATTCCTTTCTAATGTCGTGTTTGGGAAATTTCAGTTTGCTGTTATTTTTGTCATGTAGTAAGCAAGATTAGAAAAAGAAATAAAGATGTCTGTGTTTTTTCCTTCGTCCTGTGGGTGTGGAAATTGAGGTCAATGGAGAAATGAAAACCATAGCTTATCTTCATGTATGATTTGTTAGGGCTTTCCCTGCTCCTGGGCGTGGCTGATGATTAACTGTAATGCCTTCTAACTTCTACGAGTAAATGGACCGTGGAGCTGAGAGCACCAACACTGAATTCAAGACTCAACTTCTCCCTTCAATTCTCTTTATACGTTTTTTTTTAGTCAAAAAGCTACTTTAGGTTAGATTTCCATTTTGGGTGGGAATTTGGAGATTGTTATAGTCCAATCAGAAAACTGGAAATCAAATATGTGGCTCTGAATTATACAGTTAATAGTTTGGAATTTTTTCTTCAAAAGGGGGAAAAAAACAACTAGAGCACTATTTTCATTTTTACATTTTCTTTGGAAAACCATGTCATACCAAGAACAGTTGAAGAATCCAGTGGAGAAGTGTGGATTCACCTGGATTAGAATGGTCTAGGGTTTGATGAATGTACTTGAAGAAGTGACATGTAGCCGTGGGAAGAAATTTTTTTTTTTTTTTGAGGAAGACTATCCCTGAGCTATCATCTGCCAATCCTCCTCTTTTTGCTGAGGAAGACTGGCCCTGAGCTAACATCCATGCCCATCTGCCTCTATTTTATATGTAGGACGCCTACCACAGCATGGCGTGCCAAGTGGTGCCATGTCCGCACCAGGGATCTGGGCTGGCGAACCCCGGGCTGCCGAAGTGGAACGTGTGCACTTAATCGCTGCACCACCTGGCCGGCCCAAGAAATTTGTTTTGTCATTCATCCCAAAGGCTAGAGCCAAGATTAGGAGATAAAGATTACAGAGAGATTTCAATTCAATTTAAGAAAAAAAAGGTTCTAACCATTATTAGTACTATCTAACCATTGAAAGGGGGTATCGTGAACTAGTGAGGCCCCTACCACAGGCGAATTCAGGCAATCGGGAAGCTAAGCCCCACGGTGCCTGAGAGGGGGTCATTCTAAGTGGACAACCCAAGAGTTGGTACCCAAGGACCTTTCCATCTCTAAGGCTCCATGTCACGATCACTATAACTCACCAGAGCTCCTTTGAGGTCCCTGAGGGGAGAGCGGGGCTGGTGAACCGTGCATTCGAAGCGCTGAGGTTCTGCTGGTTGATTAACCTCTTTGGCTATCTGAGGGAAAAAATGTGATTTTTGGAGCTGGAGATAAAGAAATGAAATGGTATTTTCCATTCCCACCAAAAATTGTGTGTGGAAAATGAGGTCAAGGGGATGCGGAACTGAGAGTTGTGGGATTGAGACGGAGACCTGAAGAACGTAGATCCGCCATCGGGCCTTTTTCAGGTTGGTGTGGGATTCTGGAGGTAATGGCGAGAGGAAGGAGGGAGAATGTTTTCTCCCGGAGATGATGAGAATGAAGTACTTTGAACCTCCTGAGGGGATGATATAAAAAAATGCAAGAGCTTACACTTATAAATAGGGTTGATTTTTATTTTCTAGTTTTTACCAAATATTTCATAGTTAAGTGAGAACTGCTTCACATATAATCCATGGAGGGGAGACTTCAGATTCTGGGCTTCTTTATTTCATACTAAATTATCTTTATTATTTCTCCAAAAAGAGTTATTTCTCTCCAATGAAAACTGAATAGTTTAAGTTTCTCTAGCTAAGTTTCCTGTTCTCAGCCCTATATTAAGCGTCCCAGCCCTGAAGTGCTCATCATTTGGGGTCTAGTTCATTTCCCATTAACTTAAAAAAAAATTACAACTGCTTTTTATTAATCCGCTAACATTTTTTGGATTAACCGGCTAACGTATAAGGCCTTTCTCATGTAATCCTCACATGACCTTAAGAAGTCACATTTTATGGATTAAAGACCAAGTACTCGACATTCGTGCTGGTACTAGTTCTGAAATCTAGTTTATACAAAATCAAATCCAGCATATTTTCTGTTATATATTTTGTCTCCTTGAGCTTGCTGACTCCTCCACTCTAGCAGCCTCCAACTTCTTTGCTTAAATGCCCATACCAGCAAAAAGAAATTATAGAGCATACACTCTTGCTACTTATTTGTAAATTACACAAATGTACCACTGACCTAATATCATGGATATTTTTTAAAAATTTTTTTTTAATATTTTATTTTTTTCCTTTTTCTCCCCAAAGCCCCCCGGTACATAGTTGTATATTCTTCGTTGTGTGGTCCTTCTAGTTGTGGCATGTGGGACGCTGCCTCAGCGTGGTTTGATGAGCAGTGCCATGTCCGCGCCCAGGATTCGAACCAACGAAACACTGGGCCGCCTGTAGCGGAGCACGCGAACTTAACCACTCGGCCACGGGGCCAGCCCCATATCATGGATATTTAAAAAAAAAATAAAATAAGAAAAAAAAAACTAACAAGAAGTTCTAAGATTTTCTTTCCAAATCCCAAAGAATCACCTTGCACTAGAGACCTTGGCTCCATCCCATTGTTTCTAGTTCCTTTGGCAATTCTATATGTTGAGAGGACAACACGCCACTTTGCACTTGTTGCTGTATTCTCTTGGAATTGTTCCTGCTCTGTTTCATTAGTCCTGGTCTGATTTGAAGGCAGGAATGGGACTTCACTTTGTACGCGTGTCATCTCCCCCAGAATACCTAGGACACAGAGAGCCTGGAGTAGCTCTGCTGGGCTGCACACAGAATGTTAGCGTAGTGAAATTGAATCACATAAGCCACGTCCTATTTTGGAGATGAGAGAAACTTACCTCTTGGAAAGAATCAATCAAATTGTCAGCATTTCTCTTTCCTCCAGGGCGCAATCCATAGGACCAGTGTTGGCTGGAGCAGCCCACCACACATAAAGTCAGCAGAATAAGTCCAGCTAGAAGTTTGGGAATCGGCTCCATTCTAAGGAACATCAATGCAATAATCAAAAGAGACTCAGATGGGCAGAGAAACACCTCTTTGGTGACAAGCCTAACATTGGTATCGCTAACCCTGCCGAAGATGCACGTGGGAGTCATCTACAGTTTTCACACAGACACTAAAACGCGCATACCCATTTGCTTGCCTTGAGTTTCCAGTAACCACTGGGACAAAAATCAGTACTTTAAACTCACATGCTCAGTACTTTTTAGTGCTAAGCTAATCTGTTTTTATTTTTGTTATTTATTTGGTTATCCAAACCCCACCTTTTTGCCTTCACATTTTCCCCCCTGTGGACTGGTTTTCAGCTGTATCATTCCTGAGTTGAAGAGCGCTGGGCCATCTGCTCTGAAAAGCAGCTCCTGCTGGGCATCCTGGCTGGGGTAAAGTTGCTTGACGCTAAACGGCTGTACTATGGTACTAACTACATTTCGCTGAGTAAGCGTCCTCTAGTCTTCCATGCGTTACTGCGGGCCGCACCATCTGGGAGAGTGAGCAGAGACTCAACACTTTTCAAAGAACTGAGTCCCAGACCAGATGGCTCCCTGGCCAAGGCAGCCTCAAATTATCTAACGACATGTGGAATTCTCACAAAGAGGAGACTTCAAATTAATTTTCATTTGATGGGGAAGAAGCTGAAGACAAAATCAAATACTGGTTGATGAGCTGTTGAAATTCCCCAAAGCCTGGATCTTTATGGCTGGGGGTAACAAGGACCTTGAAGGTCAAGGTTCTTTAGATACCGTCACACCTGGATTTAGCCCTTAGGGTATAGAATGCCCTATAGACAGACATGAGGTCCAAAAAAAGTGCTAGAAATACGAAGCATTTTACCTGTTTGAGGGCGAAGAGCCAAAGGAATCCCAGCTTCGTTTGGAGTATGCTGAGTACTGTCACTTTTCGTCTTCCTAGCTTCCTTTTTATATGAAACTTTTCCAGAACACTGAAATCTCTCCCGCTGGTAAATTATACTGCACTCGGACTATGATTTATTATTTTTTTACTAGTAATTTTTTTTTAATCCTCACATAAAGCCCTTTAATGGTGTATGTAGTTGGAACACCTACTGGTCTAATCTGTTAAATTTACTTAAATCTTGGCTGTTAAAACCTCAGCTAAGACTTTTATAGCCGAGGCGGCAATTCAGAGATTAACATCTAGCTAGGTTGGATTCCCTTGAGAAAACTGACAGACCTATCAAGAGTTCAAGGAAAATAGCTCTCCTAGATGAAGTGATGTTAAATGCGTGCATAAAAACTTCACAAAGGAAGCCGCAACAGTTATAGAAAGAAGTTGAGTCAGGATGCCTGGGAGCTGGTCTCAGTTCTTAGATTCCTCATTAGTAAAAGGAGCTGATTTATAAACAATAGGTGATTATTGGCACTATACCAAGCCCACAGAGGATCCTAATGTAGATCATGTGAGTTTGAAAATTTCCAAGTCTCCTACCCACCAGCTTCCCTCTTTGACTTTTCTTGGAGGGCTTCTGTAGCATCAAAAGTTAAGGAGAGGGGCCAGCCCCAAGGCCGAGTGGCTAAGTTGCGTGCTCTGCTGCGGCAGCCCAGGGTTTTGCCGGTTCGGACCCTGAGCGCGGAACCGGCACCGCTTGTCAGGCCATGCTGAGGTGGCGTCCCACGTAGCACAACAGGACGGACCTACAACTAGAATACATGACTGTGTAGTGGGGGGCTTTGGGGAGAAGAAGAAGGAAAAAAAAGAATTAAATTAGATGTGTATAAAGAAACGTATCATGGCTGGCAAAGTAGAACGATAAATAAATGGAATTTGTTCTTATAAAAAAAAAGGTAAGGAGAAACATTGTGCAGTAGTCCCTCCTTATCCACGGTTTTGCTTTCCAAGGTTTCAGTTACCCGTGGTCAACTGTGGTCCAAAAATATTAAATAGAAAATTCCAGAAATAATTCATAAGTTTTAAATTGCATGCTGTTCTGAGTAGTGCGATGAAAGCTTGCTCGGTCCCACTCCGTCCTGACCAGAACGTGAATCGCCCCTTTGTGCAGCAGATCCACGCTATATACACTGCCTGCCCCTCACATAGTAGCCATCTGGTTATTAGACCACTGCAGTTGTATTGTAGTGCTTATATTCAAGTAACCTTTATTTTACTTAATAATGACCCCAAAGCACAAGAATAGTGATGCGGGCAATTCGGATATGCCAAAAAGAAGTTATTGTGTTAATCTCTTACTGTGCCTAATTTAGAAATTAAACTTTATCATAGGTATGTGTGCACAGGAAAAACATCGTACATACGGAGTTCAGTACTATCCGCGGTTTCAGGCATCCACTGGGGGTCTGGGAACGTATCCCCCATGGATAAGGGGAGACTACCATAGCTGGAATACAGTAAGTGCAAGACCATCTAGAGCAGACTTGGGTCAACAACTGGACTCATTTCAGTGGATACTTACTGAGTTAAAATATGCAAATCACTGTGCTAAAGGCAGTGGGAGGGGCCAGCCCAGTGGCGCACTGGTTAAGTTCACACGTTCCGCTTCTGGTCGGCCGGGGTTCGCTGGTTTGGATCCCGTGTGCGGACATGGCACTGCTTGGCATGCCATGCTGTGGTAGGTGTCCCACATATAAGTAGAGGAAGATAGGCACGGATGTTAGCTCAGGGCCAATCTTCCTCAGCAAAAAGAGGAGGACTGGCAGATATTAGCTCAGGGCTAATCTTCCTCAAAAAAAAAAAAAAGAAGGCAGTCGGAGCACAAAGATTAGAAATAATAACCTGGAATATGAATAAGATCAACCTCAACCATTATTACAGTCCTGCAAAGTGGATATCATTATCCAAGTTTTACAGATAGATGTTGAACCCCATGTGAGCCCTTGGACATTTTATTTACAAAGTACAGCCTTTAAAAAAGAGAAAGAATCATTACTCTTTATTCCGTTTATTTGAATACATGATTGTCTTTTAATTTACCCCTGGGTTGTAATAGTCAAGGATCCCATCTTATTTAAACATCTGTTAATAAATCCCTAGCGTTTGGTCAGCATTCGATAAGTATAGGTTTGAATGAATGAATGAATAAAACTTAAGGACGTTTTAACCAGATTAGGCCTAATGCTTCCTCTATTTCTGCATCAAAGATATGTTTTATCTGACATAGAATTAAATCTTCATGTACAATTAGGTATAAGGACTGTTACATTAGCTAAGCAGTAAAATAGTTAAAAATAACTGGCTATTTGTTCATTTTAGAGATGGGATTGGCAATTTCTGCTTGGGTAGGATGCTGCAGCAATCAGCCATTGCCCAGTGTCCTCTGTAATAATTACTTCAAGGATTTCGGTGTAAAGAGCAATATTGTTCTGCCCAAAGAAACTCCCTGCTCTGCCCAGCCATCTCTGTGGAGGTTCTTCGAGCCTCAGGATAGGATAGGCAAGGGGATAAACTTGAAAGTGTAATTGCTAATAGAGGGGAATTAAAAAATAAAACATAGGTGTTGACTTTCATTTAACTTGTTTTAATTATTTCATTTAGACACTTTGAATGATTTAAGCGCCATTCTGACATGAAGGGGTGGCATCTCACCTCACTCTACTATGAAGGTAACGAGACTGTTTTTCAACGAGTTCATTAAGCCTGCAGAGTGCTTGTTTGAATTGCGCAGTTGATGTCCTGCTTGCTGAAAAAGATGTGCTTCTAACAGTGCTGCTCAGGCAGACGGCGTCTTTGGATGGGACTAATGAAACGGGGGTTAGGACTTCTGACACTTACTGTCACATTAGCCACTTTTCTCTGGTTAGGCATCACTGGATTTCTTCTAGGTTAGTTCTATCAGTCAGTATTAAATTTTTGAAAAATGCTCCGAAATTTATGGATCAACACAGCACGTCTATGAATTTATTCGAGATGCTTTATGCCCTCGAAGTCTGCGCTAGTATCATCTGAGGTCACAGAGACCTCAAGGGCAAGGGTCGCATTTGTTTCATTTTCTACAAACCAAATAGGATAGCAAACAAATATGCTATTAATGGAATTTTGATGTTTAGTGACAGACTTTGAGCCTTTTCATAGTTCCAAGGAGAAATCAATTTATCGTGAAGCTGAATTTAGTAAATTTGAGTTTAAATAATTGGATTTCATAGCTGTCATAAATTTTTTCGAAATTTCGAAATTTCCTAAATTTTAAAGTATGGCTTTAGAGGGAAAATGGCTTCATTTTCAGCATTAAAAGAAACACTTCAAAATTATTAAAATGCAACAATAATGATTTAGTAGTCTTGCTGAATGACAGATGCAAACTCTTTTTTGGCCCTAATGTAAAATCTCAGCAGGACGTACTCACGCTGAGCGCCTGCTGACAGGCTCAAGGTGGCGAAAGGCTTGAGTTAATCCCTGCACGAGGGCTTTCTACTAACATCAAGTAACCGCTCTTCTTCGCAGAGGTGTACCTTTTAATTTGAAAGATAATACTTCCTTGGCGATTTAATAAAATTCTAGGGCTTTTCATATATTAAAGATGATTTAAAGTTGACTTGGGGCCAGATTTACAGTATAACCAACCAATTTATAAAATGAACTGGAGAAAACATCCCAAGTCTTGGTTTATGATGCTAACTTTCTTAAAAAAATGAATTTACAATATTTCCTACTAAAATTTCATTGAAACCATAGTTGGAAGGAGTAGACTACATCACAGCATAATATGAATTGCTCTCAACAATTACATGAGTACTGAATTTTATCACTGTGGATAATCTAGTATTTAGGTTTAAAACCTTTTTCTACGCTCCCCTCTCCAACTGTATTTTTACTTATGTGTACAGACATGTTTCATCATTAGGGTTTATGAAAATTTTACTATTTTGAAACTTACCTCCCTCCTTAAAATTCTAATAGTTGTCAGGCAAGAATATTTTGGGGGCAATGCATTTAACCAGCCTAATAAAGCTGACTGGGAATGTTCAGCTGAGTAACACAAATTAAATGAATTATTGAAAGGCAGTGTTTTCTTTTGTTCAGAATTAATGAAATTTCTTCGTGTTGTTAGCATGGTGGATTTTAAGAAGAGGATCATAAAACAATCATGCTTAAAGAAATAAATTTACTTTAACAGCACTTTCAAAGAGACTAATAGTCCATAATAAATGTTACACTGTATTTCCTTTTCCCCCCAGACCCTCAGGGCTGGTCACCAACACACACTGAAGAATGTTAGCAAAATACAGAAAGCGCTGATTTTCAAAAGCAAGACAAGAAACTCTCTCAACGTGTCACATCGTTTATTAATGCAGTACACATTAGACCCCAAATCTGCACTTTCTAAGCATATCATGTGTAGATCTTTCAGATTCTTCTGCAGTTTGAGGTTATGTCTACAGGGGTACCCTTAAGTGGATGAACAACACATTCTATAATTATTGAAAATATAGTACAGAGTGAAATGACTTAAATATAATTTAGGCACATTTGATTATGAAAATAGATATCTCTCAATACAATACTTCTCTGTCTTGATAAAAATAATAAAGCAAAGAAAATAATTCACATCTGAAGTTGCTTTCCTTCACCTGTAAAGGTCTAATCTCTCACTAGGCTTGTGTACCCTTCACTGTTAAGGAAAGCTTTGCATATGTATAGAAGAATAAGCTACGTAAATACTGAAGACATGTCATTCTCCCATAGGAGACAAAGCGGTTTGAATGATTCATTGCCTTAATTGATGAGTCTGTAGACTTCAGAACCCATTTGGACACAGCTTATATCCCTGCTGTTGGGGTAGACAAAAGGACACGGGTTACTGGTAAGGAAGGACAGGCCCTACCTCTGCTGCTGCAGAGAGATGACAACTCAAGAAGATCGGGCTAAAATTTATTAAGACAAAACCAGAAACCATAAGTAAAAGGACCACAAGTGCTGACTGGTGTCACATCTTGGAGCAGCCAAATGCCTTTATTTCTATTTAAGTTTTTTGGTGGCTAGAATCAAACTGTCAGTTTAAAATCCTCTCATTCTCCATTGGAGGGTTGTAGCTGCAATTCTATTATGTTGACTTTTAAAAGACAGTTTTGCCATCTTCCTTCATATTTTATAGCTTTGATTACAGTGGATCGGGATTTAATACTCATTTCTAAGCTGGCCCTGTTTATACTTTTTGGCATTTGAATTAAATGAATATTAATAATACACCTTGGTTTTTTGGTTTTGAAGTATCTTGCTATGTTTGTTTTGACAGTAAGGAGGAACTAGCTTAGTAGTGTAAATAGATAAAATTGCCTGTTCTGGCCTTGAGCGGAACTTGCTTAGAATGAAATTCTAAGGAATGCTCATTTAAAAGTTGTAGCTATAGGTAAATTCTCCCTCCATCTGGAGAATTCCACTGTGACTTCAGCTGACAGCTTTCCTTCCATTCTGTCTCAATCAGTAAGAATGGACGATTTCTTTAATTTAGCTACTGTTTTGTTCTAAAAAAATAAACTTTAGAAAAATGAACCTGAAAAGAAAGCCTTGGGGAGTGTGATCTCACCATATTGGCGTGACGTGACAGGTACTTAAAGGGGGGGCATCACTAAAGCTATTTCTA